TCTTGTTTTGCTTTAGTTCTAGCTTCCTGTTCTTCAATCAATCATCCAAGCAAGGTATGAACACTTGAAACCCTTGATTGCTTCATCTCGATATCTTCATTGCTTGTTTCCTTTGATTTTTGATTGCATGTGTCCCTTGTGGACTTGTTCTTGATAATTGCTCATATCTCTCCTGTATAATTGTTAGTTTGTTTCACCTCACCTCTGTTTTGCCTTTAAACTTGTTGCATGTGCTTGAAATTGAATTTGAGTTTGGTATTGGTTAAGATGCTTAGTTTCACTAGAATTGCTCATTGTTCCATTTACTAGTTGTTCTTGGTTCAATTTGATTGATTAGCATCCTTTCCAGCTCTTAATACTTGAATTAGGTTTGGTTATACTCTGTTTTCACCCAACTCGATCGAGTTTGTCACTCGAGTTTTTTGACTCGATCGAGCTGAGTGTCGAGTTGACCAAACCGATCATTACAACTCTAATTCTTTGTAATCTTTGATGCATTTCAGGTACTTTAGTGAAGAAACAGTGTAACAAGAGATGACAAACAGTGAGGGAAGTCGCGCTTCACAGAGGAGAATGGAGAGAAGGCTTAAATGCAAGCCGATTTGGAGGATGATCAAAGGATGGAAGAGTCTGATGCAGAGGATATGTTACTCTGAGGAAGAGTCTGAGAGTGAGAGATTGAGGGAAGAAAGGAGAACCAAGAAGAGGAATGACCCATTAGTAGTGAGAGTGAGCAAGGGGAGTTTGAGATTGGAGTGAACCTTGTTCAAGAGGAGGGAAATGGCTCTCCAATGAAGAAGGAAGTGATGAGACTGAGAGTGAAGAGGAAGGAGAAGAGGTGAATCAATTGGTTGATGAAGAGTGAGCAAGAGAGTAACCAAGATGACCATGGAGGAGGTTGAGCCACAAGAGCAAGAGGAGGATGAGCTCCCATGTACCAAGAGCACTACAATGCTCTCTTCTCCATGGACTTTATGGAACCAAGTACCCACATGTTGACACAATGAAGGCCCTTGGAATCTTTGAGGATGTGGAGTTGGTCTCAAGAACATGCACTTGGCCAAGTTCTTCTCTATCACATGGAATCCTACAAGGAGCTCACTTGCGAGTTCTTAGCTTCAATGAGGTACCACATGTACGATGAGGAGGATAGAGCTGATTTGGACCAAGGATTGGGATGGATCACGTTCTTGGCTAAGGGAGAGAAGAGAATGGTGACCTTTAGGCAGTTGGAGATCTTGTTTGGGTTCAACTATGGAGAAGGTAAGTGGAACTTCAAGGAAAAGGAACTCCAAGGAGTTTGGGCTACAATCGCTGATGGAGTGTACTCTTCCTCAAGGTCCAAGGCTGCTCAGATCAGGAGCCCAGTGCTTGAGATATGTGCACAAGGCACTTGCCAACACCTTCTTTGCAAGGAAGGCACCGGGACAATCAATGAGGGGGAACTCAAGTTTCTTGACATGGGAATCAAGCCCATCTCTCACGCACAAGCGATGGCAAGAGGATCAGGGAGATAGGCACACAGGGAACTTGATGCCTTCCTTGACCAGCTCCACCTACAAGATCACAGCCTACAACACTCTATCACAAGGGAAGAAAGCTAAGTGTTGGAGGGCTCATCACACCTATCTTGTGTGCTGCTGGAGTGAACCCAACTGATAAGAAGCCTACTGAACCAGGTTGGATGGACATCAAGTTTTGCAAGACCAACCTCCTCATTGAGCACAAGGAGTTGGATGGGAGTTCCAATTCAAGTTCACACATCCATTGGCTGGACCCTTCCAAGCTTCTCCTGCCCAACCCTGAGCTCACCACAGTAGTCAGGAGGTGAGAACATTGACTTCAGACCCCCTGTGTACACATTAGTTGGGCATGAGGAAGATTTGCGAGAAGAGGAGCCTGACTCGATCGAGCTGAGGATCGAGCTGAGTCGAGCTGAAGATCAGTCCAGGAATGCGGATTTGGGTGAGCCTGAGTGCTATTACTTTGAGGAGTATGAGGCTCCAAGGATGAACCCCTCTGTTGTGGCTGCTCACAAGAGGATTGGACTTCTCCAAAAGTTCAACAAATGGCAAGGGAAAGCCATTGAAAGATGCAAAAGTCCATGGACAAGATGGTGAGCAAGATCAAAAGTTTGGAGAAGAAGGTTTCTGGTTCTTCAAGCAAGAAGAAGAAGGCACCCATGGCCACATTCCCTAGGAGTAGATCACTCCTCACCACTCCAAGGAGGCTCCCTGCCCAAGAGCCTCACAGAGCCTCTTCTTTCGAGCCAAGGGAAGGAGAAGACAACACGCAGAGAAGGAGGAAGACTTCCAAGGCCAGACGCTCCAGCTCGACCACCGGACTCGATCGAGTCCAAACAGAGGAAACTCAACTCGATCGAGCTGACGGTCGAGTTGACCTGGAGGAGCCCAGTTTCGAGAATCCTGGATTTGAGTACGATCCACGCCTTACCAGGAGACCCCAGAGATGGAACCCCTATGGACAGTCGAGCTAGCCAAGCTCCACCAAGGCCAAGGAGCCACACACACTTCAGATGAAGAAGAGGAAGAAGAGGAGCCGCAAGCTCGATCGAGCGAGGGAACCCAGTTGAGTGGAGTGCTCCTGATGGCCGTCTCCCATCTCCAGACCACGACCTAGCCTCCCAGTTCTTTGGGGGGCACTGAGGTATCCAAACACCAACCCTTGTATATACCATTTCATTTTTCTTTGCTTTTTTTTCTTGGTTTTGCCCTCTTGAATCTTTCACTAAATTTCTCTCACACAAGGGACTGTGTGATTTAAGTTTGGGGGAGGGTTCAAGAGATGATTTAACCTTGTTTTCTTTGTTCTTAGTTTTTCATTCATCTTTTGCATAGAAAAACCAAAAAAATCATAAAATTTTCAAAAAATCCAAAAATATTTTCATCTTTTTGCATTCATATTTGTTAGACTTGTTTAGGATTGCATTTTCACTTGCATTGTTGATTTGACTTTGAAAACTTGTCCATCTTTTGCGATTTCTTGAGTGCCCTGTTTTTAGATTCTTTTGTGCATTAGGGTGAGATTGATTGAGCAGCAAGAACCATGTTTATCTTGATCATATCACTGCATGCACATCTCATTCAACCATTGCTGTGATTTGATGCATTTCCCTATCTATTTGAACCATAACTTGATCTTTAATTACCAATGCTTGCATTTGATTTCAACTCATGGCTACCACATACATATCTGGACATTCTTTACCTTTTCATATCCCTTTGCTTGTCCAGATAGCTGATCTCTATCTTTGAGACAGTTACCACACCTTAAACCTAAGCCTTTTCATTTCAAACCCCTTATTATCTCTTGTGCGAATTGTGAGAACCTTTCTTGGCTTTGCTTAGCATAAGGTGTTGTGTTTAAACCGGCAGGGGCAGTAGTTCTAGTTGTCTAGTTCTCTTGGGATTGTTTTCAGGCTAAGTTTGGGGGTGCCAACTCGAGCTCGATCGAGTTGGGTGTAAAAACCAGAAAAGTGGTAAAAGTTGGGAAAATCCAAAGGAAAAAGAGTTTAGTTAAGTCCAGGGAGTTGGCAGTGTAAAAAGGGTCTAGTAAAGGTTTGGGAAGTTAAAAAAAAGTAAAAAGGGTTCTAAGTAGAATGAAAAGAAGGCAAAGCCTCAAGTGTCAAAAAGAAAGAAAAGTTCCCTAAGTGTTTAGAAAATCCCAAACCGCTAGATGTTACCTCAAGAAGCCTCTCCCTAGGAAGTTCTTAAAAGAAAAGTGAGCAAAGCTCCTCAGTTTCAAAGGCGAAATGCCAAAAAGGGTAGTTAGGATTTTGTTCTAAAAAGCTCTAAGTGTTGAACTCGATCGAGTTAGGATTAGGCGGCTCGAGCTGCTGTTCTTGCATCATCTTTGGTTCTAACACTTAGCCTTCTGCCAAAGCAAAGCCACTTTCTTGAGAGATCCCTGTTACTAAACCACCATACAAAAGAGACCCTCTTTGTCTCTTAACCCATAAACCCTTGAAACCAAATGAGTTGATTGATCTTGCATGTTTTTGGTTCACTGTTTTTGCTTAATGAATGTTAAAGGGATTTGCTGATTTGAATGCATTGTTTGAGTGACTGTGAAGTGGGATTGATGTTGATAAGCATGGTTAAATCTTAATGAATATCTCTCACCTTGTTGCATTCTAGAATCTCTAAGTTGGACATTTAGCAAATCGCTTTTGAGGACATGTTTTTAAGTGTTGAATCAACTTGTTTTCAAACCTCATCTCTTTCTTGTTCTATTTGTTTGCTTGAGGGCAAGCAAAGGTCAAGTTTGGGGGTGTTGATGTACTTGCATTTTACATAGTTTTAGTACATCTTTTATGCATCTTTTGCATAGTTTTAGCATCCATTAGCATCATATCTTGTTCCTTTTCTCTTCTTATGCATTCATAGTAGTTTTAGGTTGCATTTGCATACATATGCATGTTTGGTCCTTTGAAATAGGTCTTTTGGAGCATTCTGGAGCATATGGGACAAGGAGCATGGAGGGACTTGGCACATGGACGCAGCTCAACTGGATACGCAAAGGAAGAAGGAGAAGCCATCTTGAAGACCAGCTCGACCATCTACTCGACCAACCGGTCGAGTTCCTCAACTCGACCGGCCAAGCTTCAACTCGATCGAGCTGAGAAGTCAACAGTCAAACCCGAAAAATGTTGCTTCCCCCTTGACTTTCCTTTGACCCTAAACCTAATCCTCTTGTATTTAAAGGCTAAAAGCCACGAAAAAACCACCAAGCTTTAGATTACTTTTGTTTTAGTTTCTTTTAATTATTGTCTTTTACTTTTTGAGAGCTCTAATCCCATCTTTGTGTTCTTGAAGCTCTTGCTTCTTGAATCCTAGATCCTGGATAATCTCTTTGTATTTGCACTTGCTTATTTCAATAAAAGTTGTTTATTTCATCTCCTCTTTCTTATGATGTCTCTTTTATTGCATTTGCTTGTGTTTACATTCATGTGTAGTGAGTAGTTACCCATTAGGGTTTGAGATGGGATAGATTAGAGGTTTTATGCTTAATCCTTCTTGCTTATGGTCTTAATCTAGATCTCTCTCTTTTGGATAATCTTAAGGCTACATGACCACTACCCCTGGCTTGTATGTCCTTAGGCGATTCTCCACATGGAAGTGATGGAAATCGCTGGAAAAGATCCACTAAGAGCTCCAATATCTCTTGCTCTAGAAATGAGGTCTAAGGGGTTGGATGGATTAGTTTGGGCAATGATCCTATGGCCTCCAAGGCTTGATTCTCACTGGCTAACCCCCTGTTTCTGAGATCATCCTTGGTTGATAGCCTTTCACCTTGGGAAAGGGTTGCTAGGCATTGAGAAGCCCAATATCAAGAGAAGCCTTGATACAAGTTTTAAGAGCAGATTGATTAAGTATAGCTTCCTCTGATTGCAAAACCCTGTCTTGAACCCTAATTCTCTTTAGCTTGTTAAAGTCGTGCCTTTATTGCTTTTTACTCAACTCGACCCTAAACTCGATCGAGCTCGGTACTCTGTTCCACTCGACTCGAGTCCTTGGTCGAGCTGTTGCTCACTGCTTTATTTACTTTTGCATTTCATTTCTTTTCATTAGGTTGTTAGTGTTACTCATATCTATTACTGCTTGCTTGACTTTCTTGTTGTTTCATATTCTCATAGAGTGACAAGTTTCCCATTTTGGATTGATAACCCTTTACTATAACACTATGATGGTTAAAGGGAATTGTTGATGTGTTTGTGTTTGCATCTTACCACCTCATCATATACCACTGTTGCATTCCACCACATCTCATTTCATATCATTTCACACCACACACAAATCCTATCATCAGTGGGTGATATGAAATGATATGAAATGATGTAAGTGATATGAGGTGGAATGCAAACAGTGGTGAATAAAGATGAGATGGTATGGTGCAATCACAATCAATCAATTCATCTTAACCATCATAGTCGATGTAGTATAAGAGGTTATCAATCCATAAGGGTGAGATGTTGCTCTATGAGAATATGCAAACACAAGGAAGTCAAGCAGACAGTAAAGATGATTGGAAGTAACTCTAACAACCTAATGAAATGAAATGCAATGCAGAAAGTAAAAGAAAGCAGTAAATGAAAGCAGCTCGACCAAGGGCTCGATCGAGTAGAACAGAGTAACGAGCTCGATCGAGTTGAGGGTCGAGTTAGCGTAAAAACAGAGGAAAAGCGATAAAGATACGAACTTTAAACGATAATGCGAAAGTTAGGGTCTAAGACAGGGTCTTGCGACTAGGGGAAGACTATACTTAATCAATCTTGCTCATTAACCACTTGTACTCAAGCTATCTCTTGGTATTGAGCTTCTCAAGCCTAGCTAACCCTTTCCCAAGGTGAAAGCTATCATCTAAGGCAAGATCTCAGAAACAGGGGGTTAGCCAGTGAGAATCAAGCCTTAGAGGCAGTAGGATCATTGCTCAAACTAACCCATCCAACACCTATAAACTCCATTTCGAGAGCAAGCATATTGGAGCTCTTAGTGGACCTTTTCAAGCGATTTCCCAACACTTCCATGAGGAAAATCGCCTAGACTCATACACGCCAGGGTAGTGGTCATGTAGCCTTAAGGTTGTCCAAAAGAGAGAGATTTCTAGATTAAGAACATAAGCAAAAGAGATTAAGCATAAGGATCCTCTAGTCTAGCCCATCTTACCCTAAAGGATAACTACTCACTACACATAATGAAATACACAATCAAATGAAATGAAAGAGACATAATATGAAAGAGGGAATGAAACTAAAGAACTTTTATTGAAATAAGCAAGTGCAAATACAGAAAGATAAGCCTAGATCTAAGGTTCAAGAGCAAGAGCTCAAGAACACAAAGAGAGGCTTAGGTTTTGCAAAAAGTAAAAATACAATTAAAGAAAAGCTAAAACAAAATAAGCTAAAGATTGTTGTCTTTTTCGTGGCCACAAGCCTTTAAATACAAGAAGGATTAGGTTTAGGGTCAAAGGGGAGTCAAAGGGGAAGCAACATTTTTCGGGTTTGACCATTGACTCCGCAGCTCGATCGAGTTGGAACTTGGCCGGTCGAGTAGATGGGTCGAGCTGTCTTCAAGACGGCTTCCTTCTTCATCCTAAGCTTGTGCGGTTGAGCTGAATCCATGCACCAAGTCCTTCCTTGCTCCTCACGTCCCAATGCTCCAAAGTGCTCCAAAAAGACCTATTCAAGGATCAAACATGCACATGTATGCAAATGCAACCTAAAACTACTATGAATGCATAAGAAGGGAAAAGGAACAAGATATGATGCTAATGGATGCTAAAACTATGCAAAAGATGCATAAAAGATGTACTAAAACTAGGCAAAATGCAAGTACATCAGAAGACAAAACCAGTCCAATGCCTATTTATCCAGCAAGATTAACGGCGACCCAAGGTATGAGTTCAGGTTATTTCATTTAAAATAACAAGTTTCCTTTATGTTTTTAGCAGGATGTTTTCCCTTTAAGTTTTAGACATCTTGTTGTCGTTGAGTCTTTATTTACAAGTCTTGTTGTTTCAAGTCTTTACTTTAACAGTCCTGTCGTTTTGAGTCTTTCCTTTTTGTTTCGACCCTAGAAGGTCACAGGCTATTGAACTTTTTATAAAGTTCAGTCCGGCCTTTGTATTTTTTTTTACCTTTGATATTAATAAAACAGAACTTTTCTTAAACCTAAGAGCAGCCGCCTCTTGTTTCCATCTCTTTGCTTTGTTGAGACCAGCACCTCCATAGCTCGAGACTTCGTGATTATCACAAGTCTATTCATTACTTGTGTGGTTCACTTCGTTCCCATGTTACGTATTCATCTTTCCCGGAGCATGAAGCTCAAGAACACAAAGAGAGGTTTAGGCTTGCTAAAAGGTAAAGATACAAAAATTAAAGAAAACCTAAAACTAAAAGTAGGCTAAAGATTGTTGTCTTTTTCGTGGCTTAGAGCCTTCAAATACAAAGGAGATTAGGTTTAGGGTCAAGGGGGAAGCAACATTTTTCGGGTTTTACTGTTGACTTCTCAGCTCGATCGAGTTGAAGCTTGGCCGGTCGAGTTGAGAAACTCGACGGGATGGTCGAGTAGGTGGTCGAGCTGGCTTCAAGATGACTTCCTCCTTCGTCCTTTGTGTGTCCGGCTGAGCTGCGTCCATGCACCAAGTCCTTCCTTGCTCCTCACGTCCCAAATGATCCAAAGTGCTCCAAAAGACCTATTTCAAGGACCAAACATGCACATGTATGCAAATGCAACCTAATACTACTATGAATGCACAAGAAGGGAAAAGGAACTAAAACTATGATGCTAATGGATACTAAAACTATGCAAAAGATGCATAAAAGATGTACTAAAACGATGTAAAATGCAATTACATCAGTATCTCACCTATTGTCTCCAAACCTTCTGGTTCCTAAGATCAAGAGATCTGACACCACGCTTGTATCACAGCTCCACATCAAAAATTTGGCGCCGTTGCCGGGGAGATAGTCGCATTTTTCCTTCAAATATTTTGATTGAATTATAGTCTAGTTCTTAGTTTCTTGCAATACATATCTGTTTTAATTAATCTTTTAAAACTCATAATTTTTTAACTTAAATATCTTTCTTTTTGTTTTTAGGTGCATAAAAACAAGGCCCAACTCAAACAACACACTTGGGGAGGATCTTAACATTGACCAGCTCAAAAAAACACTTGGGCGACAAAGAAGAAAAAGAATGAACCAAGCCGGAGAAGCCCCTGCACAAGGTGGCCAGTAGCAATCTCCTGCCCCAGAGAAACAAGCACGCAATGCCCATGTCCCTGATGGAGCTGGTGCTGATCAGCCAGAACAAGGAGGAGCCGCACCTCCACCAAACAATCACCACCCTCTCGGTGCAACTGATCAGCCGCAACACAATCAACACCAACCATGTATCCAAACATGGGACAACAAAACCAGCATCACAGTGACCACCAAGGCATACCTCAAGCTCAACAACATGTGCCTCAAAGGAGAGAACAATTCGCTCAGCATCTGAGGCACCAAATCATGGAAGAGTTTGATTCTTCCGATGCTTTCTTCTTGGACCGGAACCCTATCCGCCTCCCTCAGCCTCCAAGGAACGACTTTGAGATCAAGCCTCAAATCACAGCCTTGGTGAAACAAAACCAGTTCCATGGTTTGTCCACCGAGCATCCTCTTGATCATGTCGACATCTTTGAGGAGATTTGTAGTACCACCCGGATAAATGGAGTTTCTCCGGACTACTACAAATGCATGCTGTTTACCTTCTCTCTATGTGACAAGGCACTTATATGGGTAAAGTCTCTGCCCCCTAAATCTATTACCACTTGGAATGAGTACAAGGGAGCTTTCTTAAACCAATTCTACACCAAGCAAAGATCAAACTCTATAAGGAGAAGGATATCCGGGTTTAAGCAAGCACCAATGGAGTCTTTCTTTGGAGTCTTTCTATGAAGTTTTGAAGCGATTCAAGGAATATACTAGGGACTTCCCTAACCATGGCTTCTCAGACGGTAACCTTTGGAACATCTTTTACAATGGGATCAATGGGATCGATCATAAGTACAAGCTTTCACTTGATACCGCGAGCGATGGGAACTTCATGACCAAGTCGGTTCCGGAAGCTAAGCTCTTAATCGAGAATCTTGATTTGAGTGATGCCAATGCCTGTCCTGAATACAATAGAAATGTGATTACCACAAGCTCATCATCGGAGTCAGCTCAAATCTCGGAGCTAAAGAACATGATCTCACAACTACTAAAGATCCGACAAGGAGTCCATGCCATTGAAGACGCCTTGGCCACTAATGAAAACCCTCTCCTCGAGTTTATAGGAGATGGAGCAGAAGATAATAAAGAGGAAGTGAACTACATTGCTGGAAACTTTGGGAATAGAGGATACAACCAACCGTTCCGCACACATCCAAATATACCCTTCCAGAGCACTAATGTGGAGAATCCTAATGATCAAGTGTATCCCGGATAAAACACCTATCAAGGAGCTCAATACCAGCCTAACAAACAAGTATATATTAAGGGAATCTATCAAGTGAAGCATCCCTTCACTTTCCCTCAAGGTGTGGTACCGGCTCAACAAGAAGAAAAAGTCGATGTGGCTTTGAAGAAGTAAATGGAGGAGCAAAGAAAAATCACCAAGAACCTATATGAGAAACTATATCACATGTTCAGTTATCTTAGTAGCAAGTTTGGGTGTCTCTCCACTCATGTCCAGAAGCTGGAGGTTCAAATTGTCCAAACCGCGGAGGCCGCTGATATACCTCTATTTTACATGCTTTTTATACTGTTTTAGTATTGTTTTCTAATGGTTTTTGGCAGGTTTTCTATCTAAAAAGGTAGTTTTACTGTGTTTATAGTGTCTAGAGTCTAAACAGGTGAAATGATGCATTTTGGAGCAAAACCATAGGATTTGCACTTCAAGCCGCTCCATGCACAAGCATCAACTTTAAGAGGGCCCAGAAAAAGATCTACTCAATGGATTTCATCAAGACCAGTTCCCTGCGTGCTCTGATTGAGTTAACTTTCCAACGCAACTGGAATGGCCTCATTTGGATGAGTAGAAAAGGAGTTACAACCAAAAGAGTGAAGACTGTCCAGACGGCTCTATCGAGAATCAGCGCCCAAACCGCGCAGTCCGGCTGGCCGAGAAACGATTGTTTCACGCTCGGCCAAATCACATCCGTCCGTCTGAAGTCTCGGCCAAAGTTCAAACCGTCGGCCGATCACGCATCACGACCCGGGAAACTAAGTCCCGCGGTCGGCCAAGCCACAACCGTCACGCCACGCCGCGCACGACCATGCCGCGCGAGCCGGGAAACAAAGCCTCGCGGCCGCGCAACCTGTTCGCGTACCACGGCCGATGCATCCGTCCGAGCCGGGAAAGACGTCCCGTCCGGCCGAGAATTCATCGGCCAATCTTCATCCGTCCGACCACAGCGGCCGACCACGAATCCGTCCGGCCACGACCGTTCCGACGTCTAGCGGCCATGACCCGACATCCGGCCGATCGTCCCGACCGACCGTCCCAACGCCGCGGTCGACCCGAAGCCCGTTTTGAAGCCCGTTTCATATTTTCAAGGCCCGGCTTAACCCTAAGCCGCCTCAAAAGACCTAGCACTATATATATAGCTTTTTAGCCTCTTGTGAAAGAGAGCCGCCTTGTATCACGATTTCTACTTTAAGTTTTATTGCAATCATGTTTTCTTCATCTCTTTGTGTTTTGCTTTGATTATGTCTGAGTAATTCACTAGTTAGGTTGTGAGATCTATCAAAGAGTTCATGGTTTGATAGGTTGTTAGAAATCGCATAGGGTTTACTATATCGCATCTTCGCCTCTGCTTGAATTCATTGCTGCTTGCTTTTCTGATCAACTAGCATCAGATCTTAGGTTTCATATACTCTCCAAAAGCTTGCTATATAACCTGAACTAAGTATTTGGTGAGCAAAACTTCATAGACTGCGAAAGTTGATCTATGCGGGGTTGTGAACAATTGGGTCTTGAACGAACTATTGCTTGATTTAATCACCTAGGGACATACCAAAAGTTTAGCGACTAGGTAGATTAACAAAGGGGTCGGAGCCTCGACAGTGGAAAGATCATACAATCGTGACCTGAGTTCTAGATAGCGCAAACCCTAGCGAACCCTTCTAATATCTTGTTACCTTGAATCTCTGCGAGTTTCTCATTGCCTAGCGTTTCCCTTTATTGATTTTCATAAACCGTTTAATCTGCTGTTTGATTTACTTTGTTACACAATCAAAACCCTAAATCATACTTGTTTTCTAGCTATATTAGACTTGCAATACTCGAAGTGTACTTATCTGCTCCTTGTGTTCGATACCCGTTTACTACTTTGATCTGTGCACTTGCAGAATCAGGGATAGGAAAAGGGAAGACCTGATCCCGCGATCAGCCGCGAAGAAGCAACATGAGGTAAACCCTCAAAAGTTTTGTAGTGTTGTCTTATCTGAGGAGAACCAGCTCATACCTGTCCCTAAATCATCTCATAAAGGAGAAAAAGAAGATGAACCTAAGAAGAGCAAGAAACCGGAGAGGTTTCCATGGGAATCAAGGAGAGCTTACAAGAGAAGACTTGAGAACAAGCCATTGTCGAAGATAGAAGATCCGGGGAAGTTTGTGATTCCCGTTTCCATTAATGGGTACCAACTAGATGATTGCCTATGTGATACTGGAGATCATTTGAATATCATGTCTCATGCATTAGCAAAGGACTTGGGATTCAAAAAAATTAAAGATCCTAAGGTGAAGGTTGAGTTTGCGGATCTATCTTGTATGGAGCTCTATTGACTTCTTGAAGATGTAATGCTGGAGATAGGAGAGCGTCTAATCCCTACTGATTTTGAAATCATAGTATCGGAAGAATCAAAGAGGAACCGGCTGATACTTGGAACCCCATTCCTAGCCACAGCCGGTGCGATCATAGACTACATGAAAAACCGCATATCACTTGGAAATGTCAGGGAATATATTTTCTTCCAAAGCATCAACTTCAAGACAGCACCAAGTGAAATCAAGATACAAACAGAGAAAGCCACTCAAGTGCCAAAGAATGGAGCCATGTCCACATACCCTAAGAAGAGTGAGCACTATCCAAAACCGAAGGAGGCCATGAAACCATCAAAGCTGAAACATGAAGATGTCTTCAAAGATATAAACTCAGTTTTGCTCCCTACCTTGGACGAAATGAATCTGAAGTGGAGCAGTGTCATGTGCCTAAGTCATTTGCCCATATAAAGATCCTTGCCGGTCAGGATCCGGACCCAAAAGAAGATCATACCGCAAAGGAGAAGCTCGGGAACAGCTTAAACCTTTTGAGTGCTTTTGTCTTCAAAGATGGAAAGGGAGATGATCTTGGAGTGCCCAAACCACCACATGATCCTCCTGAATCAGAAAATGAAGAAGCTAAAGGGATCCCAAACCCTTTAGTTTATCTTCCCCGGACCTAAACTAAAAAGGAGTCGAACTAAATGACTTAAAACAAAGCGCTTTGTGGGAGGCAACCTACATGGTTTTAATTTTCATTTTTAATTTTTATATTATCATTTCATGCATAACTACTTAGTTTTATTTTTCAGGAATTTTTAAAATTGCATAAAAATACAAAACAAATTGTTTTATGATGTAGACCAAAAGAAGACCAAACAAAGAAAGTGTCCCACCCATTGTTCCCACCCTTGTACAAAGGCGAAATCTCCAAACCAGGTAAGTAACTCTTTCTAGTACATTCAATAACAACAATTTTGAACTTAACTTGATAAGAATTTGAACCTTGCACTTCATTAGTTACATTTAAATGGTTTCAATACCTTAAAAATTTGATGGTTCATGAATGAGATACTACCTTAACTTGTCAAACTCATCATATGCATTGATTCACTTATATTAGACTATTTTATAACTTTGGGATCCCTAACCAAGACCCTAAATGTTTTTATAGTTTATACCATATTCTCTTAGATTGAGAACTTCAAGTTGGTTACTTGGGATCTCAATCTAAGACCGGATCTAACAGTGATTTCAAGTGTTTTGCAAGGACTTAACTCTTTGACAAGAAGGATACCAAGAAAAGTTGCTTTAGCCGCACAAAACCATAAGCCCTATGGCAGTTTATAGGCGGCTTCAAAGATGATCCACACAAATCACAAGGAACAAGGTGGAAACCACATGGGATTAATAAAGGAGGGATGAAAAATAACTTTGGTCGAAGAAAATCTCAATTTGACCAAGTATATTTGAAGATATCCCATCCAGCCAATTTCTTTCGGCCAAACGGGTGCCGAGGAGACCCATTATCGACCATCTCCCAAACCGTGTGTTCGAAGTCCACCAAACTTCACAAGCACGTCCACCATACCATATTGGTCGGAAAAAGTTCAAGAAAGGACACTGAAATGTTCACAGTTTAGGAGATGTCCGAGCAAGCCCTATCTGGTGCATTGCGGTGAACCAAAATGGCCGACAAATCTAAATCATGGCATAGGCGCGAACACCGCCTGGAAATGATTTCTTGGAGCTTCAATATCACGTTTCCAGAAGAAGATTAGAAGATGCACAAGCCAAACATCAAATGGTCAAAGGAAGACGTTCGCGTAACCGACCACCTACCGAATCATCTCTCAAACCGCTCGTTCGAATGCCCTGAGACTTCACCAGCGGCCATAAACTATCATGTTAGTCGATGAAATTTAAAGATGGTACAAGGAAATCTTCACGGTTTGAGCTGTGGTCCATAACATACCCTTTCGGTCGACCAAAATGCCAATCCGGAGCGAACTTGGCCTAGAAATTCAAACCTCACAGACCAATCATGCGTAAGGAAGTGCCTCATACACAGATCCACCCGTGATCTTCACACAAAATGGTCATCACTATGTAACAGCATCCTATCTCTATGTTTTCATTTTATTTTATTTTTTTTCACCCCTCTTAATCCAATTTGCTTACACCGGGACAATGCAAGTTAAGTATGGAGGGATTAGTACTGATTAGTTTGTTCACTTTGGCATTTCATTCTGCATTATTTTCATTTCATTGAGTCGTTTTTACTGAGTCAAAATCTTTGTCGAGAATTATGACATAATCTTGGATGAGCTGGATCTAACCATTGTTGTGCCAATATTTGAGTAATCACTGGATCAGTTATTGGCAGCTTGTCTTACCACATGTGCACCGTTAGTGGATCTATCTACCAAAACGCCCACATCTCTAAGTGCATAAGGAGGATTGATGTGGAGTCAGGTTTTACCAAACTCCTAGACCTCTGCAAGTGCACAGATCGCGGAAGTATGGGTATCGAACACAAGGACTGGCTATTGAGTACACTTTGAAACTATGGATTTTGGATCAAGCTAAAACAAAAGTATGATTGAGGTTGTAATGGTGAACCGAACTAGCAAGTATAACGAGGTTGTAAACAATAAAGGAAACGCTAGGTCATAGGGGCTATCGCAGAGAAGCAAGCAATGATCAATGAAACAATGATAGATGAATTGATTAGGGATATTGGGATATTAAGAACCGTCTAGAACACAGATCACGAATATAAAACCATTCCACTTTCGAGGCTCCGGCTCCTTTGTTAATCTACCTAGTCGCTAAACTTTTGGTATGTCCCTAGGTGATTAAATCAAGCTTTAGAATGAATAGGTTCTGATACAGTTCACTAGATATAGTAGATCAACTTTCGCAGTCTAAGAAACCTAGCTTGTCAAAGAATATGTCCGGCGAATGATACAACACTGTCGAGGCTCAAATCAACCTAAGATCGGATTACTAGATGCGCGGTAAAGCAATCAGCATTAGTTAAGTGCACAAGACGAGACAAAGACTCTATATAATCCCTAGCTAATCATCGAAATCAAAGATCATGCAAGCAACTCATTGAATAGTAACCCTAGCAACCTAACTAGTGGATTACTCAGACATGATCAAAGCAAACACACATAGAGATGAAGAAAACATGATTGCAATAAAACTTAGAGTAGGAAATCGAAATACAAGGGCGGCTCTCTTTCACAAGAGGCTAAAAAGCTATATATATAGTGCTAGGTCTTCAGAGGCGGCTTAGGGTTAAGCCGGGCTTGAAAATATGTGAAACGGGCTTCAAAACGGGCTTCGGGTCGACCGCGGCGTTGGACGGTCGGTCGGGACGATCGGCCGGATGATCGGGTCATGGCCGCGTACGATCGGAACGGTCGTGGCCGGACGGATTCGTGGTCGGCCGCTGTGGTCGGACGGATGAAGTTTGGCCGATGATTTCGGCCGGACGCGGGACGTAGTTCCCGGCTCGGACGGCGCATCGGCCGTGGTACGCGAGAGGTTGCGCGGCCGCGAGGCTTGTTCCCGGCTCGCGCGGCATGGTCGTGCGCGGCTTGGCGTGAGCGGTTGTGGCGTGGCCGACCGCGGGACATGTTTCCCGGGTCGTGATGCGTGATCGGCCGAGTTTTGGACTTTGGCCGAGACTTCAGACGGACGGATGTGATTTGGCCGAGCGTGAACATTCGTTCCTCGGCCAGCCGGACTGCGCGGTTGGGCGCTGATTCTCGATAGAGCCGTCTGGACAGTCTTCACTCTTTTGGTTGTAACTCCTTTTCTACTCATCCAAATGAGGCCGTTCCAGTTGCGTTGGAAAGTTAACTCAATCAGAGCACGCAGGGAACTGGTCTTGATGAAATCCATTGAGTAGATCTTTTTCTGGGCCCTCTTAAAGTTGATGCTTGTGCATGGAGCGGCTTGAAGTGCAAATCCTATGGTTTTGCTCCAAAATGCATCATTTCACCTGTTTAGACTCTAGACACTATAAACACAGTAAAACTACCTTTTTAGATAGAAAACCTGCCAAAAACCATTAGAAAACAATACTAAAACAGTATAAAAAGCATGTAAAATAGAGGTATATCAACTCCCCCAGACTTAGATCTTTGCTTGTCCCCAAGCAAAAAGAATCTAAATCCGTGAAAGAGGTTTGAAAACGTGGAACTCCCTTGCTCTTTTGAATATCCTGTGAAAGGTTCCTTTCCTGTATTCCACTAAGAACATAGACAACATAAGGTTAGCTTCACATACACCCTGCAAGTTTAGCGAACAATACCAACCCAACTAGTCTCATCCAGCAATCCAAACTCTCTATTGCTAACCTCTTGCATAAATTTAAAGCGTGAGTTCTTTATCAAGGGAACATCGATCAATTGAACTTGTTCTTACCCACTTGATCTTCTCCAAGATTGTCTTTAAGTGCAATGAGTTCTTTTCCTCTCTCTTTCTCACATCAGAACTTTGAAAGGTCAATTTCTCCCTACTTTTCTAGGGTATCATTTTATTTTTTCTATTGACCCTTCTTTCAACCACAGGATAAGTCTTTAGCTTGTTCCTTGTTTGACTAAGGTATTCCATAAGACATGAAGGTACAGACATATGCATTCCTCATGCTTACTTGTTTTCCTTGTGCTCTTTGAGCTTTTTCTCATAAACATTACTTACCATTTGGGATGGGAGAGAGAGGAGAACTCTTTAAAGATTAGACAAATCTCATTGAAAATCAAGCAAGGAACTGTCGACATGTATGCCAATCCCCTTGACAAGAGTATTAAGATTGATTAAGGGTGAGGTTAACTCTAGATTGCTTGGTTACCTTAGAAATTTTGCTGAGCTAGCATGTCGATCCACTGTAAGAGCTTCTGTTAGGCTTGTGCCTTTAGCTGGTTTCTGCTCTAGGGTCATGGATTGTTAGCACAACACTCTCAATTCTCAAAGCAAGTTCATAACTTCCGGACTGGTTTTTGACTCAATAAAACTTTTTGAAAAACATGAAACAAAGTAATAAAACATAAGAAAAGAAAGAAAAATGCATTAGTAACACAATAAAACTCCCCCCAGACTTAACTTGCACCGTCCCGGTGAAAGCAAATCACATTAAGGTGAGAGGTAATATTCAAAGTAAAAGAAAAATAAAGAAGAAATTCATTAAAATGAGATAGGGATAGAAAATGGAGATTTGTAAGTGTCCATTGCACTAAGTACCACTTGAGATGACTATGTGTGGCAGTGAGAAGAACTCTCTTCCTCATCTATGGGGTCATCGCCTTCTGAACCAAGCTCTGAGTCTAGTGAGAACTCACCAAGGTCAGGCTCATATGGCTCTCTAGCGGTGGAAGAAGGGCGAAAGAGTCTCTCCGGTGCAATGTGGCGAACTACACGAACTAGGCGTGAGATGAAGCGAGATTGGCATTCCACTATCTTCTCCAGCTTGTTACACGGTCTAGAGCTTGGTGCGCGGCCATGCCAGTAGTGAGAACATGGCGTTCTTGGTGGCGGCGTTGAGTCTTGACTGCATGCTGAAGTGTGCGATAGGTGAGCATGGGGAATGATGGTTTCTCACTTGATGGAACATAGAAGTCTTCCTCATTGGGCTGGAAAGTGACAACACCTGAGCGTAGGCTTGGGATGTCTTCATGTGGCAGCAAGACAAGGGAAGTGTTGGCTGGACCAATTGGAAACTCATAGCAAAACCGAGTTGGGTCTTTAGTCCAACGGTTTAGGAAGTGGATGTGCTGAAGAGCATGGAGATCCAAAGGGGTTGGCTTGGGTAGTGGCTCATAGTTGGGAATGTCAATCCCCACATGTTGCACTATGGCCGTGATAAGCCTCCCAAAACGAACACAAAGCTTCTTGTTGCCTTCCAAGTCTTTAGCTAGCTTCCTCACATTGATGAATGTCTTGGCAAGTAAACCAAGGTTGGCCTTGTACTCATGCTTGATGAATGGTGTGGTGAGGATGTAGAACTCATCAGTTGTGACCTTGTTGGCTTCTTGTTTGCATTGGAAAGTGGTGGAGATGAGGCGGTGCACATAGCGAATGGCTGGATGAGTGATTCTAGACACCTTTGATCTTGAAGGCAAGAATGGTTCATTGGCAAAGTGTGTCCAATCAGCAAAGGCAGCTTGTTTCCTCTTTGAGTTCTCCTTGAAGTCATGTGCTGTCTCATTGGGAAGTCCAAAGAGTTGGCATAGAGCTGAGATGGAGATGCGCCCATTGGCATCGCCTATCTTGAAGAGTAGGAGTCCATCACCAGCTGGTTGGTCTCCATTGTGGTTGGGAAAGGCAAGAGCTACTGTGGAGAGGAACTCCTTGGTGAGTTGAGTACTCACTACACTCTAGCTTGAAGAGCTTGCTCAAGCCTAGCTTCCTTATGTACCATGTGACATCATCTCTTATCTTGAGAAGGTCAAGGGTTTGGGTGTCCATCTTCACACAAGGTTCGATGTTCACCTTCTCCATTGCCTTCTTGCACTTTCTTGGGTCTTGGATTTGTTCTCCAACAAAGCTTACAAGTGCCCAATCATCTTCTCCTTCTTGGACTCTCCACATGTTCTTGATTGCATCAATGGAATGTGGTGAAGTTGGTATTGCTGCTCTTGCATTGGAGCTACTACTCCCTAGCTTGATTTGTTTCTTGGTGGTTGCATGAATGGGTCTTCTTCTTCTTCATACTCTCATTTCCTTTTGTCTTTGCCATTGGGTACCTACAAGAGCAAATTCTTGGGAAGAGACATGAGTTTGTGATTAATGCAAAAGAAGATAAGCTAATTGAGTTGTAATAATGATATGGAATAATGGAACAACTCAAGGCTTAATCATAATCAAAGAAACAAAATGGAAATTTCACTTTTTCAAAGTTAATTTTCGGATTTTACTGTTCATCTCAAGATTATGGTGCTTAAAATCGAAATTTTCAGCAAATCAAGAGAAATTGAGTTTCTAATCCAAGTAATCACTAGATAAACTAATGAATTGAAGTATGCTAAGCAATTTCACCTTTGAATGAGGGGTTTGGATACATAGCACGAAAGCTTCGTCCGATGACCGCTTCCCGCTTCGGAATCGGAATCGGAATCGGAAGCTCTCGGAAGCTTTCGGAAGCTCGCTTCCATGATGCTTCCTAAAAAACCCCTTTAAAAATGTTTTGGAAGCTTACCATTCCGTTTTGGAAGCTTACGCTTCCATTCAAAAATATGATATCTTAAATAATTATGAATAATTTTATATGTTTATGATTTTATAAGTTATAAAATGAAAAACTAATATACCATGTATTTAATTTGGCATTCACAAATTAAAGACTAATTTTAATCTATTATCTGTCTATAAAAAATTTGTTTGAAAAAGTTATTACAAATAAAACGAGAATAATTATTTTGATTAGAAAAATGCGATTTTAATTTAGTGATCTTTCTTTAATAAATAGATATTATAAGATTATTTTACATGGAGTTAGAGAATAACGAAATAAGTAACTAAAATTGGTTTTTTATTTGAATTATTATTAATTGAATAAAATTGATATATTTGATTTATGCTATATATAGACGCTTCCAACACGTACCCGCTTCCTAATTTTTTTTAAAATATCGTTTCTGCGCTTCCAAACGCTTCCGCTTCCGCGTACCCGCTTCCAAACTTTGGAATACCCAATGAGTTTTGTGAAAAACTATTCAATTGTGAAATTAAACTCTAAATAACTCCAAACCACCTAGGTTCCACCTAGCTAAGTTCATTACAAGACTAATAAGAGTGCCAATTTCAAGTTTAGTCAAGAGTTTAGACCAAACAAGAAACTTATCGAAATTTTTGATCTTGTATAAACATAGAATTAGAGTTAGAAGACATACCTTGTGTGTTGAAATGTGAATAATGGTTGCAAGAGCAAGTAATTTCTAATTTACAGTTATGAACAGTAAAAAATTTGAAATCAAAACTCTTAAGAGTTCCTCTAATGGGGTTTTAGGGTTTTGGAGAAGAAAGAGAGGTTCTTGTTGTTTTCAATGGAAAGGTAAAGTAAATAAGCTCAAGTCCTATTAATTTTCCTTTTCAAATTCGAATTTTTGATTGAAAACCGGTTTAAGTTGGTTTAGGATTGGTTAAAACCGGTTTGAATTTAATGAAAAGGGAACTTACCTTGGCCGAGAAAAGTTTGGTCGATGGCCATGAGATTTTGTCGCGGCCGTGCGATTTGGTCGGCCAAATCTCGTATGGACGAGAGATTTCGGCCGAGGCCGATTGTTAGTTTCCCGGATCGACCGTAACAGTCGGTCCGTTCCGATACAACAATCCGGCCGAGCGCGGTCCGTTTCTTCTCTGTTCGTGCGTGCCGCGCGGGCGGTTCTTTGTCGCGCGTTTGAAGCAATCCGGCCGAGCATAAGCCATTCCTTCCCGGCTCGACGGGCACAGTCGGCCCGGTTGGAAATTGCTCGGCGAAAACTTTTTTTTTTCTGCGCGTCCGCGGCCAATGGTTTGGCGCGGATTGTGTCTTCACACCTTTTTATCCTTCTATCTGATGTGGAGTCAGGTTTTACCAAACTCCTAGACCTCTGCAAGTGCACAGATCGCGGAAGTATGGGTATCGAACACAAGGACTGGCTATTGAGTACACTTTGAAACTATGGATTTTGGATCAAGCTAAAACAAAAGTATGATTGAGGTTGTAATGGTGAACCGAACTAGCAAGTATAACGAGGTTGTAAATCAATAAAGGAAAAGCGCTAGGTCATAGGGGCTATCGCAGAGAAGCAAGCAATGATCAATGAAACAATGATAGATGAATTGATTAGGGATATTGGGATATTAAGAACCATCTAGAACACAGATCACGAATATAAAACCATTCCACTTTCGAGGCTCCGGCTCCTTTGTTAATCTACCTAGTCGCTAAACTTTTGGTATGTCCCTAGGTGATTAAATCAAGCTTTAGAATGAATAGGTTCTGATACAGTTCACTAGATATAGATAGATCAACTTTCGCAGTCTAAGAAACCTAGCTTGTCAAAGAATATGTCCGGCGAATGATACAGCACTGTCGAGGCTCAAATCAACCTAAGATCGGATTACTAGATGCGCGGTAAAGCAATCAGCATTAGTTAAGTGCACAAGACGAGACAAAGACTCTAATATAATCCCTAGCTAATCATTGAAATCAAAGATCATGCAAGCAACTCATTGAATAGTAACCCTAGCAACCTAACTAGTGGATTACTCAGACATGATCAAAGCAAACACACATAGAGATGAAGAAAACATGATTGCAATAAAACTTAGAGTAGGAAATCGAAATACAAGGGCGGCTCTCTTTTCACAAGAGGCTAAAAAGCTATATATATAGTGCTAGGTCTTTTGAGGCGGCTTAGGGTTAAGCCGGGCTTGAAAATATGAAATCGGGCTTCAAAACGGGCTTCGGGTCGACCGCGGCGTTGGGACGGTCGGTCGGGACGATCGGCCGGACATCGGGTCGTGGCCGAGTCGGACGATCGGTCGTCGTGGCCGACGGATGCGTGGTCGGCCGCTGTGGTCGGACGGATGAAGATTGGCCGATGAAATCTCTCGGCCGGACGCGGGCGTTCCCCGGCTCGGACGGAGCGTCGGCCGGTACGCAGACAGTTGCGCGGCCGCGAGGCTTGCTTCCCGGCTCGCGCGCTGGTCGTGCGCGGTGGGAGTGGCGTTGGCCGACCGCGGGCTTAGTTTCCCGGGTCGTGATTGCGTGCGGCCGATGGTTTTGGACTTTGGCCGAGACTTCAGACGGACGGACGAGATTTGGCCGAGCGCGGAACGTTCGTTCCTCGGCCAGCCGGACTGCGCGTTGGGCGCTGATTCTCGATAGAGCCGTCTGGACAGTCTTCACTCTTTTGGTTATAACTCCTTTTCTACTCATCCAAATGAGCCATTCCAGTTGCGTTGGAAAGTTAACTCAATCAGAGCACGCAGGGAACTGGTCTTGATGAAATCCATTGAGTAGATCTTTTTCTGGGCCCTCTTAAAGTTGGTGCTTGTGCATGGAGCGGCTTGAAGTGCAAATCCTATGGTTTTGCTCCAAAATGCATCATTTCACCTGTTTAGACTCTAGACACTATAAACACAGTAAAACTACCTTTTTAGATAGAAAACCTGCCAAAAACCATTAGAAAACAATGCTAAAACAGTATAAAAAGCATGTAAAATAGAGGTATATCACTATCCTATCTTAAAACAAAGAAAACACAAAAGCAAAACAAAAACTAAGAAATTTAAAGAAAGAAAAGTAAAAGTACCTCATGGGTTGCCTCCCATGCAGCGCTTGTTTTAAGTCTTTAGCTTGACTGTAAGGCTTGGCGCTCAGGAGAAGATGGAGACAAGAGGCATCTTTGATCCTCCAAGTCTTTTCTCCTTGCAATGAGTATCTGGTGGGTGATTCACAGCTGGATAGACAATCTCTCCATGAATGTCCCTTGGCACAAATGCCTTAGGAAAAAGTTTAGAGTTCTTGTCACTTTCTCCTTGAATCCTTCTAGATTCTCATCAATAAGCTCCTTTGCTTCATGTTGCGGCCAGACCTAGGTTTTCTACCTTCTTCTTGGCTTGGCCTCATCTTCAATCTTGGTTGATCCCTTGGGCGGTTTTGGTGTAGGGGCCTTAGTCTTACTCCTTGCTTGTGTGGCAAGCTGCTTGGGCTTAGGAATGGGATCTTCCTTGATGTTCTTCAGTTTCTCCTTCTTGGGGTGGCTTCAAAGTAACTTTCTCCTCTTGGACCATGTCAACAAAAGAGTTCTTTGTTGAACACATAGGGAAGAACATACCCTTGTTCACCTTGTTGAAAGAGATTCTTTGATTGGGGAAATCAAATATGGCACCCACAGTAGACAGGAAAGGGGTTCCAAATATGAGAGGTCTATGGCTACTCTCTCTCATTTCCACAATCTGGAAATCGGTGGGGATAGAGCAATTTCCAATCTGCACCATCACATTAGGCACAAAGCCATAGGGGTTTGTGAGAATGAATCAGCATAGTTGATGGAGATGGATGATGGCTGTATCTTGGTGAGGCCTATCTTGTCAGCTATCCTCTTAGACATGATGTTCACATTGGCTCCTGTGTCACACAAAGATTGCTCAAGAATGTTACCTTTGATGATACAAGGCACAACAAACTTTCCTGAGTTATCTGTCTTGGGGATAATCTTTGGGAAGAGTCTTCTCTTTCTAGCTCGATTGGACTCTCTCTCTGGGTAATCTCTTCAGGCCAAATCATGCAATCAACAGTAGGTTTTGAAAGCATCCATTCTGGAACTTGGTCTTCAAATCTTTCTTCTATGGCGGCTGAGTTGCAAAAGGACTTCTTGGATTCAGCTTCCTGTCTCTTAACAGCTTCCATAGTTTGAGTGACTTGAGTCTCTAGTTTCTTCACATGAGTGGCAACAGCATCATACTTGGTGTTGAGATTGCTGAACAAAGTGTCCATCTTCTCATACATCTCTTTGTATTCTCTTCTGGCCATCCATGATCTGTTGGAGGATTCCTTCAAATCTCCCACCTTGTTGGTTTGGAGGAGCTTGATTTGGTGAAGAAGCATATGGCTCCTTGGGCGGATATGATGATCTCTGCTCATACCCTTGCCTTGGCTGAATTGACTTCCTTGAGATTGGTAAGGAGGTCTTTGTTGTTGTGGATACCTTGGAGGATACACTTGGTCTTGAGGATTCTCCACATTGGGGTTCCTTGATGATAGGATTTTATGTGGATGTGATATGATATGAATGAAGGATGATAAGATATGAGGTGGAATGCAAACAGGGGTGAATAAAGATGAAATGGTGCAATCACAATCAATCAATTCCTCTTAACCATCATAGTCAATGTAGTACAAGAGGTTATCAATCCAAAATGGGAAAACTTGTCACTCTTTGAGAATATGAAACCACAAGAAAGTCAAGCAAGCAGTAATAGATTTGAAGTAACACTAACAACCTAAATAAATTGAAATGCAATGCAATAAAAGTAAACAAAGCAGTGAAGTAGCAGCTCGACCAAGAACTCGAGTCGAGTCAGAACAAAGTACCAGCTCGATCGAGTTTAGGGACGAGTTGAGACAAACAAAGCTAAAGGTGACGACTTTAACAAGATAATGCGAGTATTAGGGTCTAAGACAGGGTTCTACAATCAGAGGAAACTACACTTAATCCATCCAGCTCTTAAAACTCCTTGTATCAAGGCTTCTCTTGATATTGGGCTTCTCAATGCCTAACCAACCCTTTCCCAAGGTGAAGGTTATCAACCAAGGAATGATCTCAGAAACAGGGGGTTAGCCAGTGAGAATCAAACCTTGGAGGCTATAGGATCATTGCCCAAACTAATCCATCCAACCCCTTAGACCTCTATTTTCTAGAGCAAGAGATATTGGAGCTCTTAGTGGATTTTTCCAGCAATTGCCATCACTTTCGTGTGGGGAATCGCCTAAGGACTTACAAGCCAGGGTAGTGGTCATGTAGCCTTAAGATTGATATACCTCTATTTTACATGCTTTTTATATGGTTTTACTATGCTTTTCATAAGGTTTTTAATGGCTTTCTGATCTAAAAAGGTAGTTTTTATGTATTTATAGTACTTAGAGTCTAAACAGGTAAAAGATGCATTTTGGAGCAAAACACAGGATTTGGACTTCAAGACCACTCCAAGACGTAGCATCAGCTTAAGAAGGGCCTTAAAAACATTCTACTCAATGGACTTCATCAAATCCAGTTCGAGGAGATGCATACATGAGTTAGCTTTGCAATTCAACTGGAATCAATCAATTTGACCGAGTAGATTGGGAGATATCTCTATTTCCCTGAGACATATACCGAGGAGATTTATCGGACTGCATCAGTACATCAGACGAGCAGCAGCGGCTTAGACCCTTAAACTCAATGGATTTCAATGAAACTCAACACCAAGATAGCCAGATGAGTTATGTTCTAATGCCGTTGGAAGTATGCAATTTGGATAAGCCGTTTAGGAGATATCACGTTTGTACTGAAGACTGGTCCACAGCCGGCCGAACGCACTCGGCCGGACAGGAAGGGAATTGGCTTCGCTCGGCCTTCTCCAGGACCGATCCGGCCGCACGACCGCACCGTCCGACCCGGGAGGCAATGGACCACGATCGACCGAGATCATCACATCACGGCCGACCAGACCGTGCGACCCGGGAAGCAAAGGACCGCGCTCGACCCGATCTCCGCGAACAAGAAGCCCACTTATGCAGTTTTGACTTTTCTCAGCCCAATTAACCTAAACCGACTTGTGAAGACCTAGGGCACTATAAATACACTTTTTTAGCCTCATTAGAAGAGAGAGCCGCATTAGTTTTAGAGAGTTTACATTAATTTCGTTTTAGAGCTTCATGGGAGAGGATCTCACCTTTGTAACACTATAGAGGAGATTTCTAAACCCTTTTACTTTCTATCAAGTTTTACTATGAATTCTTCTTCATCTCTATGCTTGATCTCTGTTACTATGCTTGAGTAATCTTCTTGTTGGGTGTAAGAGTTTTCAAAGGGTTTTCATGGATTGATTGTTAGGTTGCTAGATTAGGGTTTTATCATTAGTGTTCTTCATCTAAGTTTGTGCTTATTGCTTATAGCTTGATTGACCGTCTAGGCTACTGTTGTTAAGTAGATTTACTTTCTGACCGTTTGTTAAATCTCTTGAATCAACTTAGATGAGCAAGGCATAGTAACCTACGGAAGTAGAATTACAAGGCTTTGTGAACTAAACCTATGGAAGTAGTGTTATCGAATTTGGAATGTTCTTGTTTATCATCTTGATTGCCTGCGGGAGTTGTGTGATTTAGGTTGTTAGACTTAGTAATTGGCACTGCGGAAGTAGGTCAATTACACTTATCAATTCGAGTTCTAGAACAAAACTATTGATTTCCCTATCTATTTGCTTGATTTAATCTATGAAACCTTGAGGATTCTCTGATGCCCAATGCTTTCTTCTATTGCTTTTACCTTATTTACTTTGTTTTGCTTTGAAACCGTGACAACAACAAACCTCCATACTTGAGTCTTAGCTTGATTTGAATCTCATAAACTCATAGTGTAAACTTATCTGGTCCTTGTGTTCGATAACCCGTTACTACATCTGACCTGTGCACTTGCAGAATCAGGGATAGGAATAGGTAAAACCTGATCCCGCATCAAGTTTTTAGCGCCGTTGCCGGGGACCAATACAGTTGCCTTTGAGTTTCGGATTAGAGTCTAGTCTAGGATAGCTTTAATTTTCGTTTTTATTTCTTGTTTCTAGTTTTTCTTGGTTTTTTGTTTTTATTATTAGGTTACTTTTCTATATCTCTTTGTGTTTCAGGTTAGCTTGAGGAAGAGATAGGAGCTCTTGAAGAAGATATCACAATGGATCCTCAAAACCGCACCATTGGAGAGTTTGACTCACTAGACATCTTTTTCACAAACCGCCAACCTATATGCCCTTCACGACCTACTGGAGAGTTCAAGATAAGCTCTAAACTCATTGCTTTGGTGGAGCAGCATCAGTTTCGTGGCCTAGAAGAAGAGCAGCCCATTGATCATATTGAGAAGTTTGAAGAAATCTGCGCTACAAGGAGATGTAGTGGAGCAGCATCAGTTTCTGAGGATTACTTGAAGTGTACTTTATTCTCTTTCTCTTTGTTTGAGAAGGCATACAAATGGATGAGGGCTCTTCCAGCAGGATCAATCACTACTTGGGATGAATACAAGAGAGCTTTCTTGAAGAATTTCTACCCGAAATAGAGATTAAAATGGATGAGAAGAAGAATCTCAGAGTACAAGTGATATCACCATATTTTACATGATTTTACTATATATTTACTATGTTTTCAAACGGTTTTTGCAAGATTCTTTGCCTTTAGAGGTAGTTTTCTTGTATTTGTGGGATTTGAAGTCTTTGTAGGTGAAATAATCAAAAAGGATGCAAAAAGGAGTAAAAGAGCCCTAAATCAAGATCCATGCAAGTTTCCAAGTCAAGAAGATCATTTTATCTCCAAGTGTTAGTTCTCGCTGCGCGCAGAACGAAGCTTCGGAAGTTTGGCCGCGCGCGGAGGAGTTCCCGACGTCCAAAAGTTACGATCTTGATATGGAAAGATAGATACTTGAGTCATGCATCACGTCGAAGTGGAATGAAGCCATTTGGATCAACTATGAGGCCTAGACTTATTTTCTACCGAGACATGTCCGGTAAGCGAGTAAACGAAGCCCATGGAGGATTTGGAGTGTCTAATGGCCCGAGCAGCAGCGCCAAAGGCCTTGATCGAATAGAGAAGAGGCCTGGCTAATGTTTGGAGCTTTCCTTGGTACAATGTCGGCCCATACACGACGTGGAGAAGAAGGCTCGGCGCATGGAAACTTTCCTTTTCCGGCATGAAGAAAACCCTACGCGACTTCGCCCATATATACATGTTTTTAGCCGCTGAAGAAGAGAGATCGAGAGTCCAGAAAATTACAAAGAGTTCACGTGTGAGAAGAGAGAAGAGAAGAGAAGCCCTAGGAGATCGTCCAAGAAGAAGGAGGCGCCGCTCAACTCTTGTTCTTTCTTTTTCATTGTTTCCATTTCTATAAACTTGATCTTAAGAGTTTTCAAGGGAGAATCCGACTTTGTTCATCAATAGAGAAGCTTTCTTCATCCCTTTATCTCTTTTAATACTTGCATAATGTTTACAATCATGCTTTGCTTGCTTGTTTGCATCATGGCCGAGTAGATCTCTTAGTTAGGCCGAGGAGATCTATGGTGGCCGTGATGATTTGATTGTGTTGCAACTTAATTGGGATTTATCTTATAGTAATCTGATCTTAGAGAAATAGAACCACGACAGTGCTGAATCTAGATCTCAAAACTAGTATTTGGTGAGCAATAGATCATAGCCAACGAAAGCTGAGTTATGGTTTATTGTGAACAATTGAATCTTGAACCTTGTAATGCATGTTTGCAATTCTAATAGCCAACGAAAGCTGAGTATATTAGGTTGTTTTAAACATAGTGGTTGGAGCCACGACAGTGGAAAGACCATACACTAGTGATTCATGTTCAAGACGGCTCTACACACATCCCATGCAACTATCTTTTCATCATTGCTCCATATGATTGTCCTTTGCCTAACTCTTGTTTTAAATTGTTTACAAACTCACTCACATTTCTTTTGTTTTGTTTTCTCATTCTAGGTCCAAAACCACCTCATATTGCGAGCTAGCTACAAACCAATCTCACAAGGTGTTAAGCGAGAACACTTCCTCCTCGTGTTCGACCCCGACTACAACACGGCTGTGCACTTGCAGCTCATTAGTTGGGTTTATAAATTGTGAAAATTTGAGGCAATCTAAACCCGCCATCAAGCTTTCTGGCGCCGTTGCCGGGGAGGAGTTGCTTTTCCTTCACACCTCTTGATTGATTTCAAGACTAGCTCATCTCATCTTTCACTTTTCTTTGTTTTTGTTTTTCATAAAATCTTAAAAATCCATAAAAATTTTACTTAACTCTCTCTTTGTGTGTTTCTAAGGTGCATGACAAGAAGGTCCAATCCAAATACAACCATTGAAGAAGATCTTGACATTGACCAACTTGAGCGCACACTTAGGCGACTAAGGAGAGAAAGAATGAATCCAGGCGGAGAAGGCGCGCCAAATAGGCCACACAACCCGCCCGACCAAGAGAGGAGAGCCAATGATCCTCCTAATCCAGCAGAAGCTAGAGCTGACCAGCCAGCACCGGCCAGAGACGTTCCTCCACCCAATCCGAACGCGCCCGATGCAGCTGAGCCGCTACAGCCACCTCTTAACCCGCCGCGACCACCACCGGCGTTTGCAAATGGACATCATCGTCACGGTGACAACCAAGGGATGCCTCAAGACCAACCTCACGCACCTCCAAGGAGAGTGCCAAACGCGCAGCATCCAAGGCACCAAACTATGGGAGACTTTGATTCGTCCGATGCTTTCTTTATGGATCGGAATCCAATCCGACCGCCTCTACCTCCAAGGAACGATTTTGAGATCAAACCGCAGATCATTGCCTTGGTGAAGCAAAACCAATTCCATGGTTTGCCCACTGAGCATCCTCTTGATCACGTCGACACCTTTGAGGAGATATGTAGCACAACTCGTGTTAATGGAGTATCGCCGGATTACTTCAAGTGCAAGCTATTCACTTTTTCTCTAAGTGACAAGGCGCTAAGATGGGTAAAATCTTTACCACCTCAGTCCATTACAACATGGAATGAATACAAGGGAGCTTTCTTGAACCAATTCTACACTAAGCAAAGATCCAACTCTATAAGGAGCAAGATTTCTGGTTTCAAGCAAGATTCAATGGAGTCATTCTATGAAGCTTTGGAGAGATTCAAGGAGTACACAAGAAGCTGCCCTAACCATGGCTTTTCAGAAGGTAACCTTTGGAACATCTTTTACAATGGGATTGATCATAAATACAAGCTTTCTCTCGATACCGCGAGCAATGGTAATTTCATGACCAAGTCGGTGCCGGAGGCAAAGCTTTTGATTGAGAATCTCGCTGCTAGTGATGCCAATGCATGCCCTGACTACAATAGAAGCGTGAAGACCACGAGCTCATCAGAATCAGCTCAAATCTCGGAGCTAAGGAACATGGTTTCACAACTACTTAAAAGCCGGCAAGGAGTTCACGCCATTGAAGATGCCCTAGCCACAAATGAAGACACTCTTATGGATTTCATGAGAGATGGCACTGAAGAGAATCTAGAGGAAGTCAACTACATTGGAGGAAACTATGGGAATAGAGGATTCAATCCACCATTTCGCGCGCATCCAAACCTATCATACCGGAGCAACAATGTGGAGAATCCAAATGACCAAGTCTACCCCAATCAAGGAGCGTATCAAGGAGGCCAATACCAATCCAAGCCACAACAAGTCTATCCAAGAGGGATGTACCAAGTGAAGCAACCATTCACTTTTTCTCAAGAAACAAATCCAACCCAAACCGGAGAGAAGGTTGACGTGGCGTTGAAGAAATACATGGAGGAGCAGAGATTGATCACCAAGAACCTATATGAGAAGCTTGATCACATGTTTGGTGATCTAAGCAGCAAGTTTGGGTCTCTCTCTACTCACGTTCAAAAGCTTGAGGTGCAAATCGCTCAAACAGCCGAGGCGGCCAAGAAACAAAATGAGGTAAACACTCAAAAATTTTGTAGTGTTGTCTCATCTATAGATGGCACTATTGTTCCTACACTATCTCAAGGGGAAGAAGAAGAAAATGAGCCTGAGGAGAGGCACAAACCGGAGAGATACAGTTGGGAATCAAGAAGAGCTTACAAGAGAAGACTTGAAGGCAAGCCACTACAAAAACAAGAAGATCCGGGGAAGTTTGTGATAACTTCAAGTATCAATGGCATTCAACTCCACGATTGCCTATGTGATACTGGTGCTAATGTTAATCTAATGTCTCTTGCACTTGCAAAAGATTTGGGATTCAAGGAATTCAAGAGCCCCAAGATAAGAGTCGAGTTCGCGGATCTATCGTGCATGGAACCCTATGGAATGCTTGAAGATGTCATGATGGAAATAGGGGGTCGATCGGTCCCAACTGACTTTCAAGTCATGATTTGGGAAGGCTCAAAGAGGAATCAACTGATTCTTGGAACCCCATTCCTTGCTACAGCTGGAGCGGTCCTAAACTACTTTGGGAATCATCTATCTTTTGGCCACATCCGGCAAGATATCTTTTTCCCAAGTGTAAATTTCATTCCCCTCTGGAACGTCCATTGTATCAGTAACAAGCACCTCAGGTTCCTCTTGTACCCTCTGTGACCTCTGAACCCTCTTTCTACCCGTTGTAAAGTCTAGCTCGACCAAGTCCTCTGTAGACCGACTCGATCGAGTTCGCATACACCTGCAAAAAGAGACAAAAACCCAGCAGTACAATAGAACAGGGGTGGTATAGCTTGATCGTCCAAGTGTGTTTGAAACTCAAATGCAACAAAAATATCCCAAATCGGCAACGGCGCCAAATTGATGATAGGATTTTTGTGGATGTGAATGATATGAATGAAGTGATAAGATATGAGGTGGAATGCAAACAGGGTGAATAAAGATGAAATGGTGCAATCACAATCAATCAATTCCTCTTAACCATCATAGTCATGTAGTACAAGAGGTTATCAATCCAAAATGGGAAACTTGTCACTCTTGAGAATATGAAACAACCAGAAAGTCAAGCAAGCAGTAATAGATTTGAAGTAACACTAACAACCTAAATAAATGAAATGCAGTGCAATAAAAGTAAACAAAGCAGTGAAGTAGCAGCTCGACCAAGACTCGAGTCGAGTCAGAACAAAGTACCAGCTCGATCGAGTTTAGGGACGAGTTGAGACAAACAAAGCTAAAGGTGACGACTTTAACAAGATAAAGAGAGAATTAGGGTTCAAGACAGGGTTTTGCAATCAAAGGAATCTACACTTAATCAATCTAGCTCTTAAAACTCCTTGTATCAAGGCTTCTCTTGATATTGGGCTTCTCAATGCCTAGCCAACCCTTTCCCAAGGTGAAGGCTATCAACCAAGGAATGATCTCAGAAACAGGGGGTTAGCCAGTGAGAATCAAACCTTGGAGGCTATAGGATCATTGCCCAAACTAATCCATCCAACCCCTTAGACCTCTATTTCTAGAGCAAGAGATATTGGAGCTCTTAGTGGATCTTTTCCAGCGAATGCCATCACTTTCGTGTGGGGAGTCGCCTAAGGACTTACAAGCCAGGGGTAGTGGTCATGTAGCCTTAAGATCTATCCAAAAGAGAGAGAATCTAGATTAAGACCATAAGCTAGAAGGATTAAGCATATGAAACCTCTAATCTATCCCATCTCAAACCCTAATGGGTAACTACTCACTACACATGAATGTAAACACAAGCAAATGCAATAAAAGAGACATCATAAGAAAGAGGAGATGAAATTAAACAACTTTTATTGAAATAAGCAAGTGCAAATACAAAGAGATTATCCAGGATCTAGGATTCAAGAAGCAAGAGCTTCAAGAACACAAAGATGGGATTAGAGCTCTAAAAAGTAAAAGACAATAAATTAAAAGAAACTAAAACAAAAGTAATCTAAAGCTTGGTGGTTTTTTCGTGGCTTAGAGCCTTTAAATACAAAGAGGATTAGGTTTAGGGTCAAAGGAAAGTCAAGGGGGAAGCAACATTTTTCGGGTTTGACTGTTGACTTCTCAGCTCGATCGAGTTGAAGCTTGGCCGGTCGAGTTGAGGAACTCGACCGGTTGGTCGAGTAGGGGTCGAGCTGGTCTTCAAGATGGCTTCTCCCTTCTTCCTTTGCGTATCCAGTTGAGCTGCTCCATGTGCCAAGTCCCTCCATGCTCCTCATGTCCCATATGCTCCAGAATGCTCCAAAAGACCTATTTCAAAGGACCAAACATGCATATGTATGCAAATGCAACCTAAAACTAACATGAATGCATAAGAAGAGAAAAGGAACAAGATATGATGCAAATGGAAGCTAAAACTATGCAAAAGATGCATAAAAGATGTGCTAAAACTATGTAAAATGCAAGTACATCAGGTTCCTATAAGACATGTTGGGGTTTGGGCGATAGCTTGGATTGTATCCCTTGTTCCCATAGTTTCCAATGTAGTTCACATCTTCTTCATTGGCTTCATTAGAGAAATCTCCCATGCATTCTCTTGATGGGTCTTCATTCGCATCACTCATCCCTTCTATTGCATTGATATGCTTGAGCTGTCCCTTAAGAACTTGAGCCATCATGTTCTTGAGTTCAGTCATTTGAAAAGAATCAGGGGAGCTAGTAGTGGTGCGGCTTGAGCGGTCATAATCAGGACAGTTGTTACAATCACTAGCTGCAAGATTCTCAATAAGAACCTTAGCTTCATCAACAGTCTTGGTCATGAAGTTTCCATTGCTTGCAGTGTCCAATGAAAGCTTGTACTTGTGGTCTATGCCACGATAGAAGATGTTCCATAGGTTTCCCTCATTGAAACCATGATTAGGGCAGTCCCTAATGTACTCCTTGAATCGGTCTAGCGCCTCATAGAAAGATTCATTGTTGGCTTGGCGAAAGTTGGAGATCTTGTTCCTTACAGAAACTGATCTTTGCTTGGTGTAGAAGTGGTTGATGAAAGCGGCCTTGTACTCATCCCAAGTGGTAATGGAGTGAGCTGGCAGAGACTTCAACCATCTTGAAGCTTTGTCGCCAAGAGAGAATGAAAAGAGCTTGCACTTCAAGTAGTCAGCTGAGACTCCATTGGATCTAGTAGTGCTGCAAATCTCTTCAAAGTTTTCTATGTGATCAAGAGGATGCTCAGCTGGAAGGCCATTGAATTGGTTCTGTCTAACCAATGCTATGATCTGAGGCTTGATCTCATAGTCATTCCTTGCAGGAAGTGGTGGATGGATAGGGTTTCTATCCGTGAAGAAAGCATCGGCAGAGTCATAATCTCCGATTGTTTGGACTCCTGCTTGAGGTTGCACATTCACATCTCCAGCAGGGTCTTGTGGATTAGGAGGAGGAGGAGGCGGATCTCGTCCTTCTTCATTGGCGCGCGCCACTTCAGCGGCGTGAGCGCGAGCTGCTTCGTCGGCCATCTCTTGGGCTTTTTGCTTCCTAATCAACTTCTCGAGCTTGTCTATGTCTGGATGTTCAACTAGGTTGTCCTTGTTGGACCTCCTAGTCATGCACCTGAAAAGATTCTAGGAAACAAACTAAATCAAAAGGGAAAAACTAGGGGTGTTCAATCCGGATATCGGTTCGGTTTTTTCGGTATTTGGTTTTTCGGTTGATAAAACATAGCTACCATAGTAGATCCATACTTACTTCGGTTTGGTTCGGTTTGGATTCGGTTTTTGCGGTTTGGATATTTTCGGGTCGAATAATCTCGGTTTTCGGTTAATTTGTATTTTTTGTTTTATGATTATTTTATTAATTAGGGTTTTCGATTTTTCTCATAATCAAAATGATCAAATTCAAATAAAAAATGCAAACTCATGTCTTATTCAAATAAAAAATGCAAACTCATGTCTTATTCCTTTTGCTCATCTACAAGTGAATAAGTATTAAAAGAAAATCAGTTAACTTATGAAACAAAGAAGTAGAACAAACGGAGAAAACTTGTTTAAGGCATACGATACCTTTAGTTCACGTCTAGGGTAAGAGAAAAGATTAACGAAGAAGAAGACAATTGCTATAATAATATTGTTGTATGAGAAGAGGAAGATCGCTTTATCTAGGTTTTTTATTTAGTGTTTCTTAATTGTTAAATTTTAGTTAATTAATGATTTATTACTCTAAACTTATATTATTATATGAGTAATTTAATATATATAAAGTTATTCGGTTTTTTGCGGTTTTTGCGGTTCGGTCGGTTAATATCCAAACCATATCAATATCCACGGTTTATATAAAATTGCATCCATACGGTTTATACAGTGTATCCAAATCCAAACCATATGACTTATTTCGGTTCGGTTCGGTTCGGGTCGGTTCGGTTTTACCAAATTGAACACGCCTAGGAAAAACAAATGCAAAAGCAAAAATCAAAGAAAAGAAATCAAAAACTAGAAAATTCAAAAGCAAAAGAAAAGCAAAACAGGAAAAGGTTCTAGACTAGATCCTAGTCGAGTTCCAAAGGTACTGCTGCAGTCCCCGGCAACGGCGCCAAAAACTTGATGTGGAGTCAGGTTTTACCAAACTCCTAGACCTCTGCAAGTGCACAGATCGCGGAAGTATGGGTATCGAACACAAGGACTGGCTATTGAGTACACTTTGAAACTATGGATTTTGGATCAAGCTAAAACAAAAGTATGATTGAGGTTGTAATGGTGAACCGAACTAGCAAGTATAACGAGGTTGTAAACAATAAGGAAACGCTAGGTCATAGGGGCTATCGCAGAGAAGCAAGCAATGATCAATGAAACAATGATAGATGAATTGATTAGGGATGTTGGGATATTAAGAACCGTCTAGAACACAGATCACGAATATAAAACCATTCCACTTTCGAGGCTCCGGCTCCTTTGTTAATCTACCTAGTCGCTAAACTTTTGGTATGTCCCTAGGTGATTAAATCAAGCTTTAGAATGAATAGGTTCTGATACAGTTCACTAGATTATAGTAGATCAACTTTCGCAGTCTAAGAAACCTAGCTTGTCAAAGAATATGTCCGGCGAATGATACAACACTGTCGAGGCTCAAATCAACCTAAGATCGGATTACTAGATGCGCGGTAAAGCAATCAGCATTAGTTAAGTGCACAAGACGAGACAAAGACTCTAATATAATCCCTAGCTAATCATTGAAATCAAAGATCATGCAAGCAACTCATTGAATAGTAACCCTAGCAACCTAACTAGTGGATTACTCAGACATGATCAAAGCAAACACACATAGAGATGAAGAAAACATGATTGCAATAAAACTTAGAGTAGGAAATCGAAATACAAGGGCGGCTCTCTTTCACAAGAGGCTAAAAAGCTATATATATAGTGCTAGGTCTTTAGAGGCGGCTTAGGGTTAAGCCGGGCTTGAAAATATGAAACGGGCTTCAAAACGGGCTTCGGGTCGACCGCGGCGTTGGGACGGTCGGTCGGGACGATCGGCCGGATGATCGGGTCATGGCCGCGTAGTCGGAACGGTCGTGGCCGGACGGATTCGTGGTCGGCCGCTGTGGTCGGACGGATGAAGTTTGGCCGATGATTTCGGCCGGACGCGGGACGTAGTTTCCCGGCTCGGACGGCGCATCGGCCGTGGTACGCGAGACAGGTTGCGCGGCCGCGAGGCTTGTTTCCCGGCTCGCGCGGCATGGTCGTGCGCGGCTTGGCGTGAGCGGTTGTGGCGTGGCCGACCGCGGGACATGTTTCCCGGGTCGTGACTCGGCCGACGTTTTGGACTTTGGCCGAGACTTCAGACGGACGGATGTGATTTGGCCGAGCGCGAACATTCGTTCTCGGCCAGCCGGACTGCGCGGTTTGGGCGCTGATTCTCGATAGAGCCGTCTGGACAGTCTTCACTCTTTTGGTTGTAACTCCTTTTCTACTCATCCAAATGAGGCCATTCCAGTTGCGTTGGAAAGTTAACTCAATCAGAGCACGCAGGGAACTGGTCTTGATGAAATCCATTGAGTAGATCTTTTTCTGGGCCCTCTTAAAGTTGGTGCTTGTGCATGGAGCGGCTTGAAGTGCAAATCCTATGGTTTTGCTCCAAAATGCATCATTTCACCTGTTTAGACTCTAGACACTATAAACACAGTAAAACTACCTTTTTAGATAGAAAACCTGCCAAAAACCATTAGAAAACAATACTAAAACAGTATAAAAAGCATGGGTAAATAGAGGTATATCAAGGATCCATCTTTGACTACGCACCAAATGAACTTAATCTTCTCAACTAGGGGTTTGGCATACAAAGGGCATGACTCCTCATCCTTACCAACAAGTAAAGGCTGTGTGAGTTCGGTTTCCCCTCTCTCTCCCCTTCATTTAAAAGAAAAGCATCAAGGTCCAAGTAACCGGGGGTTAGGTGGTAACACCATCAGTACTCGCGTTTATGGAAGTCCTATGAATCCAAGTAACCGGGGATTAGGTGGCTACAACCATCAACACTTGCGTAAATGGAAGATCCATCCAAAGAATAAAAACCTCTAAAAACCATTACGGAGGAGAAGTTGATAGAAAAAATAGAATGCTACCCTAAAAAAGGGAGAAATCAACTTAAAGAAGTGAGAAGAGAGAGAGGAGAAACAAGAAGCAAGACATGTGTAGTATCAAAATAGTATGGGTAAGAGACTATGAGCCTTTTGATCGATACTCCCTAGTTGAGCCCACACCTTTAGAAACTAAAGGAGTCAAGAGTGGCGAATTTGGATGGTCCAAAGAGGAGTGGATTGCTTTGAGATGATTGCAACACTTGTGGTATGTACTCTTGTTCTTAATCTAATGCCATGTCTTTTTTAAGTGGATTATTAAAGTAGAGGCCAATGTGGGTTTCCAAAGGAATTTGTGAGATCTCATATTTTCAAACCTCTCTTTCATGCTTAATTTTGCTTGAGGACAAAAATGCCTTTAGAGGTTTAATGCCTGAAAACCTCAAAAGTATTTTATTTTACATGTTTGAAAACTAATTCTGGGGGAGTTGATATATCCATATTTTACATGTTTTTCTTTAGTATTTTATTATGTTTTAAAGTATTTTCAATAAGGTTTAATGCCTTTAGAGGTAGTTTACATGTATTTGTGGGCTTTGGAGTCTTAACAGAGTAAACATCAAAACAATACAGAAAGAGCAAAAGAGCCTCAAACCATGATCCAACCAAGTTTCCAAGTCAAGAGCATCAATAAAATTCCAAGAGTTCGATTTCTGTGATCGGACAGAACCGGAGCATCAGAAGTATGCCGGAGGTCTTCCCGACGTCCAAAAATTATTATATTAGTCTCACTGGATAGATATTTGGATTAGGCATCAGAGAGAAGTGAAATGAGATCATTTGGAGTTCTCATTAGGCATCACAGAGAAGCTTTCTTCATCCCTTATACCTTCTTAATCTTGCATAATGCTTTCAATCATGTCTTGCTTGTTTCTTAGCATCATGTTCGAGTAGATACCCATGTTAGGCCGAGGGAAATCAATGGTTGCATAATATGATTTGATAAAATGATTTCATAAATGAGATTCTATCTTATGGTCCTTCACTTTTGATTATGTCTAATGCATGATTGCTCTACTGTACATCTAGCAATCTGAACCTAGGGAAATAGAACCTCGAAAGTGCTGCATCTAGTTCCTGAAACTAGTATTTGGTGAGCTAGGCGTCTTAGGCAACGAAAGCTGACCTAAGGAGTCTAGTGAACTATATCATTACTAGTTCAGTTAATGCATGTTTTCAGCTTGTAATAACGATATAAAGTTGAGTCTGTTAGGCTGAATGAATATAGTGGTCGGAGCCACGAAAGTGGAAAGAACATACCATAGTGTTTTGTGATTAAGGCGGTTTCTAATGACATCCCAATGAAATCATCATTTCATTACATGCTGCCAAAGAGTATACTTTGCCTAACTCTTTCTTTTAATTTTTTTACATCTCATTTACTTACTGCTTTTGTTTTATTTTTCTTTTAGGTTCACAACCCCTATATTTTGTTCTAGCTCTTATTCAATCCACATAGTTTTGAAGCGAGATCACATCTGCTTGTGTTCGACCCCAACTATACTACTGTTGTGCACTTGCAGCTGGACATTGGTTGGGATAATTTTTATCTCTTCAAGAAGCTAGATCCCAGCTCCACATCAGTAAGAACCGGAACTATTGCTTGCTCTGTTTTCTTTTCTCTAGCTACGATTTCACAAGCTAAACAAATAAACAATGAGAAAGACTTAACCATTGTATAGAGAAAAAAAAATGAGAAATAAGCCAATAACATTATGTGAAAGAGAACCATTGTACAAAGATAAAAAAAAAAAAAAAAAAAAAAAAAGAGAAACAAAGAGAAAGCCTTAACCATTTTACAAGTCTATAACATTATTATCTAAGAAAAAGACAGTGGCAGGCTACACAAATGAATAGAGAACATTATGACAAGGTGAGGCAATGCATCAACATGTGAACATTGTAATGAATATGGTTCTCATTCTCAATCTAGCAATTGAAACAATAATTCTTGCATCATGGTCAGTAAATCTAACTCTAAGGAAAACATCAAACACCTTCTGATTGTCATTCTCATGATCAATGTTCGAATATATGTTTGTAAGAGAGAAGAGAACACATAAATCAAGTTATCCAAGAACAAAATTGAAACAGTTCGTGGCAAAAGCTTCAAAAAAAAAAAAAAAAAGATTTTGAAGAGAAAACGAAATTAGCTTACAATAGAGACACATTACATAACCAAGAGCAAAGAAAACAGTTTACAATACAAACTAACAAGCACCTAAAGTGAAAGAAAGAGCAACATACTTGAACTTTCAAAACTGAAAAACAGAGAAATCAGTTCTAAAAGGGTGAAAATTACCTCCAATTAATTTCAGATAAGTGAGGATATTAGTACAAAACCTCGATTATCTTTGACTTGGCTTTAATTTCCGCTTTGGAAGTAGAAGATTAATTTTTTTTGCAAATCCTTATTAGGTTCACAAATCGATTTTGGGATTATGTTTCTATTTTAATCATAGACGGTGGGCTTCTCTTTATTGGGCCGAAATCACAATGGAAAGTATCCAATATGGCCCAACCGATTTTGTTAATACACGGCGTTTTGAAGAAAACATGTGTTTCATCGGTCGTTGACCAATCTGGACCACGCGATTAAATCTAATCAAAACGGTGGCCATCCGATGCACATTTTTTTTCCTCCGATTACTTGGCTTTTTGCCCATTTTTTGAGCACATAATATATGTATCAAAAAAATAAATTAAATAGTAATATGTTTATTGACTAAAAATATATATATAAAGGGGTGTATCTAATTAATTAGAAAATTTTCGCAAATCCTTATTAGGTTCACAAATTGATTTGGGGATTATGTTTCTATTTTCTTTTGATTGAAAACACAGATGGTGGCCTTCTCTCTATTGGGCCGAAATCACAATGGAAAGTATCTAAGGGCCTGTTATTGGATTGGGTATTTCAAGGGATTTTAACTGATTTGGATTTATTTGAGTTTAGAAGTATTTTGATGGATTCATTATAATGTCCACGACTTTTATTGCATTTCATTGTATTGTGTTTTGAAGGATTTCTCTGTATTTCAAAAACATCTAGAGACTCCAAAATATATATTTTTTAAAAAATATATCAATAAATAACTATCAAAATTAGTTAGATTTTTGATTGAAGTTTTCTTTTTCCAGATCTGGAAAATCTTCATGAACACAAAACATCAATTTCATCTTTTAAGACTCAAGATCCCGATTACCCAGATTCTGATTTCAAGTCCACTCAGTTTCAAAATCCAAATCATCGGATCTCAGATTAAGATTATGAATCAGAAATATATTTTTAATCTTCTTCTTCCTCTAGGGCAAAAGTCTTGTAGTAATCAATTTGAGATGTTGATGGGTTCTTATGGCTTTGACTTTACCATTGAAAATTTTGAAATCCGAATAGGATTTTCATGGGTTTCTTGAAAGAAATTATAGCAACACAATTCAATGGCAATAATAAACTTTTTCTCCAGCGTGAACTGATGATTCTCAAATCCGAAGCAAAAAGCTTGTATTTGTTTTGTTCATGTTTTAAGGCAAACAATACATTAAAATCCAATCAAACCAAAATCTCTTGAAATCAAGTGTATATTGAATAACACCTGTTTTTAACGTATTTTGAATTACAAACTCAAATACTCAATCCAATAACACCTGTTTTTAATATGTTATTCCAAATACATAATTGAATAACGTTTGTTTTCAGTTTCATTTAAAATCCCTTGAAATACCCAATCCAATAATAGGCCCTTAGGGCACAACATATTTTGTTAATACACGGCGTTTTGAAGAAAAAACGCGTTTCATCGGTCGTTGACCAATCTGGACCACACCATTTAACCTAATCGAAACTGTGGCTTGTCTGATGCACGTTTTTTTTCCTCCGATTAAACGGCGTTTTGCCCATGTTTTTGAACACATAATATATGTATCAAACAAATAATTTAAATAGTAGTATGTTTATTGACTAAAGTATATATTAAGAGGTGTATCTAATTAATTAGAAGATTTCATGAATGAAAATTTCCATCTCTTACCAACAGGAAAGTGATATAGTGACTAAGGTGCTGATTGGTTCACCCGCTGCTACCCGCAAATGCAGCGTTTGCGGGTAATAGCGGTTATTGGCGTTTGATAACAATCACCACAAACGCTTTATACCGCTTTAAACCGCTCAAGATCCCTCAACAACCCTCAAAATCAAAAGCTCCTTCCCAGCAGCGTTTGCGGTTGCGGGCGGTTGGAGGGGATAATTAAAAAAAAAAAAAAACACAAACTTATATAAAATCCGAAAATAAATAATAATATTTATTAAAAAATAAGATTTGGATAATAAAATCACAATAAAAAAAATACTTATATATTCATTTCATAAGTTCTACAAATCAAAATTCTCTTGATAAATATTCTTTTCATAGTAATACATATATATCTAATAAATAAAATTGTAATATAAATTTAATTTTCACATTAAATATATATTTTGAAAATAAAATCACATTTTTTATTTAAATTATAGAAATTAAAAAATAGACGTAAGTATTATACACATATTATTCTTTATAAAAAAATTATTTTTAATTATGTTGAACCATAAATTTAAAATTTTCATTATAATATAGTTTTGATATTTTTATAATTATATAATGTGTTTATATTATTAATTTATTGTTTAACCGCTATTGCATCCGCAAGTGAACCAGTCATAAGTATCCCGCAAACGCATCCATTTTCAATTGTTATGCCAGTCGTACAAACCGCTTAATAACGCTACTAATCACAACCGCCCGTTCCGCAAACTCCGCACCCGCAGCGGTTAAACCAGTCAGGCCCTAAATACTTTTCTTAAACGAAAATCAAGTATCTTAACTCTCTTTGATTACTTTTAGATTTTTATGAATTAAAACAAAGTAAATAATACTCTGAAAACAATTGACACTGTGAGGAAAGTAAATCCTTAACTTCATATATAATATACTCACATAGATAAATATAAAATTTAATTCATCAAATTTTAGTTAAATCGTTTTCTTCAGCGATTTCTCATTTCTGAAGATATCCTTTGCATTAGCTAAATCGTTCTGTGAATTTTAAAAATGAGAATGTAAATAAAAAATTTCTATAATTTTATGTTATTAAAACTCAAACACAGTTAAACCTTTTACGCTTCGAACCGAAACAAAATTTGTTACGACGAGAACTGAAGCAATTTAAACCTTTGGCAATAAGAATATTAAACTGCCTTAACTAAAATGTTTCAAAAAAAATGAAAAAAAGGGGTTAATTACACCTATTTATGTTAGCAAGAAAAAAGTCATATCAGTTTATGTTAGCAATCAACTTGACCACACGTTTCATATAAAATCCCATATTTAAAATATTTGAGGCCCGTATATCGGGAATCATCTAAATAGCAGACTACTTGTCTTCAACGGTAGTCTCAAATTCAAAATTTGGTCTCTCTCTCTCACCTTTCAATTTTGTTGATCTCCGAAGAGAGAACCCGAAACAGAGACTCAATTTCCTCTCCCGAGTTCGTTATTCCCTCACAAAAAAGCTTAATTTCTCGTCCGAATCCAAAATCCAATTCACCTGGTTATCATTTTACCGAGATTCCTAATTCTGAACCTTACCAACAAGAGATCGAAGATACTACCGTGGATGTTTGTGACGATCCTTCGCTGGGATTTCAATTCGTGTGATTCGCGAAGGTATATATGATCCTATGACTTTCGATTTTTGTTTTTACAAACTCGAATTGCTTGTTCAAATCCATAGGGTTTGGGTTTGGGGTTTCTTCTTTTATTCGGTTTCTAGATCCTGATTCGTTTCCATGACTACTAGTTTTAAATCCCTAGGGTTTGGGTTTCTGTTGTTCGTCGGATTTCTTTGTTTCGCTTTGAGAAATAAGTTGTACAGGTTAAGAGGAGAGGAGGAAGTGATTTTGATTTGTAATTACATGAAATCGAGGATGGATGTACGTTTCTTCGATATCTATGATACTCTCAGGTTGTAAAATTGTTCTTTAGAAGAGGGAAAATCTTGAACAAATAAACGCGTCTTTTTTCTCGAGGGTGCGACTGCAAGTGCGACTAGGGTTTAGCTTCTCATTTGCGCCGCCGCCGGTGAGAATCTTCTCCTTTCTCCATCCTCTTGCTTTCTCTCATGGCTCTGTTGTTGTTCACCTGTTTGTTCGCTCCGCCGCTACCGTTTCCTCCTCCAGATCCAGATCCAGAACCGCCGCCGTTTGCTCTGTCCCTGTTAGATCTGCTCACGAAGGCTCCTCCTCTTGAGTCCCACGACCCTGACGCTCCAGCTCTCTCCTCCAGCCATTCCGCCATCTCGGGTCGTCTCTCCTCTCCACTTTCACTCACTCCGCCTCCGTCTCCCCGTTCCACTCTCGCCATGACGGTGACTGTTTCAGGTTATCCTCTGTCGAAGTCGCCGGAGCCATTGCACCTTTGTTTCGAGATCCCTCTGTTGCCTGCTCAGTTGCCTTTTGCTCAGAGTTCATGCCGCTTAGTGGTTACTCATGTGGATAGCAGCTTCCAGATCTACATGCTTCTCCGTTTGAAGCATTGTCTCTCCTACTTAATCTCAGGCTCGCCTCCGTCAGGTATGGTTCATGTCACCTTCTGGAACGAGACTAGACTTTGCCTTAGGATTAGACTCTGGATTGATTCTCCTCCTTTACCTCAGTATGAGGACATAAAGCTCTCCCTTAGCCTTCGCTTACCTCAGTATGAGGTTGCTCCAGCTCTCTCCTCCAGCCATTCCGCCATCTCGGGTCGTCGATAACAGAGAGACTTCATTCCACTTAAATCTTCTTGGATCCTCCACTGCGACCCGAGATGGCGGAATGGCTGGAGGAGAGAGCTGGAGCGTCAGGGTCGTGGGACTCAAGAGGAGGAGCCTTCGTGAGCAGATCTAACAAGGGACAGAGCAAACGGCGGCGGTTTTGGATCTGGATCTGGAGGAGGAAACAGTAGCGGCGGAGCGAACAAACAGGCGAACAACAACAGAGCCATGAGAGAAAGCAAGAGGAGGGAGAAAGGAGAAGATTCTCATCGGCGGCGTGAGGCCGCGCCGGCGGCAGCACAAATGAGAAGCTAAACCCTAGTCGCACTTGCAGTCGCACTCTCGAGAGAAAAGACGCGTTTTTTGGTTGGTATATGAGCTTCCTCTACTTAAAAATTAGGTTACTATCCACAGTCCACACTAATTATGAGCCTTCTTGCTTCTGCTGTTCAATTGTTTCAAATAGGATCTGTTGAAAAGCATCAAAATCAATTTGTTCATGGGATTCGTATACATTAATTAAAATATAATATTAAGTCACTATGATCATATTTGTAAAGACATTAACGACAGTGACAATGGAGGTAACGACGTAAAGATCCATGTTAGAAGCTGTTCACTTCACGGAATGCGTCCTTTTTGTATCACTTGAATCTACATATTGGATATTGCCATATTGGGTTTTCAACTCCTTAATTTCTGTTTTTTCTAAATTTTACTTTCGGAAAATATTTGTTTATATTATGTATCCTATGGATTTATACCATGAGTTTATAAATTCTGAATTTTGTTTCGCTATCATGATTTCTATGTGATACATTTTCTATGGCTGTTGAAACTTTATTTTTTGGTTTTGTGATCTCATTATGTACTCGTTAATTTTCGTAATATTGTTATTAAGTAGAGAGAATTGGTAATTTACCCCAAATTGAAATTAATCTTGTCCCACTACACCTTCCCGTTTCTACTTTGTCCTAATACCTTTTTTTTTAACACTTTTCTCACTTTTTCCCTTCTTTTTCGTTTTGTTACCATTTTCGTTTTTTAAAATTAAAATATATTAAATAAAAATTAAAATGAACAAAACTAAACTGATTAAAACAAAAACTGAAAAAAAAACTAAACTTATTCTCTCCTTCTCTCCTTTCTCTCACGACGGCGCCGGAGGCGATCGAAAATCTAATCGCCGTTTTCCCCGTTTTCTCCTTCTCCACCATCTCTGCTCTCCTCCGAAGTCCTTCCTTCCTTGCTTTCTCATTCACCGTCACCGATCGAAAATATTTCTCTCATTCCTGCCCTAATCCGAGAAACCCTAATCCCTTTTCCCTTTTCAATCTGAGAAAAAACGTCTCTTGTGTTCTCCTTTTCTCCCGATTCACTTCATCTGCTCGCGATTCACTTCATCTGCTTAGTGACAAGGTTAGTTTGAGTTCGTGGTGTCTTCTATTCACCTGAATTGCGTCTTCTCTTCACCCGATTTTTGTTGAAATAGATTTGCAATTGAAGATTTGATGATTTACAATTTGGGTTTGAGATAGCTGACATGAAAATCGATCTTGGGTTTCAATATCAACAGTCAAATATGCGTTTGATATGCGTTTCTGTACCATTTACTCAAATATTGATCTTCATAATCATTTGACTGTAGTCTTGTTCAAAGCTATATTTGGTTTGTTGATGAATTCGATACTTTCGTGGATATGTTTGATGAAATTGATGAACTTTGTGTCTAGGGCCTGCTTAGATAGATTGTCATATCTTTCAATTTGTTTGTTTTTCCGTGGTCTTACACGTCTAAAGTGATGTTCATGTCATGTTGCTATATATTTAGTGCCTTGTTTAGTGTCTTGTTTAGTACTTACGTTTCCGATATACTAGTTTAGATTGCTTGGTTTTCATGACTTGTTCTAATATTTTTTTAGTTGCTAAAGCAAAAATTGTAATGTGTTGCTCGCTGTTTTTTCCGAACTCTTAGCAGCTGTTCTTGGTTGTTAAACTATGAATATGCTGTGTTAGCCATGCTCTTCTCTTCTTGTTTTCTTATTGAATTCCTAATTATTGTTTGTTACCCTTAATTTCAGCTATGGATTCCGAGTTACCTAAGAGATTGTTTGAGGAAGGAGCCGAACCACTAGGTGATAAGATAAACAAGTGTGCGAGGATATCGATATTGAAGGTTCTGGCTAATAATATCAAGTCAGAGTACGATGAAGTGAAGAGAGACCCTTTGTTTGCCCATATCTTCGCCATCTACGAAAACCGGCTTCATTTCTCCGCAAAATTGGTGCACAGTGTACTGACAAGGCAGCTTATTACAGCCAAAAAGCATGAGCTCTGGTTTGTGTTTGCAAGGAGACCTCTGAGATTCTCTTTGCAGGAATATCATGCTGTTACGGGTCTCAAGTGCATAGACGAGGGTAACTGAGACCTCGATGACTGGCTCGACGATGGTGGTTTCTGGAGTAGGCTGTTAAAGACCCATGGCCTGATTAGTCTCGAGACGATAAGGAAGAAGCACATCTTTGAGGCCAACACCTGGACTCGTGTGGACAGGCTGCGATTGGTCTATGTCTGTGTTGCTGCACTTTTGATGGCAGTGGATGAGAAGAGTTGGGTGTCTCATGATTACATCAAAGTCATCATGGACTTTGATAAGCTACGGGCTTATCCATGGGGTCGCCGCAGCTTTGATCATCTAGTGGATGCTATCATCAAAGCAAGAACCGAGTTGAGTAAGCCTATCAGCTACGTACTGGAGGGATTTGCATATGCTCTCCAGATTTGGATCATGGAAGCTATCCCGGATTGTGGAACTATGCTGGGAAAGAAGCTCAATGCGGTTGGCCATATCTTTCCTAGATGTTCGAATTGGACCGGGGCTGCAAGGGCCAGTTTTGGCGACATAATTGAATTGGAGAATGCGCTTGTAAATAAGGTCAGTCGTCCTATTTTCCTTGTTCTACTCAGTTTCTTCTGTTTATCTCATATATGATTATCTCATCTAACATCTTTTACATTGTCTTGTAGGGTCATCTATACTCTTACATCTCTTCAACAGGGAATATGGATGTGATCCTCGACCAGGATTTTGTTAGGAATGACGAGATGAGAGACGAAAGAGTTGACCGGATCCATAAGCTCATCAGCGAGAATCACAACTGGAGCTCGCGTACTTGGGAATTTGAAGAACCGGTGAACCCAACGCCTGCTGCGGTTCCTACAGCAGCGACGGAATCTGAGGTTGTCCACAACGAGGGTGTTAAACCCGGAGAGGTCTTGGGTGAAGCAACTGGATCTTCCGGATCAAGGACAGGAAAGAGGAAGGTGGTTGACAAGGGCGCTGAGGCACGCAAGAAGAGACTCCTGTTTGAGCGGTCTGTTGCAAATGCTGAAGAAGGGAGTGAGAGGTATATGCGTGGTCTCTTTGACGAATACGAGAAGAGAATGACAAAGCAGAGTGATGAGAGGTATGAGAAGCTAGCTACTGAGTTCTCGCAGCTGCAGAGTACAGTTTCAGAGCTTAAAAATATGCTCGCTGATGCATTATCCCGCGGAAACAGTGGAGAGCCATCTTCACGGACCAAACCTGTGTCTCCGGTCTCCTCTAAGCCAAAAGGAAAGGTAAACTCCACAAAGAACCCTAACAATTGACCACCGTCTCTGCTCTGCTGTGTACTGCTTCTGCTGTAATTGTAGCATCTCGTGGTCCTAAACTTGATTTGCTTTAATCCTTCTTTATTTCGTGGTCTTAATGCTAGATCTTCTCTGATAAAGTTGATTCTAGATCTCAGGCATTTCATGCACCACAAGTGTTTGATGAAATGCTTGAACTAATCATCTAAAGGATTTACATTCCTAGCTCATGAGAGTGATTGTTTATGGTGTTTATTGGCTTTCTATAACTGAATCTTAATCAATTTCAGTAGTGAGAATTAGTTCTTGAAATTGGTAATTAGCAAAGTAATTAGTAACATGAGTGGATTAGGCTTGTTTAATGAGTTTTTTGCCTAATGATTATCAATCATTAAATTGTTTGAGCATCATAGATTGACTTAAGAATCTCCCAAGGTCAATGACCCTTATCCCAAGTGCCTCCATTTGCATTTCTTTCATCTTTTGCATTTTTTACTTTATGATTTTTGTTCATTTAGGTTGTTAGCTCAACACCATTTTGAATTTTCTTAGCTCATTTATGTTTCATGCATTCTTGTTGTCTCTATTTTGACATTTATGGATTTGACAAAGAACCTCAAGCTATACTACAATTGATTAAAAAGGGGGTTCATTTGTAAAGAGTACACCAAAATCCCTCTTTCACTCGACACTAAACAAAATTCCCAATTCTTTAGGTTACAGATGTTACATAACGGAACTGAATGTGACAGACCAAAATAGGATGGGACAGGACCAGACCGGACAGGACAGGACGAGATGGGATGGAATAGGACATTACAAGATGGAACCAAACGAAACAGGATTGGAAGTAACATGATGGGAAGGGGCAGAACTAGACATAATGGAACAGGACAAGACGGAACAAAATAGGACGGACGGGATGAGACATAATGGAACTGAATGGACAAGATAGGACAAAACAATCCGGGACAGAACCGGAAAGGATGAAAGGGGACGAGACAAGACGGGACGAAAGGAACTGAACGAGTTGGAACGGGACCATACGGAACAAAACATGAGGGAATGGAATAGGATGAGACAAGACATAACATAATGATAGGGGACATGACAGAAGGAGATAGGACATGATAGAATGGGATATGACGCAACATGACGAAACCAAACAGAACGGGATGGGATGGGACGGAATAGAACGGGACAGAACAAAATGAAACAAGAATTATGTCCACCTCCAAATATTATTTAATTACTATGTGCACACTATTGAAATATAAAATTTGAAAATCTCAAAAAATTGTGTTCATCTCAATATCATGTTTGGACTCACCTAACTGCATGACTCCTTTATGGTGTTTGTGTAAAGGATGTTTCAAAAACATATAATCACTCACAATAACCATTATCGGATTCTTCTTTGTTCTTGTAATTTTCTTTTAAGAAATACAATCTTCTCTAACCGAATCTCTGATACTTTCCTGCATAAAATGCCAAAAATAAGAATCAGATACATGAGATCACAAATTGAAACCCAAATACAAACAAATGTTTACTCTTGTAACTCAATTACCTATTTGCTGATGCCAAAATATTAATATTGGAAAATAAATTTTATAAATTGAAAACACAATAAACACAATATGCAACGAAAAAAAAAATAAGATGAAGAAAATGATGGATGTCTCCAAAGTTTTTGTTCACTGTATGTAAAAAAAATAAGATGAATAAAATGATGGGTGTCTTCAAAGTTTTTGTTAGTGTATATAGGGTCTATGGAACTAGCAAGTGGTATGGTTACTACCATTTAACGTTGAAAATTACTCTGCAAAATACTTATATTTAATATCTTTCAAAATATCTCAATATTTAGTAATCATACCATAAATATATATTAGGTCCATAAATACATTTTACTCTCTAAAAAAACAAAATACTCCCAGATTTTCGTTTGGATATTCTTTTTCATTTTTGAAATCTAGTTGACGTTGTTTCCTAAAAGAAAAAATCTTTGAATTTAAAAGAAATTCCCAGATTCTAATAATTTAAGTAGCTTAAAATATGAAATTTTGTGAAATCTGGATGGTGTGTGACAGTGTGATGCACTCCAAATATCTAAACCAAATCTATGGTGCAAAATTTTGAAAAATAATAGTAAATATGTTGTATTTAAGGATTCTTTGAAAAATACCCTATTTATGTTTTAAAATTTGAAAAATACCATAATTTTTTTTCTGTTTTGAAAAATACAATTTTTAATATAAAACGTTTTAATATAAAAAGACTGTTCTGACCTAATTTAAACAAAGAATTAATAAATAATTACAATTTAATTTGTTGTCTCAGATAAATATATGTTAATGTTTTTCTCTTTTTTTTTATTTTTCTTTAAATAAATTTTAATATTTTTGAAATTTTATATAAACAACCTTAATCTCACCCTCATTCCAACCAAATGAAACTATATATAAATTTTAAATTTACATATATTTAAACTATATTAACTATTAAAAAATAAAAGTGGATAAATTTATCTTCCATTTTTAATATTTATCTTTAAACAAATTCAATTATTTTTGAAAATTTATATAAACAACCTTAATATTACCCCATTTGAACTTTTATATAAAGAAATTATATTTTTAATGAAGTTTACTAAAATTTAAACAGATAATTAGGATTGCACTATATTTTAAAATGAAAAAAAATCATAATCAAATCTTAATATTTAATATTTTTTATTTGAATTTCGTTTTTATTAAGTTAGCTGAAAACTTTTAGGATAATTAAGTCATTTCACATATTAAAAAGTGTATTTTTCAATACCAAAAAATAAGGGTAGTGTTCAAATTAAAAACTCATTTAAGAGTATATTTCCAAAATTTCTTTTGTATTGATTCCAACTTTTAATAGGAAATTCGAATTTAGACTTATTAGTTTATAGTTTTTTCTTTGTTATTTTAATCACTTAACTAGTAGAGTACCCGCACGTTTGCGCAGTGTGACGTTGTTGTTTTGTGTAGAAAATTTAAACTCTAAATCCAAACCTGATAAAAAAAAAGCTAATATTTTTTTTGAAAAACCCAAACTTTTTTTTAATATGTCTAAACCCGAATATCTGAAATAAAAAAAATCACGAAAACCCTGAACTGAACAAAAAAAATCTGAAAACTTTTTTCATCTGAAACTCGACCCAAATACACTAATCAAAATTTTAAAATACTCAAACATTTTTAATATATCTAAACCTGAAAACCCGAAATCTTAAAAATCCGGAAAACCCTAAACCGAAAAAAAAAACCCGAAAATCCAAAACACATATTCTATTGATTTGATATTATCATTAGATTATGTTAAGTTTTCTTTTTTTTTGGCAGATTTTTAAGAGCTGGAAAACGGAAGTTTTCTAAACCATCGGTTTGTTTTAAGTTATTATTCTTGTATCCAGACAATTTTTTCCATTTATTCTTCTATCCAAATAGTTTTTTCTCTTATACTTGTATCAAACATTATAATGTACTAAATCGACCCTAATTAAATCTGTTGCCAAACACTTTCTCTTCATAATTTGATTGGTTTTTTGGTCATAAATTTTTCATGTACTTCTCAATTAATAATATATAGATATCTATAATCTCTAATACTTTAAAGTAGCTGTGTGGGACTTGAAAGGCATCCACATCAACTTCTTGAGCGTCCTGGCACGTCACTAAGAGAAAGAAAAAACGGGCCTCTGTGATTTGTTGTGGCCCATAAATCTCTTAGCCCACAAACTCAAGCAGCGGTTGAATCAATTCATCTTGCTCGGTGTCGTCTTCTTCTTCCAACTTGAATCGATTCGTCGGTTACTCCTCTTCAATGTCCACTTCCTCTTTCGAATTTATGGCACTTTACTCTGGGATCCTATAAAACCCACAAACTTCCCAGCCAAGAGATGCATCTTAACTTTGCAGCTCATCTTCTCCCTAAAGCAGATCCGAAATTTTTATGATGGTATCTAAAGCTCCTTCTTCCTCTGTCAAAGCGATGACTGTCCAAGTTCTTGACAAAATTGGAGGGAAGTTCTCCAACGAGGAGGTGTTGGTTCGTGCTTATGGGTGTGGCAGTCCTTCTCCTTTATTCTGCGGTAATCCGGTACTCCTCACCTTCATTCGAAAGCTTTTTCCCATTATAGATTTGTTTTCCTGAGTAGTTATGAAAGAATTCTCTGTCGTGTGCGTTTGCTATGCTATCCCACGTAGGGCATCGACTCACAGGATGATGAACAAGACCTCCACGTTGACCAAATTAGAAGCAGAGCAGAACACATGAGATCTTTTGGGTAAGGGTTTAGTGAGAAACATGAATGAAAAAACAAGACATGGTATCCTTGATCTATTATGAAAGTCTTTTAGAGTTTGATTTTCTTTTTCGTTTAGTTTATGGAGACATGGCTTCTCTGGATACAGATTTGTTGCAGCTGCAGAAAATGTCTTCGTTTGTGCTGAAATCGAGACCTGAATTCACTCAGAAGCTCTTGGACCAGTGGCTTTCGCTCCCGGAAGCTCATCCACAGGTAATTCGATTCAGAGTTTCCTTTTAAGCTCAGGATAGATTCATATTGGTTTCATGACTTTCAGTTCTAATCTCCAATGCCACTAAGAATTCTCGCTGACGAAATCTATTATCCGGAGCTATGATCTTTTGTTGTTATATGACCTCTATGATTATGCGAAGTTTACTGGGATTTACTAGCTAAAGTTCTCCTTTTTTTGGTGGATTTTGTGTAGAGCAGATTTGTTCTGAAAGAGACTGTTAGCTTCTTTTTCTAAAATGTATTATTGTGACGACTCATTAGCTGAAGTCTAAAGTGCAAAACTATTTTCTATCTTTAATCTGTTTTTATTAGGTAACATCATTGCTTCAAGATGCAATGGTTGGAGCTCCTTTGAACGTTACTGGGAGTGCATCTGGTTCAGGACCTAGCACCAGCAATTCATTACCATCTATGTTTCCGGCGGGAAGTGCTCCTCCACTTTCACCGAGGAGTTGTGGTTCACCGCATTGAGTGAAACAGAGGGCTCCTTCTATGGCCACGGAGATGGACTGCAGATACAGGGGAAGAAGTGTTAAGATTTGTTAGAGCTTTTATCTGCAAATTTACATTCCGTTAGTCATGCCAAACATTGTCGCTCTTATGTATTCTCTCTGTGTTTGGGTCATACCGAACAAAAAAAAAAAATATTGACGTTTGGAATTTTTGGGTTTAGTTTATGCAGATGTGTTAGAGGAGAAATTAGCACATTTCCTGAGCCCGTCATCATTAGTAAAGTCACAAAGCCCAATCCGATTTTAGGCCTAACTTCCTTCAAGAAAAAGGCAAGACTTGAGAGAAAGGCACAATCCATGGAGAAATGTAAATAAATCTTCATGCCGACTTAAAGAATGGAAGGAAAGATCAAAACAAGAGGAAGTTTTCCATATCGCAAAAGAGGAAGTTTTCCATCTCGCCTGAAGGAGAATATTCATCATTCAACACTATATATTGAAGACCCCCCATTGGGGAAAAGGATCCGAAATCATCTAGAATCACTAGGCTTTCACATTTTACTTTCTCTCTTGTTCATCACTAATCTCGCTAGGCTTGTTAGCGAGATTGCTCTTTGTAACTTCTTGATAATCTAAGAGTCGAATTAAGCGTTCCAGTTTCCTAAACTCACATCTTTGATAGCCCGTCTTGACGAGTGCTATCTCGGATTCAACAATTGGCGCCCACCGTGGGGCTGGAAACGCTTCTCGCTATTCATCTCGAAGATATCTAGATTTTCACGAACTAGCAACGATGGTGAACTCGAAAGAGAACACTCCCACCGGGAGCCCGTCTCCCTCAGAAGAAAACTTAAGCGACAGTCTACCAGCACGATAGACAAGTCGCTACCCGCTGAAGGCAGGGACAAGCCTGTCCCTACAAGGAAACCATCTGTCTCGCCACAGAGATCCGTCTCGCCGCGAAGATCTACTTCGCCGCAACGATCCCCTCCGCCAAGAAGGACGAGAGCCCCCCTCCGTCCGCACCACGCCGCTCAAGAAAATCTTCCTCGAGCGACAAACCCCGCAGCTCGAAGAAATCCTCCTCGAGCGAGAAGATCCTCAAACTCATGGAGAATCTCGTCAAGCCGCTCGCCGACGGTTTCGAGTCAATGCGAGCACAGCAGAAAAAGACTCAGGAACAGGTGGAAGCCCTAGCACGAGAAGACGATGAAGATCCGTCAAGTCCCACTGACGGAACAACCCCCCGCGCACTTCAGGCGACTTACCACCCAAGAACTCGAACGGATGAATCGTCGCCTCGACGAGGTCGATTCGAAAGTTCATCGCGCCACCAGCTCAGCTCCGGAATTGACGAAAGCACTCGCCGACACCCGAAGAAGCCCGCTCACCCGCAGGCTCCGCCAGATCGAACTGCACGAAAGAGTTCGACTCAAAATCGACTCTTACACCGGCGAAGAAGACCCCAAGAAGTGGCTAACCGCGTTCAACCTCGCCATGAGGAGGGAGAAATACAAATCTTACGATGAAAGGAGGCCAACTACTGTCAAGTATTCGTCGAGCACATGGCGAAAGATGCCTTGACCTGGTTCTCTAACCTCCCCGCCGAGTCGATCGATAACTTCGACGACCTAACCAATGCTTTTCTAAAGCATTACTCCATGCACATGACCCGAATCACTCGGAACATGTTCACCACAACGCAAACCCAAGGCGAACCATTGCGCAGCTTTATGGAAAGGTTCAAACAAGCAGCTCGCGACACTGGCGACATGCCCGATAGCGTCCCGCTGGAAGCACTCCGCAACGGCCTCTGGTACGACTCCAAGTTTAAGGAGGATTTGTCACTAAAACCCCCTGCGACTCTGGAGGACGCGTTCCACCGCTCTCGGAACTACATCTTCCTCGAGGAAGACCAACGCTTCTACGCCGAGAAGCATGGAGATAGGAGGGCAACCTCGTCGAAACCCAGAGAGGAACCCATGGAGGCACGAAGAAGACACGATCCGAAGAGGTCTCTCCTCGCAGCGTTCGCAGCAGCCGACGATGAGTCCGAGCAAGAACACGCAGCGGCTTTCGATGCCACAGGACATCAACTCGCTCGGAGATGACAACGACACCAAAGCTTTCTGCAAGTTCCACGGGAGAACTGGCCACGCCACTGAAAACTGCAAACACCTATGAGCAACCTTATGCGCATGTACCATCGAGGAGAAATCCCGCCAATGGACGGCGATAGGTCCCAAGGAAAAAGCTTCCCGCCGAGACCACCAAAATCTGGGCAGCAGGAGAAGCGCGGACGACAACCCCGTCCAAGGAAGGATGCAGAAAAGCCGGAAGCCCGCCGGGAAGAGGAATCGTGACGACCACGACGACCTCCCCCGACAAGTCAGCATGATCATGGGAGGCCTCCTGGATAACGACGATTCCATATCGGCGATCAAGGAATACGAGCGAAAGGCCGTCACGGCACAACGCTACCCGTATATCCATAAAGGAATCCCTACATCTCCTTTATGGATAAGGACGCAAGCGGATTAGATATCCCCATCTCGACCCACTCGTGGTCACTTGCAGATTCACGACTGTGACGTCGCAAAGGTTCTAATTGACACTGGGAGCACGGTGAACCTCATCTTCCTAGAGACACTGGACCGCATGGGAGTGGAACAGGATCCATCAAACCCACATCCCGTCCCCTCACCGGCTTCACCGCCGAGCACGTACAGTTGCGGACAGTTCGGCTCCCCGTTTATGTCGGCGGAATTTCGAAGCTCTTGAAGTTCATTGTCATGGACAAACCGGCCATCTATAACGCAATACTCGGCACCCCCTGGCTCCACGAAATGAAGCCGTCGTCTCGACTTTCCACCAGTGCGTGAAATTCCCGACGCCTCTGGAATTTTCACCTTACGTGGAGATCAAAGAGTGACGCGATCATGCTTCCTTCGCGAGCGCAAGCTCCGCACCGCATCATCCTTTATGATAACCGAGCCTCAAACCACGCCTCACGAAGAATCGAGCCAGTATCGACGACGAGACCGACATCCAACGCAATGAGACACGCCCACGACGCAGAGCAATCCCCCGATCCTGGCAAAGAACGCCGAGCCCGCCTGGAAATCCGACTTAAGGACCAGCTTTAGCACTAAACCAAGAAGCTCTCCGATCTATTCGAAATGAGCAACTCGAGGACGAACCGCTACGGAGCTACCTGAAGATTCAAAAGCGCGCTGCTCGACCTCAGACGAGACCCCTGAGCACCCCCAATCTCAGAACCAGTACTCGTCCAAGCCCTCGGAAACGGACTCGGTACGAATCTGGATTTGGGAAGAATCCGCATCCGCCCCTCCCGAACCTTGAAGGACGCCTTCCTTCGCGCTGAAAACTACATTCGCCTCGAGCAAGACATCCCGCAGCTACGGTTCGACCCAAGATCCTCGGTCCAGGTTAGAAACAAGAGAAAGGTCATCATCCCTCCCCCGGAAAAATCCACGCATAAAGCACCAAGATGCCATCACGAGTCTCCCCTCGCCGAGATGATACTCCTGTCTATGACGAGACCAGGAAGAAATGGAGAATCGTGCGAGACTGATCGCCATGCATCTCCGCAGTGTTCATTCTCGATCAGGAGATATTCGAGATCATTGCCGACATTCGAAGGACCCCCCTGACGAGCCGCCTCTCCGAGTACCACTGAAGAAGCGCTCGCTGCACCTAAAAACGCGCCTCGCATCACGTCCGATCGCCTCTGGAGCTCGTCGGATCTGCGCAAGTTCCATGACTAGACGCGAAGCACCGCGCTAGCAAAAAAAAAAAAAAAAAAAAAAAAAAAAAAGACATGTCCATGACATGAACATTTGTAACGAACTACGAATGGCTTGATCCCGGCACGGGTACGTAGGCAGCCTTTTCATAAGGGCGCAGCTATAATACTTAATAAAATTTTAATTTTATTAAACCTTTTCTCTCGACAAGCGCGCCTCATCTGGCATAAGCTGAAACTTGTCGACACCGCACGCACCCGTTTGACGTCAAACCAAGTTATTGAGGCAAACTCAATAAGCACTTGCACTTTGCACCCTAAAAACATGGACTGATCACCCATTCATTAAGCCGAGAGCACGCACCTCGCACGGCTCTCAGTTCGTCGGACGAGCGAAAAACCGCTACCTCGTCACCCGCACGAAGCTTTGAAGTCGGAAGCATAAATCGAGTTTCTAGAGCTCGTCGCTGAAAGTAGGTTTAACATCCTAAGCACACAGACCTAATACGCACCGGTCGGTGTCTCGAATGAGAAGTCATGACGAAACCGAAAGCATCGCGTCTCGTCATGACGCATTAGCACCATCACGCGCACCATGTCGTGATACACTTAAAGGTAACGAGTCATCCCGATAATCGAATTTCCTACTCGGTGACGACCAAGTACTTAATTCATTTTATACGGTTGACGACACCATCGTCCTTTATTAAAAGACATAACCAAAAGCCGGATTACTTTCGTTGCGCTGCGAACTAATCAATTATGTCTAAAAGCCGTGACCATCAAAACACGCAAGCAATAGAAAATCATACTTAAAACATTTTAAGTATCTAGCATAAATCTGAAGCACAAATCCTAAAGCATACGGATGAAAACCTTCCCAGGCAATGTTATTACAACAACAAAAGGCCGCAGCCAAAAAGTCTTAAAAAAAGAAATGGGGCCTAAGCAGACTTGGCCCCAGAAGTAGAGGGTCCCGCACCCGGATCACACCATCTCGACGAGAAGGAGATCCCGGCAGCACCAGCCGTTTAAGGCTACAAAAAAAACAACACATAAGCAAACATACGCACGCAAAGCACGACATAACAAAAAAGAAGAAGCAAAAACCTTACACTACAAAAAAAAATGATTATTCTCACAATTTATTATGACGTTAATTTTTAGTAACAAACCGTCACCAATTGTTACACTATTAAAATAGTCACAAAGCCGACACAATTTATGACAGAAAATATTGTAACAATTATGTCACAAATGGTGACACTAAATTCGTTAGATGTTTGTCACAATTTGTTACCATATTTTAGTTATTAATGTGTTACAAATTGTGACAAAATAATGTTAGAAACCACGTCACATTTCATGACAAATTTATTGTCACAAACACGTAACAATTTGTGATGGAAAATAATGTCATAATTCTGTTACATTTAGTGACAAAGTAATAGTCACATATTCGTCACAATATGAGGTTTGTTTGTGACGTTTTTAGCTACGGAGCTCGTTAGAAATTGTTACAAATTTGAAATAAAAAAACCATATAAACTTTGTCACACTACTCCCGTTTTTGTTTTTATTGAAAAAAATTATAAATTAAAGTACTAAACATAAAATAAACAGATGATGATATTACTTAACAAAATATCTTACAAACGTAATCAAAGAAACATGGAAGCAAATAGTATTTCACAAAATATAAACTAAACAAACTAAACAAAACAAAGGATAATTAAGTAGAATCTAGAAAATCTAGATTATGCGGACGATGTTCATGGTGGAGTTGGATCTACTGACTTGCAAAGGACTCAACCATTTTCTCCATAGCTTCAAGTCTTTTCTGAATCTCCTGATTTTCTTCACGGCTCTGTTGCAGTTCAGTTTCCATTACTTGCATCCGATTTGTTATCATCTCTACTTCAGAAGGTTGGGGTTCACTTGGAGAAGCATCGACTGATGGTAAACCCTCACCTATTGCTCCAAGGCCAAAGACAGGGCTTTGTTTAGAAGACCCAGGAGCACCAGCAGCAGCCTACAACGAAAGACACACAAAAAAGATAATAAAAACAAAATACACTACAAGATAGTTAACATTTACATTACAACAAATAGCTTGTCACAACATGTAAACCATGCAATCAATCCAATAAGTTCCAGCGGTTCTTATTTTAGATCAACAAGATGAGAAAACAACTTAAACATACGATGTGTTATATCAGATTTTAGTCATACCTCTACACAGAATTCAGATTTTATTGCAAAAAGTTAAACATATAAACATACGAATGCTTCATAATATTTGTTAAAACTCTTGTTATTCACAACATAACTAAGACCCAGCGACAAAGACACAGGCAGGCAGGACAAACTGACGAAAACATTAGCTCAAACTTCTTATCAGTATAAAGTTTTGAAATACTACCTTGATATAAATCTCATTTTTCACACGTATGTCAAGATTTTCAGCTGTCACATTCTCTTGACCAGAAGCTTGTAGTTGTCTCAAGTGTTCTTGTAGAAGCTCCTCATAAGTCTCTGCAACCAGTTGTGCTCGTTGATCAGCGTATGTTCCATCAGGCTTCTGATTAGCTTTCTTCATCACAGCAATGAAAGAGTAATCTTCATTGTTTGCTTCCTGAAAACATACGTGCAATAAGAAACTTTACAGAAATAACAACAACTAAAAACCAGTAATGAAAAGGATAGAAATTACCAGAACATCTTGAACTTTGGCATAGGAACGTGAACCAGATATGTGGGAATGTGGACCCAAGCCACTGCGATCAGACAATCGAGAATTACGAGCCTTCTCGCTATTGGCTTTTGCTTTTGGTGTTGCCCAATAAGCTACCATGATGGTCCAATAGTCTTTCAAAATCCAGTCTGGTTTGACTCCAGTCCTCTTTGCATGACTTATCATACCTCTCAAACGATAAGCAGCAAGCTTATTAAACTCACTTTGAACTTGACCATTGATAGTAGGATCCCAATTAAACTTTCCCTGATAACAAAGTATATCAGAAACGATGAGTAACACAAGAAATGAAATCACGAAGTTAAATAACTTGCCCATCCGCGATACTCTTCGCCAGCTTGGCCGCAAGCTTCTCCTCCATTGCGTCGAAGTTCAGGTCTACTCCCCAGATCTTCTTCACGAAGTCAAGGAGAGCTTCGTCGACTTGTCTCCTCCCTACGGGCGCTTCGACTACGTCCCGCTGCGCGACGAACCCTGATAAGCGATGAAGGCGAGGAGCATACCAATCATTCATCGAGTCGAAGACTTGAGTAACAGCCGCCTCAACCCATTCTCGACGAGACTGTCGGAGACGCTCCATCTCAGCAGCAGAAGCCTCTGCATCCCGGCGAGCCTTCTCTTCCATATCGCCCACTTGAGCCCTTAGCCTATCCGCCTTATCCTGAAGACGGCCACCATCGTGTCGACGTCTTTCGCCTTCTCCTGCTCCTGCTGCAACCTGAAGACCTCATCCTTAGCCGCCCGGAGAGCCGTCTCGTACTTCTGGACCAGCGCAGTGAACTTCCCGCCAGACATGATATGATGTTGAGCAGCCTCGTCAAAGTCAGTCCTAAAGGTGAGCTCCTCGCGCGGAATCCCTTTACCAGGATGAACTTTGGAAATCCAAGTCCCTCCTCCGCAAGCATCCTGATCCTCCATAAGAGGGCTCTCGCCATTCCACCACGTCTTGAACGCATGAGGATTATAGCCCTCAGGACCATCCTTTGGCATCCCGGTATCGCCCTCGGCACCAAGGTTCGAGCCAGGAGCAAAGCCACCCGCCTCCGAGTGACGAGACACCGCCTCATCATTCTCGCCTGGGCGCCGAGATGACTCCCCTCCTTCAAGACCGCCACAATCACGCCGGTTAAAGGAAGGAGCGTCGTCACGAGGAGTGAGGAACTTGTTCCCCTGAGAAGGCGAACCACCACGCGGCGGAGTCCTCAAACCGTCATCACGATGATAAGCACTCTCGTCGTGACGGGAAGAATCATCGTGATCCGAGGAAGGAGGAGAGTCAAGCTTGATCACGTCCTCGGGAACAGAAGTTGAGACCTTCTACGTCGAAGCCCTACAAAAAGTATTTACACTTAGCATCGAAATTTCGCAACCACCTCCTGAAAGTCCATTGATAGGTGATCTACCTCGTACGAGACGCAATTGAAGAGCTTCGAAGAGGAGAAGAAGGAGAATCCCTCAGTCTTGGGGACCCGACCTTTTTCTTTTTGGGTGCCGGCTCGGAAGCAACGACGACGTCATCAATAGGCACGGCCGCTCTCTTCCTAAGACCCATTAGTTTCTTCTTGGAACGGGATGGCTTCGCTGCTGCAAAACGAAGCAAGATGTTAAGATATCCGGAGATAGAAGCGAGCAAAAGAAGGAAGCAAAATGCTCACTGGATATCGAAGTCGCGGGAATGACAGATTTGCTCTTCCCCTCCCTCTTGTCTTTCCTCTCTTGCTTCTTCTTCTCGAGCGCCGCCACGACCTCAGGCCACAATCAATGGCTGAGCTCCTTCAGTAACTTGAACTTCTCCTTGAGTTCGCCGCTTGGTCTCGCTCGCCTGGATGGCCCTGCAAAGAAAACAAACAACATCAGAAAACGCAAACTTATCAAGCACAGATAGCAATTCTAGCTAAAAATTCTACCCGGCGATTTAACCCATTTTGTCCTAATCTGATCAGCTTTGATCTTCCCGACTGAGGCACGGTTTATCTTCACTTAAAAGAAATACTTCTTCCACCAATGGATCTTGTTTCGGTAATCTCCGAAAACAATATCGTACTTCATCGTGGTATGGAACCGCTTGAAGTTTCCTTCCCGCGATGAAGTCCGGAGATCAGTAACATGCTCGAACAAGAGTCGATCGAACGCAACTCCGGCAGCTTTAGCTAGAGCCTCGGTAAAAACAATGTGGCGAACCACACCGTGAGTCAATTGACTCGTGGGAACGCCACGATTGGCTGCGAATTGCAAAAACAGAGGAGACAGAGGGAAGCTCATCCCAAATTCAGTAAACATACACTCGTAGACGCACATCCACCCCGCCGGGGAAGTATAGGGTCTTTCATGATGATCCGGAATGCAAAATTCCACAGAATTAGGAAACCCGGCCTCCACCACGAGGTCTTGAAGAATCTCGTCTGTCATCCACGACCTCCCATCATCGATCAGGCCCGACGACGGTGTACGACTCGGCATCTTAATTACATCCGGAATACTCTCAAGCCTCGCTTGGCCTGACGTCTCTCCCTCATTGTCCTCATGATCCACATCTGGATGGCCCGGCGGCGTCCCATCATCACAATCGGAATTGGTTTCGTCACCGGAGTCGGACTCTTCTCCATCCCTCTGTCTCGCTCTTTCAGCCTCCTCCCGACGTTCGGCTTCCGCGGCGATTCTCATCGCCTCTTCCATCTCAGCCCTTTCAACCACCCTCTCGGCCTCAGCAGCGGCCGCCGCTTCATCCACCGGCGTCCTCCTGCGACGTTCCGCCGCATCCGCTTGGATGGCTCCACCGAGAAGCCTCTCCGGATGAGCGGAAGATCGCATCCGACGCGCAATAGAAGCAATCGTCTCGTCACCATCGTCAATGGCATACCTTTGCCCTTCCTATCCGTTGGGTTCATCTCGATTGTACGAAGAATCGGAAAAACTCGAAGACCGAGACGAAATGTCTGACCAAAAACCCTAGAATCCGAATCGGCGAAAGGAAGACGAAATCAGAGCACAACCTAACTAGATTCAAGCAATTCGTGATTCCCTAGTCCTAAATCCCGCAAAATCGATTCGGTAAATCAATCGAGATAAGATTTGAAGTCGGATTGCGGAAGTTACCTTTGATTCGTCGGGACGGTTGAGTGAGAAGAAGAAAAGAAGCAAAAATGAATAAAGGAAATTCGAACGGTCTCTTAATAGAGATCGCGCGACTTCCAAGGGACACAACTGCCCTTATGAATTTTTTATTCATTTCTTTCCCGCTCAAGGAAAAGCATTAATGGGCTTGGGCCTCCGCGCGATTTAATCGACTATCGGACTCAGCCCACGCAATTGCAAAAATCTACCTGGCGATGACGTGGCAAAATCGCCCAGTACAGACAAAAACCGAACTCATCACGACATTCGAACCAAGAAAGCATTTTTGGTCTCGGCAAAAATCATTCAAAGCACATTATCTTGTGAATTAGATGACGTCAACGTACTCTTTTTCCTTTTATGGTTTTTGTCCCAATTGGGTTTTTCCGTACCAAGGTTTTAATGAGGCGGCACGAATCTACATTCAGCATGCACTTAGGCACTAAATCCGATTGGAAGTGATGTATTTTACTAATGATTCTTAAGCTCACTCTCTATTCATGAAGCTCGCCGAGATCAAACCATTTGACTGCCGAGCTGGGGGGACTTATTGTTAGAGGAGAAATTAGCACATTTCCCTGAGCCCGTCATCATTAGTAAAGTCACAAAGCCCAATCCGATTTTAGGCCTAACTTCCTCAAAAAAGGCAAGACTTGAGAAGGAAGGCATAATCCATGGAGAAATGTAAATAAATCTTCATGCCGACTTAAAGAATGGAAGAAAGATCAAGAACAAGAGGAAGTTTTCCATATCGCAAAGAGGAAGTTTTCCATCTCGCCTGAAGGAGAATATTCATCATTCGGCCGACTTATCAACACTATATATTGAAGACCCCCCATTGGGAAAAAGGCATCCGAAATCATCTAGAATCACTAGGCTTTTGCACCCACTTTACTTTCTCTTCTTGTTCATCACTAATCTCGCTAGGCTTGTTAGCGAGATAATCTCTTTGTAACTTCTTGATATTCTAAGAGTCGAATTAAGCATTCCAGTTTCCTAAACTCACATCTTTGATAGCCCGTCTTGACGAGTGCTATCTCGGATTCAACAAGATGTTGGATTATTCGGATAGATCCCTTCAAACATACCAGGACAACAAAGACATAAAATCGTCCTCAACAGCTTGGTTGATGTAATGAATATTTATCTGGAAACACAGATAATTCGAAAAATTGAGAGCCACTGTTTATTCTTTATCTGTATTATACTTCTTTGCTATAGATGTGCACAGCTACAAATTGTAAAACTACGTTTCAGTACAATACTTAACAAGGATTTCACAAAAACATGATAAAATGACTACTGCACCGAGTTATATATTAATATCATTCCAAAAGTCTACTTTGGAGCATTTTAAAAGTACACAAGTACTTAATAGGGAGAATTGGCAATTTACCCCAAATTGAAACTTCTTGTCCCACTACACCTTTTTTGACTTTGGTCTTTTTTGGTCAAGTTTGCCCTTCAATTTATTTATAAACTCATACTAAATGTTTTTGAAGTGAAAAAAAATGCCATAATTCCTAAAAATCATTTCAGCACTGTGTAAAATTTTTGAACATTTTTGAAAATGCTTATGATATTTAAAAAAATATTTCAAGTTTCATTCTACAAAACTAAAATATCAAAGTAGAATTCGTTTTCTGCAAGATATTCGGAGGTCTAACCTCCGTAGAACATAATATCTACAACTTATTCATACCTCTTCCGGATGTAGAAGTTGATATCTACCTACTCTTATAGGCTCTACCATTTTGTAGAATTCGCACCAAATGTATTCTACTCAATCAAGTATCTTCTACTACTCGTAGATTTTACGTTCTACGAAACACTGCTATCTACAAGAAATAGTTTTCGTATTCTACGTGTTTTTGTCTAATCTACATCCCGCAGAAGTAGCGTTCTACTAAAACCATGTTTTCTACGATCCGTAGTACTCGTGTTTCTAGTACACAATCTAGCAAAATTAGTGTCGTCTACGGTTTTGTAGAATTCATCTTCTACGAAGATCAGAAAATATTGCAACTGAATATTTTTCAAATCTTTCTTTCCTTTTTTTCCTCCAACTATCCCAAAACAAACCACGACATCTCCCTCACATCACGTTCTTCCTTCCTCTCCTCTTCCTCGTTCATCCTTCCTCTCCGTCGTCCTCTTTCATCCTCCATCTTTAATATGGTGCAAGTATATGTAGCTTGCGGTTCATGGAAAAGGTGTGCAATCAATGGATGGATATTTGTTGCTGATGAGGACAGAGGAGGACGAGTAGTTACTTTGGAATCGAGTACTCGTTTTGAAGAACTAGTAGCGATTGTGTTAGAGGATTTCTCAATCGAGGGCGGATTCGACGTTCGAGTTTAGCTACTTGCCACGAGGTTTGATCAATAATACTGTATCTCCCGAGTTGTGATTTCGAATGATCGTCAAGTGCAAAATTTCGTGGGTTACATCCGGAAGCAAGAGTCCAAACAGTTGTGTTTGGCAATTAAGGATCCAATGGTAATAAGGAAGTGAACATTGACGACATTGGTGACTTGGTAGTGTACCTCCAAGTGATGGGTTATTCCTCGGTGAAAGATGAGATCAACAAAGGGAAAGGAAAATCAATGATGATGAGGAAGTATTGTCTCAAAAGGAAATTGATTATGATAATCAATTTCGGTTGGCGTTGGTGGAAGCTGTGAAGGTTAAGCAAGAATTCAGATGCAAGAATCAGTTGATATCATGTTTCGAACTCCTGGCAATGAAGCACAACTTCGACTACAAGGTTCCAAATCAGATAGGAAGTTTTGGACAGCTCGGTGTGCTGAAAAAGAATGCATTTGTTGTTCGAGCAGCGAATCTAAAGGGTACCACCTTGTTTGTCATCAAGAAGTATGTGGGTGAACATACTTGTGCTCCTTCACTAAAACCAAAAATGGTAGGACAGCCTCTGCCAAAACAATTGGCAATCTCATTAGCAGAGGTATGAAGGTGTCAAAGAAGGACCTAAACCAAATGACATTATACAGCTGATGCGTACAGAGCACGGATGCAAGATTTCCTACGATCTGGCATGGGAGGCACGCGAGTATGCTGTCAATTGTGTGAGAGGTATACCAGAGGAGAGTTATGGTAAAATACCAATGTACTTGCACATGGCAAAGGAAGCTAATCCGGGTACTCATACTGCTTATAAAACTGATCCTGATGGTAGTTTCAGATACATGTTCATTGCTTATGGTCAGTCAATTAGAGGCTTCCACAAAGTGATGCGGCAGGTCATCGTTGTTGATGGGACATTCTTGAAGAATAAATACAGGGGAACACTACTAGTTGCTACAGCTTTAGATGGTAACTCTAATTTGTATCCATTAGCATTTGGTGTGGTTGATTCAGAGAATGATAACTCATGGGAATGGTTTTGAGGCAGCTGCATGTTGTTATCGAGGATGACTACACCTTGGCTTTTATCTCAGACAGAAATCCATCCATTGCTCAGCAATACGTATTGTCTACCAACGAGCAAGCCATGGAATCTGCATCCACCATTTGCTGAACAATGTCATCTCCCATCTCCATGGAAAAGGTGTGGCTGGTCTGGTTGCAATGCTTCTAAGGCATACAGAATTGCTGATTTCCAGAGGATAATGACTGATGTGTGTAAGAACAGACCGATGTTGCAAGATATCTAGTGAAAGCTGATGTGAAAAAGTGGGCTCGTTGCTTTTTGTTGGATACAGGTACGACATTAGGACAACTAACCCAGCTGAGTCCTTAAATAATGCATTGAGATCACCTAGAGAGTTCCCAGTAATCCCTCTACTGGACAGCATCAGAGAAATGTTGACAAGGTGGTTCTATGAGCGCAGGACATTGAGCTCAAAGCATAACCACCCTCTAACCAAGGCTGCTGAGATGAAGATTACAGAAGAATTGAAAAGGGTAAACAGTTTACAATTCAGCAGATTGATGCAAACAGATTTGTGGTTGGCGGTGACATCTACCAATGTGTGGTTGATTTGGCGAAACGAACATGTACTTGTGCCAAGTACGATCTGCAGAAACTTCCCTGTAGGCATGCAATCAGAGCTATTTTCTTGATAGGAAAGCAATCACATGAATACAGTGATGATGTGTTCAAAACTGAGTTCTGGAGAGTAGGGTATGAGGAAGCTATTAACCCAATGGGTGTTCCTGAGGATGCATGGTGTGTTACAGAAGATCTTGAAGACGAACTTGTTACTTGTCCTGAGTCACGCCGAGCTGCCGGCAGATTTGAAACAGTTGAGGACAAGATAAGGTCGCACAAAAAGTTAAAAAGATACACAAGTGCAGTCGATGTGATAAGCCCGGCCACAACAGAGCAACCTGTGATATGCCTATATAGTTGAACTTAATGTATGTTCTCTTTCCAGTTCACCTTTGTCATTACGCCTTCTTGTGGAATTGTTGTGATTTTTGTGGATTTTGCTGATTTTGTAGGTGGCTGAAGAGAGTATGGGGAACATGGAGCTAAGGATATGAGGAGGTTGTGTTGGAGTGGTGCCTCGGATATTGGTTTGCTTTTGTTCTGTTTCTGGGAAGTTTATTGTTTTGGTTTGCAAATGACAAAGATGTTTATGCCAACGATATGGTCTTTGATATTGTTCTGATTTTGGTGTTATTTTGTTTCACATTTCAGCTTTTTAATGTCAAGGATATGGTCTTTCTTTGTTTCATCAATGGATATGTCTTTGTATGCTTACTGTTTGTGCTCTCTGTTTTCTTAAACAAGCTTTAACAAAATGCAACACCATTACCATAAGAATTACTTGTTCACAGTACCAAAACAGAACAGTGAATCAAATCCAGAACAAAAAGAAAACCATCAAATACATTAGCAACTCGATGTGACTCAAACTACTGTGAAAAAGAAGAACAAAACCACTCCCAAACCACACACAATCACGTTTCTGCAACAAATCATGTTCGATTTGTAAGAACATAATCTCGAATTGCTTACCCGAACTGGCTGAAGAAGACATCTAAGAATCTTCGAGTTTCGTTTACGATTTTTGCCCAAATCGTCGAGTTCGTCGCTTGAATTAGGTTTTGGAGAAGATAAAGGAAACGACGCCGTATCTGTGTTGAAGGATTAAAAACCACGTCGTTTTTAATTTGATAAGGAGAAAATGATGTTGTTTTTAGCCTCAGTCATTTTTAATTTGATAAGGAGAAAACGATGTCGTTTTTTTTTAGCCTCATTTACAATCAAACGATGGTCATGCCCTCTCAACCCTGCTTCGTATCAACCCTCAAACGATGGTAAACAAACATCAAAATACAAGAACACATATTAACAACCAAACGTGAATGCTAGTAAAAATAAAATTTGACAATGTAAACAACCAAATGGTCCCATAAACAAATCATCAAAGTGTTTCCATGTGTCAATGTCAACAATCCTAAAACAAATGCTACTTGAAACCGAAAATTCAGCAGCTTCTCATCACAATCAGCTGATGTCCACAACTTCAGTTGGAGCAAACTCCGGTCGTACATACCTAGTCATCCGGTCTAGCAAAACCAGATCCTTTGCCGCGTCATGAAGATCACACGCTATCTTCTGCCTAGCTTGTTTAATGTTTCCATCATGCAACAATGCCATGTCAAGTCCTAGGACATGGCACTCGATGAACTTCACCGCATACACCCCACATTCAGAATGATTTTTGTTAATCCCCTTTCTCATGGGCACATACCTCGTCGAATATGGTGCAATTGACAGGAGTTTCTTCCTAGCAGCTGGCTGCACTTCCTTGAAGATACGAGGCACCATGTTGGCGAATGCGTCGACCTCTCTGTACCGTTTTAGACCGTTACTGTCGAAAACGTCAATGGACCTGTCCGTGAAGTTGATGCACAGTGATATCCAATGGTTGCCTCCTACACAGACTGGAGTGTAGATACGATCAACGTCAACTCCCCAAACCTTGTTTGTGTTTCCGTGAGCCGGCAAAATGCCTTTACCAAAAGCCATTAGGTACTCGCTCACTTCCCACTAAAGAGAACTACTCAAAAGACATGAGAAATTCGAAATAATGAGAAATAAGATGATGGTAGTGATTCAATGAGATTAAGAAGAAAGATTCAAAGAAGAAGTACTTTCTAAATCATTAAAATCAAGCCAAGATCTTACAAAAAAAATAAAATAAACCAAAGGAGGCAAAAAGAGAGGATTTTAATCAAGGAAAAGATCCAAGATGCCTAGTAAAATTATGTCTTCAGCTATTTTTTTTTTTTTTGTGCAAATACTTGGCTTTCATTAAGAAGGTTTAAACCGGTTCAATACAGATTTCGTTGAGTGCCTGTTTTGCCAATACATCGGCTTGACGGTTCTCCTCCCTTGGTACAAAGACAAACAAAAAAAATTCAAAAGCTAGTGATAGAATCAGGATATCGTGTAGAATCCCATCGAGTTCTTTGTTGAAGTTCTCCTTGTTGATTGCCTTGATCAGCTGCTGTGAATCTGAGGCGACTATGAGTTTATTGTATCCAAGATCTCGTGCTTTTGCAAGCGCCGTGAGGATTGCTATTCCCTCCGCCATGAGTGGCGATTTGATGTGTCTCCGTGAAGCTGTGCCTTGATGCAAGATCTCCTCTGGCTGGTCCCTGGTTCTGTTGTACAAGATCCAGCCGAAACCCACAGATATAAAGTCTCCTCGCCAGGCTGCGTCCGTCTTGCATATGGTCCAGTTTTGGCCTGGGATCTGTCGGATGGTTTGGAATCGCGTCCCTCCGGATGTTACTTGTCTGCTCTGCTTGTGCTGTGCCTGTTTTCGCCTGTTTCCTCAGCGAATATGAGCTGATTTCGGGTTACCCATATTGTCCACACGATCCAGGGGAATATGGGTCCCTCTCCAACACCTGTGGGAGGTAGGCAAGTTAAATGTGGTGCCAATTTGATTCCTGCTCTTATGTTATCTATCCTCATTGGCTCAATCTGTTCTTTGCATGGCATCTTCCTCCATATTTGGGCTGCAAAATTGCAATGGAAGAGCAAATGGGATGTGGTTTCTTCTCCTCCGCAGTGTGGGCATCGTACCATTGTGTTGATGTTCCTTGCTTTCAAGTTTTCATCCACCGGTAATGCTCCATTCATTGCCTTCCAGCCTTCCACCGGTAATGCTCCATTCATCATACCGTTAAAGTTCTTTGTAGCTTGTTCGTGGTCCTCGTTTGGTTCTTCAGGGGTTTGTTTCAGGGCCTCATAGTAGCCAGATTTCGCCGTGTACTCTCCATTCTCCGTTGGGAGCCAAAACTTAGTGTCTTGTGCCCCCAATTTGCTTGGTTGTATCTCCAGAATTGCTGCTTCAGCATGCCGCACAAATGTTTGGATTTTTCCTCTATCCCTGTCTTTGTGTGTGGTGATATGTATAACGCCCGTGGGCCTCACCCCTGTATGACGGCCGGTCCGTTATTTTTGAGAGGCTCTAATGACTTGTTTACTATCCCTGCAATCAACACCCGACCTTTCCCCGTGTTTTGGCCTCACTCACACGGTTTCGGAAACCACTTCCCGAAGGTCACCCATCCTTCAACTACTCCAGCCCAAGCACGCTTAACTCTGGAGTTACTTATAGACCTTTGACCGAAAAGGTAAGTGCACTTTGTTGACATAGGTAGCCAAATCAATTCTCTTAAACCTCTCCTCATTTATCACAAACCGGGATGTTACAACTCACCCCCACTCACTGTTCCAACGTCCTCGTTGCGCACCTGAATCGTCACCCTCTGACAGTGTAAGTCAAGGCCACTTCAACTTGACTCCACACTCTCGTCTAGGTTTAGCCCCAAATCCCGGTGAGTCACCCACGCCCTCTCTCTGGGCCCGCAGGCCCATCTCGGCCCGTGGGCCTCACCCCTGTCCGACGGCCGGTCCGTTATTTTTTGAGAGGCTCTAATGACTTGTTTATTATCCCTGCAATCAACACCCGACCTTTCCCCATGTTTTGGCTCATCACACGGTTTCGGAAACCACTTCCCGGAAGGTCACCCATCCTTCAACTACTCCAGCCCAAGTTCGCTTAACTCTGGAGTTAATTTAATTACACCAATTAACCAGAATTAAAACAATTTAAACCAAGATAAACCAATTAAATCAATTAATTCAACTAAACCAGATTAAACCACACAAACACACAATTCATCACAGAAACAACCAAAATACAATGAAATAACAATTAAACACATAATTTCTTCAAGAACAACCACAAACCAATTCGAATCTAGCAAATCACGGACCCACAGTCATGCACTCACCTTGACAATGGATTGAGACTGAAGGAGATATGAAACATGATGAGCAGTGCCGAATCGCGACGATGAACAGTACCCGATGAACAGTACCCAATGAACAGTACTTCGATGAACAGTATCCGATGAACAGTACTTAGATGAACAGTAACGAAATCTGCTCCAAAATCTCAGAATTTCTCCTTTAAATTTCTCTCTTTTCTGTTACTGTTCACCCACAAAAATTACAAAAAGGAGGCAGCTCCTCACTTTTATTTCACAAACTAGGGCTTTCTCCACTAAACCAGCTCAAACCAAATCACTTAAATTGAACCGACGATATTCCCAATTTTTGGTTTATAAATGTTACAACTCTCCCCCACTAAACTGGATTCGACCTCGAATCCCAACACAAAACGTCACAAAGACCGCAAACCCGACCTCGCAAGGCCACAACACTGGAGATCCTCACGTCTAATCTTATGTTACACGCCCGTCTCTAGACATCATTACTCTTAACTCATCACCTCAAACCACTTGTATTGGGGCCACTACACCCAAACAAGTCTGCACCTACCCAAACTGGGGCCACTACACCCAGGGGCTTGCCAACCGCTGCTTATACTGGGGCCACTACACCCAAATAAGCCAGCCACGACTTATACTGAGGCCACTACACTCAGATAAGTCACTATTGAGGCCACTACACTCAGATGAGTCTGCCAGAGAACCACTGTCTCCAAAACAGTAATGAGTTATTCAGGATCGCAATCCTTAGAGTAAAAATTCCAAGACATCTATAACAATAGAATTAGAACTGTCTCACGACCGACTGGTCAAACACTTGTAACATCCAAAAATACCACTTAAACAACACAAGGCAAAATGAGGAAAAACTGCATCTCATAAAACTCCAAAATGTATATCGTTACAACCAAAACGAAAATACAAGTACAAAGCTCAAAAGCTAAAACTGAGGAACTACAAAAATGAAAGAAGCTCACTCCTCGACCTGCTTGTCGAACCACTTCCTGAACTTCAACTTCATCTTTGCCTCTGGCTCCCAAGTCTCCTCTGTAGAACCACTGCAATCCCACAAAATCCTCAGCAAGGGAATCCTCTTGTTCCTCAGAACCTTTTCCCTCCTCTCTAACACGCACAGCTGGCACTGTCAAATCTGGCCTAAGATCCTCTGGAATCCTAGCCACTAACTCCTCTGTAGGGTGAAGACACTTCCTCAGCATCGACACATGAAAAACCTTGTGAAAGGCTCTCATAATCTCAGGCAACTCCAGCCTGTAAGCCAATGGCCCAACTCGCTCCACTACTGGAAACGGCCCCATAAAACGCGGACTCAGCTTGTTCTCTGCTATGGATCTGTTAGGACCCCTCAACATAGCCATCTTGAGATAAACTCTATCTCCCACCTGAAACTCAAGCTCTCGTCTGCGTCTATCTGCATAACTCTTATGTCTGTCTGATGTACTTGCATTTTACATAGTTTTAGTACATCTTTTATGCATCTTTTGCATAGTTTTAGCATCCATTTGCATCATATCTTGTTCCTTTTCTCTTCTTATGCATTCATAGTAGTTTTAGGTTGCATTTGCATACATATGCATGTTTGGTCCTTTGAAATAGGTCTTTTGGAGCATTCTGGAGCATATGGGACAGAGGAGCATGGAGGGACTTGGCACATGGACGCAGCTCAACTGGATACGCAAAGGAAGAAGGAGAAGCCATCTTGAAGACCAGCCGACCAACTTCAACTCGATCGAGCTGAGAAGTCAACAGTCAAACCCGAAAAATGTTGCTTCCCCCTTGACTTTCCTTTGACCCTAAACCTAATCCTCTTTGTATTTAAAGGCTAAAAGCCACGAAAAAACCACCAAGCTTTAGATTACTTTTGTTTTAGTTTCTTTTAATTTATTGTCTTTTACTTTTTAGAGCTCTAATCCCATCTTTGTGTTCTTGAAGCTCTTGCTTCTTGAATCCTAGATCCTGGATAATCTCTTTGTATTTGCACTTGCTTATTTCAATAAAAGTTGTTTATTTCATCTCCTCTTTCTTATGATGTCTCTTTTATTGCATTTGCTTGTGTTTACATTCATGTGTAGTGAGTAGTTACCCATTAGGGTTTGAGATGGGATAGATTAGAGGTTTCATATGCTTAATCCTTCTTGCTTATGGTCTTAATCTAGATTCTCTCTCTTTTGGATAATCTTAAGGCTACATGACCACTACCCCTGGCTTGTATGTCCTTAGGCGATTCTCCACATGGAAGTGATGGCAAATCGCTGGAAAAGATCCACTAAGAGCTCCAATATCTCTTGCTCTAGAAATGAGGTCTAAGGGGTTGGATGGATTAGTTTGGGCAATGATCCTATGGCCTCCAAGGTTTGATTCTCACTGGCTAACCCCCTGTTTCTGAGATCATTCCTTGGTTGATAGCCTCCACCTTGGGAAAGGGTTGGCTAGGCATTGAGAAGCCCAATATCAAGAGAAGCCTTGATACAAGGAGTTTTAAGAGCAGATTGATTAAGTGTAGATTCCTGTTGCAAAACCCTGTCTTGAACCCTAATTCTCTCTTAGCTTGTTAAAGTCGCTCCTTTATTGCTTTTTACTTCAACTCGACCCTAAACTCGATCGAGCTCGGTACTCTGTTCCACTCGACTCGAGTCCTTGGTCGAGCTGTTGCTCTACTGCTTTATTTCTATTCTGCATTGCATTTCATTTTTAGGTTGTTAGTGTTACCCCATATCATTTACTGCTTGCTTGACTTCCTGGTTGTTTCATATTCTCATAGAGTGACAAGTTTCCCATTTTGGATTGATAACCCTTTACTATAATGACTATCATGGTTAAAGGGAATTGTTGACTGTGTTTGTGTTTGCATCTTACCACCTCATCATATACCACTGTTGCATTCCACCACATCTCATTTCATATCTTTCACATCACACACAAATCCTATCATCAATTTGGCGCCGTTGCCGATTTGGGATTATTTTGTTGCATTTGAGTTTCAAACATACTTGGACGATCAAGCTATACCACCCCTGTTCTATTGTACTGCTGGGTTTTTGTCTCTTTTTGCAGGTGTATGCGAACTCGATCGAGTCGGTCTACAGAGGACTTGGTCGAGCTAGACTTTACAACGGGTAGAAAGAGGGTTCAGAGGTCACAGAGGGTACAAGAGGAACCTGAGGTGCTTGTTGCTGATACAATGGATGTACCAGAGGGGAATGGAAACCCTTTGGGCAATGGACTCGGTCGAGCTAGGCAAACTCGACCTCAAGGAGATGCTCCAAACCGCCACCAACAGAGACAAGGGATTGTTCCACCACCAGTGCAGAACCACAACTTTGAGATCAAGCTGGGAATGATCAACCTTGTCAGAACAAGATGTTCCATGGATTGCCAAGTGAAGACCCCATTGACCACCTTGATGAGTTTGATAGGCTTTGTGATTTGACAAAGATCAATGGTGTCTCTGAAGATGCCATCAAGCTGAGACTCTTTCCTATGTCTCTAGCTGACAAAGCTCACCAATGGGAGAAGAGCTTGCCCCATGGCACAATCACCACTTGGGATGAATGCAAGAAGGCCTTTCTTGCTAAGTTTTTCTCCACCGGTCGCACAGCCAAGCTTAGAGGAGAGATATCGAGCTTCATCCAGCGAAACAATGAGACATTCGCAGAGGCTTGGGAGAGGTTCAAAGGCTACACAAGTCAGTGCCCACACCATGGATTCAACAATGAACTACTCTCCACTCTTTATAGAGGATGCTTGCCTAGGTATAGGGAGATGCTAGACACAGCTAGCAATGGGAACTTCCTCAACCAGGATGTAGATGATGGCTGGCAACTTGTGGAGAACATCGCTAACTCCAATGGAAGCTATGGAGAAGAGTATGATCGCACCAATCGGAGCTCGACCCACCACTCGATCGAGTCAGACGAAAAGTTGAGAAAAGATGTTAAGGCATTGAATGAGAAGTTGGATAAGCTGATCTAGCTCAGTCCACAATGAAGAAAGTCAACTTTGTGTCTGCTGAGGAGATGGAACCAGTCCAAGAAGGGGAGGATACACAATTTGCTGAGGTGTGTACATGAGCAATGGGCAAGGAGGCTACAACAAAGGATACTATAATTACAAGTCCAACCCTGCCATGTCATACCGCAACACTGATGTTGCTAACCCTCAGGACCAAGTCTATCCTCAACAACAAGCAGCTCGATCGAGTCAAGGGCCACAACATGGGTATGGTCAAAAGAACAATTACCAAGGACCCCAAGGACTTTCCCCGGACAACAAATGAATATACCACCAGGCTTCCCCCACCAACCACCCCAGCCTACACCTTCGCAAGAGAATGAGCTCAAGGCAATGCTAAAACAACTGCTTCAAGGGCAAGCTGATGGGGTAGTGGACACAAGTAAGAAACTAGCTGAAATAAACTCCAAGATCGAGAATCTCAACACAAGAGTTTACTCTCTGGAGAATCATGCTTCTTCTGTTGCTGCTGCTACAAAGCAAGGACAACTACCTGTAAAGCTATTCAGAATCCCAAGGAACAGTGCAAGGTCATCTTCACTCAAGAAAGACTTGTTCAAGAGGAGGATCAAGAGAGAGTCATTGAAGAGTTTTGTTTACTGCTGAATGATGATGAGATTGTTGCTGCTGAGGCTCCTGGAGTCCAGATTGATCAACCAGAAGTGCAGGCACCTACTGTGGTCCTTCACACTTCACCAGTTGAGCTCGCACAACAAGCTCGATCGAGCCCGACGTCTACTGTACCAAGACCAATTTTGCTTGATCCCTACCAACCGGTTGCCACATCCTCGTCTCACCTACTTAGTCAAGGTCACATTCACAAGTTCAGAAGAGATCTCAGTGGGATTAGAATTGAGTTGCCTCCTATGGAAAGCATGAGTGAGGCATTTGATCAAATGCAAATGGTCAAGGATGTTCTAGCCAACAGTGATAATGTTTGTTCTGGACAAGGTTGATCATCCCCAGCTTGATCTCAAAGTTGTGGTTCTGCACTGGTGGTGGAACAATTCCTTGTCTCTGTTGGTGGCGGTTTGGAGCATCTCCTAGACCGCCACCAACAGAGACAAGGGATTGTTCCACCACCAGTGCAGAACCACAACTTTGAGATCAAGCTGGGAATGATCAACCTTGTCCAGAACAAGATGTTCCATGGATTGCCAAGTGAAGACCCCATTGACCACCTTGATGAGTTTGATAGGCTTTGTGATTTGACAAAGATCAATGGTGTCTCTGAAGATGCCATCAAGCTGAGACTCTTTCCTATGTCTCTAGCTGACAAAGCTCACCAATGGGAGAAGAGCTTGCCCCATGGCACAATCACCACTTGGGATGAATGCAAGAAGGCCTTTCTTGCTAAGTTTTTCTCCACCGGTCGCACAGCCAAGCTTAGAGGAGAGATATCCAGCTTCATCCAGCGAAACAATGAGACATTCGCAGAGGCTTGGGAGAGGTTCAAAGGCTACACAAGTCAGTGCCCACACCATGGATTCAACAATGAATCACTACTCTCCACTCTTTATAGAGGATGCTTGCCTAGGTATAGGGAGATGCTAGACACAGCTAGCAATGGGAACTTCCTCAACCAGGATGTAGATGATGGCTGGCAACTTGTGGAGAACATAGCTAACTCAAATGGAAGCTATGGAGAAGAGTATGATCGCACCAACCGGAGCTCGACCCACCACTCGATCGAGTCAGACGAAAAGTTGAGAAAAGATGTTAAGGCATTGAATGAGAAGTTGGATAAGCTGATCCTAGCTCAGTCCACAATGAAGAAAGTCAACTTTGTGTCTGCTGAGGAGATGGAACCAGTCCAAGAAGGGGAGGATACACAATTTGCTGAGGTGTGCTACATGAGCAATGGGCAAGGAGGTTACAACAAAGGATACTATAATTACAAGTCCAACCCTGCCATGTCATACCGCAACACTGATGTTGCTAACCCTCAGGACCAAGTCTATCCTCAACAACAAGCAGCTCGATCGAGTCAAGGTGCCACAACATGGGTATGGTCAAAAGAACAATTACCAAGGACCACAAGGCACTTTCCCTGGACAACAAATGAATATCCCACCAGGCTTCCCCCACCAACCGCCCCAGCCTGCACCTTCACAAGAGAATGAGCTCAAGGCAATGCTAAAGCAACTACTTCAAGGGCAAGCTGATGGGGTAGTGGACACAAGCAAGAAGCTAGCTGAAATAAACTCCAAGATCGAGAACCTCAACACAAGGGTTTACTCTCTGGAGAATCATGCTTCTTCTGTTGCTGCTGCTACAAAGCAAGGACAACTACCTGGTAAAGCTATTCAGAACCCCAAGGAACAGTGCAAGGTCATCTTCACTCAAGAAGGACTTGTTGAAGAAGAGGATCAAGAAAGGGTCATTGAAGATTTTTGTTTACTGCTGAATGATGAAGAGATTGTTGCTGCTGAGGCTCCTGGAGTCCAGATTGATCAACCAGAAGTGCAGGCACCTACTGTGGCCATTCACACTTCACCAGTTGAGCTCGCACACAAGCTCGATCGGCAGCTCGATCGAGTCCAACTCTAGCTCGATCGAGTCCGACCTCTTCTGTCCCAGCCTGTTTTGCTTGATCCTTACCAACCGGTTGCCGCTTCCTCGTCTCGCCTACTTAGTCAAGGTCACAAGGAAGTGATTCACAAGTTCAGAAGAGATCTCAGTGGGATTGGAATTGAGTTGCCTCTATGGATAGCATGAGTGAGGCATTTGATCAAATGCAAATGGTCAAGGATGTTCTAGCCAACAGTGATAAAGTTTCAGAGGTCCTACAAGAGTCTACTCATCAGTTCAACCTGCTTACTTCACCCACCTTCCTACCAAAGGTCAAGGATCAAGGGAAATTCACTCTCCCTTGCACACTTGGGCATCTTGAGATTGACAATGCCTTAGTGGATTCTGGAGCAAGCATCAATCTGATCTCTCTCTCCATGGCAGAGAAGCTAGGCATTGCTGGAGCCTTGCAGCGCCCTACTACTTCAATCATGTTTGGAGATGCAACTTCTAAGTCTCCTCTTGGAGTGTTCAAGAACTATCACTTGAAAATTGGAGAATGCATCATCCAAACTGATCTCACTGTGATGGAAATGGAAGAAGAGAAGGATTACCTCTGTTATTGGGAACCCCTTTCCTTAGTACAGTTGGCGCTTCAATAGACTTTCACAAGCAAGAAGTGATCCTTCACAAGGTGAATAGTTTGGTGTCATATCGCTTGCAGCCTAGAGGTTCAGACTTTTGTGCCACAATTGACAGTACCAACTCAGTTCTAAGAGTCATGGAGCTACAAAGGTTGTGAAGGAAAGGGTTGACAAAGAACCAAGAGTTGGGAAGGATAAGGATGAGAGAGGACCAAGGATTGAGAAGCCACGTCTTGAGAGGGCTAGAGTTGAGAAACCACGTTCTGATAGGCCACGAGCTGATAGACTTGTTCAAGCCCCTTGTGTGCTTGATGAAGAGAGCCTTCAAGCTTTGTTTGATGAGCCACTAGGAAGGGCTCTAAAAGAAGGGGAGGATGTAGCCTCTAAGGCAAGACCAGGGATAAAAGAAAGGATCCACCAGCTCAGGCCCCTTCAGTCAAGCCATCTCAGCTCACAATGACCTTGTTCCCCACCAAGTTTGAAAATGGGAAGATTGAGTACAAGATAAGGTACAAGGGGAGATCAAGGCCATTCTCTAGAGCCAAAGCCTTGGTGACTTCAGAACAGTCCAGGGACCCAACCAAGCTAAAGGAGCTTCTGTCTCAAGTCCTCACTATCACCCTTGATGGTGGGACTAGCTCAACCAATGCCTAAAAGGTAAAGGTCAAGCTATGGGACCTTAAACAAGCTCACTTGGGAGGAAGTCCCATGTTTATCCTTGTACATACTCTATTTATGCAATTTCTATCTATCTTTATGTTTTTAACCTTTCAATAAGTTAAGTTTAGGTGTCAAAGGAGCCAGCTCGACCGACAGCTCGATCGAGCTAGAAACCAGGGCAACTCGATCGAGCTCACAACTCGACCAGGTAAGTTTTTGAATTTCAAATTCATAACCGTTTTCTTGGTCAAGGGAGTGGGTCCCACAAGCTGATTTTGGTCCCCCACTACCCTAATTGATCAGAAAATCCCTAGCTTTTGTTCCCCTCTTTATTTCATCTTTTAATCTCAACCACACATCTCAAACACTCCCTCTTCCCCATAACTCGATCGAACCTTCTCCACTCTCCCACACTTAAAATTTCTGAAATCATCTCTCTCTCTCACCACAAGAAAAATCGAATTTCAATCTCTCTCTCTTAAGTTTTTGCGATTTCATTGTTCTTCATCTGTTTTGCTTGGGTTTTGTTTACTGCTCTTCAATTCATCATTCAACAAGGTATGAACCCTAAAACCCTTGATTCCTCCATCTCGATTTCCATTATTGCTTGTTTCTCTTTGATTTTTGATTGCATGTGTCCCTTGTGGACTTGTTCTTGAGTAATTGCTTTCATATCATTCTCTGCTTATACTTGTTATGTGAATTTGCCTCACCTCACCTCTGTTTTTCCATTAGAACTTGTTGCATGTGCTTGAAAATTGAATTTGAGTTTGGTATTGGTTAAGATGCTTAGTGTTCACTAGAATTGCTCATTGTTCCATTTACTAGTTGTTCTTGGTTCAATTTGATTGATTAGCATCCTTTCCAGCTCTTAATACTTGAATTAGGTTTGGTTATACTCTGTTTTCACCTAGCTCGATCGAGTTTGTCACTCGAGTTTTTTGACTCGATCGAGCTGAGTGTCGAGTTGACCAAACCGATCATTACAACTCTAATTCTTTGTAATCTTTGATGCATTTCAGGTACTTTAGTGAAGAAACAGTGTAACAAGAGATGACAAACAGTGAGGGAAGCCGCGCTTCACAGAGGAGAATGGTTGAGGGTGAATCAAGCAATGCAAGAAAGAAGGCTTAAGATGCAAGCCGATTTGGAGAGGATGATCAGAGGATGGAAGAATCTGATGCAGAGGATATGTGTACTCTGAGGAAGAGTCTGAGAGTGAGATTGAGGGAGGAAAGGAGAACCAAGAAGAGGAATGACCCATTAGTAGTGAGAGTGAGCAAGGGGAGTTTGAGATTGGAGTGAACCTTGTTCAAGAGGAGGGAAATGGCTCTCCAAGTGAAGAAGGAGTGATGAGACTGAGAGTGAAGAGGAAGGAGAAGAGGTGAATCATTGGTTGAGAAGTGAGCAAGAGAACCAAGATGAACCATGGAGGAGTTGAGCAGAGAGCAAGAGGAGGATGAGCTCCCCATGTACCAAGAGCACTACAATGCTCTCTTCTCCATGGACTTTGTGGAGACCAAGTACCCACATGATGACACAATGAAGGCCCTTGGAATCTTTGAGATGTGGAGTTGGTCTCAAGAACATGCACTTGGCCAAGTTCTTCTCTTATCACATGGAGTCTACAAGGAGCTCACTTGTGAGTTCTTGGCTTCAATGAGGTACCACATGTATGAGAGGAAGATCGAGCTGAGTTGGACCAAGGATTGGGATGGATCACGTTCTTGGCTAAGGGAGAGAAGAGAATGGTGACCTTTAGGCAGCTTGGAGATCTGTTTGGGTTCACTATGGAGAGGTAACCAATGGAACTTCAAGGAAGAAGGAACTCCAAAGGGTTTGGGCTACAATCGCTGATGGAGTACTCTTCCTCAAGGTCCAAGGCTGCTCAGATCAGGAGCCCAGTCTTGAGATATGTGCACAAGGCACTTGCCAACACCTTCTTTGCAAGGAAGGCACTGGACAATCAATGAGGGAGAAGTGAAGCTCCTTGACATGGGAATCAAGCCCATCATCTCACGCACAAGGATGGGCAAGAAGATCAGGGGAGATAGGGCACACAGGGAATTCATGCCTTCCTTGACCAGCTCCAACCTACAAGATCACAGCCTACAACACTAGCATCAAAGAGGAAGGAAGTAGTGTTGGAGGGTCATCACACCTATCTTTGTGCAGCTGGAGTCCAACTGAAGGAGAGTCTACTGAACCAGGTTGGATGGACATCAAGTTTTGCAAGACCAACCTCCTCATTGAGCACAAGGAGTTGGATGGGAGTTCCAATTCAAGTTCACCATCCATTGGCTGGCCCTCCAAGCTTCTCCTGCCCAACCCAGAGCTCACCACAGTCCTAAGGGGTGAGAACATTGACTTCAGACCCCCTGTGTACACTTTAGTTGGGCATGAAGGATTTGCGAGAAGAGGAGCTCGATCGAGCTGATCGAGCTGAGGATCGAGCTGAGCTCGAGCTGAGGATCAGGTCCAGGAGAGTGCGGATTTGGGTGAGCCTGAGTGCTATTACTTTGAGGAGTATGAGGCTCCAAGGATGAACCCCTCTGTTGTGGCTGCCACAAGAGGATTGGACTTCTCCAAAAGTTCAACAAATGGCAAGGGAAAGCCATTGAGAAGATGCAAAAGTCCATGGACAAGATGGTGAGCAAGATCAAAGTTTGGAGAAGAAAGTTTCTGGTTCTTCAAGCAAGAAGAAGTCCAAGGCCCCCACTTTCCCTAGGAGTAGATCACTCCTCACCACTCCAAGGAGGCTCCCTGCCCAAGAGCCTCACAGAGCCTCTTCTTTCGAGCCAAGGAGAAGGAGAGACAACACGCAGAGAAGGAGGAAGAGCTCCAAGGCCAGACGCTCCAGCTCGACCACCGGACTCGATCGAGTCCAAACAGAGGAAACTCAACTCGATCGAGCTGACGGTCGAGTTGACCTGGAGGAGCCCCTGTTTGAGAACCCGGGATTCGAGTACGATCCCAGCCTACCAGGACTTCCCAGAGATGGACCCCTACAAGCTTCGAGCAAGCAGCTCCACCAAGGCCAAGGGAGCCACACACACTTTGATGAAGAAGAGGAAGAAGAGGAGCCACAAGCTCGATCGAGTGAGGCGAACCCAGTTGAGTGGAGTGCTCCTGATGGCCGTCTACCATCTCCAGACCACGACCTAGCCTCCCAGTTCTTTGGGGGGCACTGAGGTTCTGTCTAGTTCTCTTGGGATTGTTTTCAGGCTAAGTTTGGGGGTGCCAACTCGAGCTCGATCGAGTTGGGTGTAAAAACCAGAAAAGTGGTAAAAGTTGGGAAAAACCCAAAGGAAAAAGAGTTTAGTTAAGTCCAGGGAGTTGGCAGTGTTAAAAAGGGTCTAGTAAAGGTTTGGGAAGTTAAAAAAGGAAAGTAAAAAGGGTTCTAAGTAGAATGAAAAGAAGGCAAAGCCTCAAGTGTCAAAAAGAAAGAAAAGTTCCCTAAGTGTTTAGAAAATCCCAAACCGCTAGATGTTACCTCAAGAAGCCTCTCCCTAGGAAGTTCTTAAAAGAAAAGTGAGCAAAGCTCCTCAGTTTCAAAGGCGAAATGCCAAAAAGGGTAGTTAGGATTTTGTTCTAAAAAGCTCTAAGTGTTGAACTCGATCGAGTTAGGATTAGGCGGCTCGAGCTGCTGTTCTTGCATCATCTTTGGTTCTAACACTTAGCCTTCTGCCAAAGCAAAGCCACTTTCTTGAGAGATCCCTGTTACTAAACCACCATACAAAAGAGACCCTCTTTGTCTCTTAACCCATAAACCCTTGAAACCAAATGAGTTGATTGATCTTGCATGTTTTTGGTTCACTGTTTTTGCTTAATGAATGTTAAAGGGATTTGCTGATTTGAATGCATTGTTTGAGTGACTGTGAAGTGGGATTGATGTTGATAAGCATGGTTAAATCTTAATGAATATCTCTCACCTTGTTGCATTCTAGAATCTCTAAGTTGGACATTTAGCAAATCGCTTTTGAGGACATGTTTTTAAGTGTTGAATCAGCTTATTTTCAAACCTCATCTCTTTCTTGTTCTATTTGTTTGCTTGAGGGCAAGCAAAGTTCAAGTTTGGGGGTGTTGATGTACTTGCATTTTACATAGTTTTAGCACATCTTTTATGCATCTTTTGCATAGTTTTAGCATCCATTTGCATCATATCTTGTTCCTTTTCTCTTCTTATGCATTCATGTTAGTTTTAGGTTGCATTTGCATACATATGCATGTTTGGTCCTTTGAAATAGGTCTTTTGGAGCATTCTGGAGCATATGGGACATGAGGAGCATGGAGGGACTTGGCACATGGACGCAGCTCAACTGGATACGCAAAGGAAGAAGGGAGAAGCCATCTTGAAGACCAGCTCGACCCCACTCGACCAACCGGTCGAGTTCCTCAACTCGACCGGCCAAGCTTCAACTCGATCGAGCTGAGAAGTCAACAGTCAAACCCGAAAAATGTTGCTTCCCCCTTGACTTCCTTTGACCCTAAACCTAATCCTCTTTGTATTTAAAGGCTCTAGCCACGAAAAAACCACCAAGCTTTAGATTACTTTTGTTTTAGTTTCTTTTAATTTATTGTCTTTTACTTTTTAGAGATCTAATCCCATCTTTGTGTTCTTGAAGCTCTTGCTTCTTGAATCCTTAGATCCTGGATAATCTCTTTGTATTTGCACTTGCTTATTTCAATAAAAGTTGTTTAATTTCATCTCCTCTTTCTTATGATGTCTCTTTTATTGCATTTGCTTGTGTTTACATTCATGTGTAGTGAGTAGTTACCCATTAGGGTTTGAGATGGGATAGATTAGAGGTTTCATATGCTTAATCCTTCTAGCTTATGGTCTTAATCTAGATTCTCTCTCTTTTGGATAGATCTTAAGGCTACATGACCACTACCCCTGGCTTGTAAGTCCTTAGGCGACTCCCCACACGAAAGTGATGGCATTCGCTGGAAAAGATCCACTAAGAGCTCCAATATCTCTTGCTCTAGAAATAGAGGTCTAAGGGGTTGGATGGATTAGTTTGGGCAATGATCCTATAGCCTCCAAGGTTTGATTCTCACTGGCTAACCCCCTGTTTCTGAGATCATTCCTTGGTTGATAGCCTTCACCTTGGGAAAGGGTTGGCTAGGCATTGAGAAGCCCAATATCAAGAGAAGCCTTGATACAAGGAGTTTTAAGAGCTAGATTGATTAAGTGTAGATTCCTTTGATTGCAAAACCCTGTCTTGAACCCTAATTCTCTCTCTCATAGAGTGACAAGTTTCCCATTTTGGATTGATAACCTCTTATACTACAATGACTATGATGGTTAAGAGGAATTGATTGATTGTGATTGCACCATACCATTCATCTTTATTCACCCCTGTTTGCATTCCACCTCATATCTTATCATCCTTCATTCATATCATATCACATCCACATAAAATCCTATCATCAGAAACCACGTTCTGATAGACCAGGAGCTGATCGACTTGTTCAAGCCCCTTGTGTGCTTGATGAAGAAAGCCTTCAAGCTTAGTTTGATGAGCCACTAGGAAGGGCTCTAAAAGGAGGGGAGGATGTAGCCTGAGAGGCAAGACCAGGTGATAAAAGAAAGGATCCACCAGCTCAGGCCCCTTCATTCAAGGCATCTCAGCTCACAATGACTTTGTTCCTCTCCAAGTTTGAAAATGGGAAGATTGAGTACAAGATAAGGTACAAGGGGAGATCAAGGTCATTCTCTAGAGCCAAAGCCTTGGTGACTTCAGAACAATCCAGGGACCCATCCAAGCTAAAGGAGCTTCTGTCTCAAGTCCTCACTATCACCCTTGATGGTGGGACTAGCTCAACCAATGCCTAAGAAGCTAAAGGTCAAGCTATGGGACCTTAAAAAAGCTCACTTGGAAGGAAGCCCCATGTTTATCCTTGTACATATTCTATTTATGCAATTTCTATCTATTTTCGTGTCTTTAACCTTTCAATGAGTTAAGTTTAGGTGACAAAGGACCCAGCTCGACCGACAGCTCGATCGAGCTAGAAACCGGGGCAACTCGATCGAGTATCTCAACTCGACCAAGGTAAGTTTTCAAAATTCAAAATTTTTCTAACCGTTTTCCTGGTCAAAGGAGTGGGTCCCACAAGTTAATTTTGGTCCCCCACTTCCTGAAATTGATCAGGAAAACCCTTGCCTTTTGTTCCCCCCTCTCAATTCACCTTTAAATCTCAACCACACATCTCAAACACTCCCTCTTCCCCATAACTCGATCGAACCCACTTCTCCACTCTCCCACACTCTAAAAATTCTGAAAATCATCCCTCTCTCTCATCACCACAAGAAAAATCAAAATTTCAATCTCTCTCTCTCTTAAGTCTTTTGCGATTTCACTTGTTCTTCTTCCTAAATAGTTTGGGTTTTGTTTACTGCTCTTCAATTCATCATTCAAGCAAGGTATGAACCCTAAACCCTTGATTACCTTCATCTCGATTTCCATTTATTGCTTGTAATTGCTTCCATATCTTTCTCCTGCTTATAGTTTTGAGATTTTGCCTCACCTCACCTCTGTTTCGCCACTAGAACTTGTTGCATGTGTTTAAAACATTGAATTTGAGTTTGGTATTGGTTAAGATGCTTAGTTTTCACTAGAATTGCTCATTGTTCCATTTACTAGTTGTTCTTGGTTCAATTTGATTGATTAGCATCCTTTCCAGGTCTTAATACTTGAATTAGGTTCGGTTATACTCTGTTTTCACCTAGCTCGATCGAGTTTGTCACTCGAGTTTTTTGACTCGATCGAGCTGAGTGTCGAGTTGACCAAACCGATCATTACAACTCTAATTCTTTGTAATCTTTGATGCATTTCAGGTACTTTAGTGAAGAAACAGTGTAACAGAGATGACAAACAGTGAGGGAAGTCGCGCTTCACAGAGGAGAATGGTTGAGGGTGAATCAAGCAATGCAAGAGAGAAGGCTTAAAATGCAAGCCGATTTGGAGAGGATGACTCAAAGGATGGAAGAGTCTGATGCAGAGGAGTATGTGTACTCTGAGGAAGAGTCTGAGAGCGAGAGATTGAGGGAGGAGAGGAGGACCAAGAAGAGGAATGACCCCATTAGTAGTGAGAGTGAGCAAGGGGAGTTTGAGATTGGAGTGAACCTTGTTCAAGAGGAGGGTAATGGCTCTCCAAGTGAAGAAGGAAGTGATGAGACTGAGAGTGAAGAGGAAGGAGAAGAGGTGAATCAGTTGGTTGAAGAGAGTGAGCAAGAGAGTAACCAATGTGAACCTATGGAGGAGGTTGAGCCACAAGAGGAGGAAGAAGAACTCCCTATGTACCAAGAGCACTACAATGCCCTTTTCTCCATGGACTTTATGGAGACCAAGTACCCACATGTTGACACAATGAAGGCCCTTGGAATCTTTGAAGATGTGGAGCTAGTTCTCAAGAACATGCACTTGGCCAAATTCTTCTCTTATCACATGGAATCCAACAAGGAGCTCACTTGCCAGTTCTTAGCTTCAATGAGGTACCACATGTACGATGAGGAAGATAGATTGGGATGGATCACGTTCTTGGCTAAGGGAGAGAAGAGAATGGTGACCTTTAGGCAGTTGGAGATCTTATTTGGGTTCAACTATGGAGAAGGTATTGAGTGGAACTTCAAGGAAAGTGAACTCCAGAAGGGTTTGGGCTACAATCGCTGATGGAGTGTACTCTTCCTCAAGGTCCAAGGCTGCTCAAATCAGGAGCCCAGTGTTGAGGTATGTGCACAAGGCACTTGCCAACACCTTCTTTGCAAGGAAGGCAACCGGAACCATTAACGAGGGGGAACTCAAGCTTCTTGACATGGGAATCAAGCCCATCCTCTCACGCACAAGCGATGGCAAGAGGATCAGGGGAGAAGAGCCAACACAGGAAACTTGATGCCTTTCCTTGATCACCTCACCACCTACAAGACCACAGCCTACAACACTCGATATCAACAAGGGAGGCGCCTAAGTGTTGGAGGGCTCATCACTCCTATCTTGTGTGCTGCTGGAGTGAACCCAACTGATAAGAAAGCCACTGAACCAGGTTGGATGGACATCAAGTTTTGCAAGACCAACCTCCTCATTGAGCACAAGGAGTTGGATGGGAGGTTCCAATTCAAGTTCACACATCCATTGGTTGGACCTTCCAAGTTTCTCCTGCCCAACCCTGAGCTTACCACAGTAGTCAGGGGTGATAACATTGACTTCAGACCCCCTGTATACACATTGGTTGGGCAAGAGAACGTTTTGCGAGAAGAGGAGCCTGAACTCGATCGAGCTGAGGGTCGAGCTGAGTCTCAAGCTGAGGATCAAGTCCAGGAGAGTGCGGATTTGGGTGAGCCTGAGTGCTATTATTTTGAGGAGTATGAGGCTCCACCCCTCTGTTGTGGCTGCCCACAAGAGGATTGGACTTCTCCAAAAGTTCAACAAATGGCAAGGGAAGGCCATTGAAAAGATGCAAAAGTCCATGGACAAGATGGTGAGCAAGATCAAAAGTTTGGAGAAGAAGGTTTCTGGTTCATCAAGCAAGAAGAAGAAGGCTCCCATGAGTTCCACATTCCTTAGGAGTAGATCCCTTCTCACCACTCCAAGGAGGCTCCCTGCCCAAGAGCCTCACAGAGCCTCTTCTCGCGAACCCAGTCGAGTGGAGTGTCCCTGACCGTCTGCCCTCTCCAGACCACGACCTTGCCTCCCAGTTCTTTGGGGGGCACTGAGGTATCAAACACCAACCATTGTACATACCATTTCATGTTTTCTTTGCTTTATTTTTCTTGGTTTTTGCCTCTTGAATCTTTCACTAAATTTCTCTCACACAAGGGACTGTGTGATTTAAGTTTGGGGGAGGGTTCAAGAGATGATTTAACCTTGTTTTCTTTGTTCTTAGTTTTTCATCCCTTATTGCATAGAAAAAACCAAAAAAATCATAAAATTTTCAAAAAATCCAAAAATATTTTCATCTTTTTGCATTCATATTTCTTAGTATTGTTTAGGATTGCATCTTTCATTGCATTGTTGATTTGACTTTGAAAACTTGTTCATCATTTGCGATTTCTTGAGTGCCCTGTTTTTAGATTCTCTTGTGCATTAGGGTGAGATTGATTGAGCAGCAAGAACCATGTTTATCTTGATCATATCGCTGCATGCACATCTCATTCAACCATTGCTGTGATTTGATGCATTTCCCTATCTATTTGAACCATAACTTGATCTTTAATTACCAATGCTTGCATTTGATTTCAACTCATGGCTACCACATACATATCTGGACATTCTTTATACTTTCATATCCCTCTTGCTTGTCCAGATAGCTGATCTCTATCTTTGAGACAGTTACCACACCTAAACCTAAGCCTTTTCATTTCAAACCCCTTATTATCTCTTGTGCGATTGTGAGAACCTTTCTTGGCTTTGCTTAGCATAAGGTGTTGTGTTTAAACCGGCAGGGGCAGTAGTTCTAGTTGTCTAGTTCTCTTGGGATTGTTTTCAGGCTAAGTTTGGGGGTGCCAACTCGAGCTCGATCGAGTTGGGTGTCAAAAACCAGAAAAGTGGTAAAAATTGGGAAAATCCAAAGTAAAAGAAGGGAGTTGGCAGTGTTAAAAAGGGTCTAGTAAAGGTTTGGGAAGTTAAAAAAGAAAGTAAAAAGGGTTCTAAGTAGAAAGAAAAGAAGGCAAAGCCTCAAGTGTCAAAAAGAAAGAAAAGTTCCCTAAGTGTTTAGAAAATCCCAAACCGCTAGATGTTACCTCAAGAAGCCTCTCCCTAGGAAGTTCTTAAAAGAAAAGTGAGCAAAGCTCCTCAGTTTCAAAGGCGAAATGCCAAAAAGGGTAGTTAGGATTTTGTTCTAAAAAGCTCTAAGTGTTGAACTCGATCGAGTTAGGATTAGGCGGCTCGAGCTGCTGTTCTTGCATCATCTTTGGTTCTAACACTTAGCCTTCTGCCAAAGCAAAGCCACTTTCTTGAGAGATCCCTGTTACTAAACCACCATACAAAAGAGACCCTCTTTGTCTCTTAACCCATAAACCCTTGAAACCAAATGAGTTGATTGATCTTGCATGTTTTTGGTTCACTGTTTTTGCTTAATGAATGTTAAAGGGATTTGCTGATTTGAATGCATTGTTTGAGTGACTGTGAAGTGGGATTGATGTTGATAAGCATGGTTAAATCTTAATGAATATCTCTCACCTTGTTGCATTCTAGAATCTCTAAGTTGGACATTTAGCAAATCGCTTTTGAGGACATGTTTTTAAGTGTTGAATCAACTTGTTTTCAAACCTCATCTCTTTCTTGTTCTATTTGTTTGCTTGAGGGCAAGCAAAGGTCAAGTTTGGGGGTGTTGATGTACTTGCATTTTGCATAGTTTTAGTACATCTTTTATGCATCTTTTGCATAGTTTTAGCATCCATTAGCATCATATCTTGTTCCTTTTCTCTTCTTATGCATTCATAGTAGTTTTAGGTTGCATTTGCATACATATGCATGTTTGGTCCTTTGAAATAGGTCTTTTGGAGCATTCTGGAGCATATGGGACGAGGAGCATGGAGGACTTGGCACATGGACGCAGCTCAACTGGATACGCAAAGGAAGAAGGAGGAAGCCATCTTGAAGACCAGCTCGACCCGAGTTCCTCAACTCGACCGGCCAAGCTTCAACTCGATCGAGCTGAGAAGTCAAAGTCAAACCCGAAAAATGTTGCTTCCCCCTTGACTTTCCTTTGACCCTAAACCTAATCCTCTTTGTATTTAAAGGCTAAAAGCCACGAAAAAACCACCAAGCTTTAGATTACTTTTGTTTTAGTTTCTTTTAATTTATTGTCTTTTACTTTTTAGAGCTCTAATCCCATCTTTGTGTTCTTGAAGCTCTTGCTTCTTGAATCCTAGATCCTGGATAATCTCTTTTGTATTTGCACTTGCTTATTTCAATAAAAGTTGTTTATTTCATCTCCTCTTTCTTATGATGTCTCTTTTATTGCATTTGCTTGTGTTTACATTCATGTGTAGTGAGTAGTTACCCATTAGGGTTTGAGATGGGATAGATTAGGGGTTTCATATGCTTAATCCTTCTTGCTTATGGTCTTAATCTAGATTCTCTCTCTTTTGGATAAATCTTAAGGCTACATGACCACTACCCCTGGCTTGTATGTCATTAGGCGATTCTCCACATGGAAGTGATGGAAATCGCTGGAAAAATCCACTAAGAGCTCCAATAACTCTTGCTCTCGAAATGGATTTCAAGGGGTTGGATGGATTAGTTTGGGCAATGATCCTATGGCCTCCAAGGTTGATTCTCACTGGCTAACCCCCTGTTTCTGAGATCATTCCTTGGTTGATAGCCTCCACCTTGGGAAAGGGTTGGCTAGGCATTGAGAAGCCCAATATCAAGAGAAGCCTTGATACAAGGAGTTTTAAGAGCAGATCGATTAAGTGTAGCTTCCCCTAGTTGCAAAACCCTGTCTTGAACCCTAATTCTCGCATTAGCTTGTTAAAGTCGCTGCCTTTATTGCTTTTTACTTCAACTCGACCCTAAACTCGATCGAGCTCGGTACTCTGTTCCAACTCGACTCGAGTCCTTGGTCGAGCTGTTGCTCTACTGCTTTTATTTCTATTTCTGCATTGCATTTCATTTGTTAGGTTGTTAGTGTTACCCCATATCTTTACTGCTTGCTTGACTTCCTGGTTGTTTCATATTCTCATAGAGTAACAACTTCTCCCATTTTGGATTGATAACTGCTTGCTTGACTTCCTGGTTGTTTCATATTCTCATAGAGTGACAAGTTTCCCATTTTGGATTGATAACCCTTTATGCTATAACAACTATCATGGTTAAAGGGAATTGTTGACTGTGTTTGTGTTTGCATCTTACCACCTCATCATATACCACTGTTGCATTCCACCACATCTCATTTCATATCATTTCACATCCACACACAAATCCTATCATCAATGATGCATTTTGGAGCAAAACCATAGGATTTGCAGTCTCACAACACGGACCTTCTGAAAACAAGATTTTTAGTAGATTCAAACCCTCAAATCTCTGCTCATATCATCACAGTGTAGTTAAGGTATCAATCCAAACCTCGGAGAAGATTGGGTTTTAAAGAAATGCAAGAAAGCTTCAAGCCAAGAACAAAGATTTGGTTTTTTTTTATGAAATCCGAACGTTAAACAGTAAAATACAAACTTAGAACAGTGAACTAACGGTCCAAATCCGAAATCAAAGACAAAGGTTTCGACTTTGAGCTAAAAGACTTGAACTTTATGAAAGGCAATGAGGAAAGGCGATGGCTTTAGGCGATTGCGGATGGAAATCGAGCTAAAGGAAGAGACTTTAAGACTTAGAAGATAAATCCGAGTTTCTAGGTTAGGGAAAACGAAAGCGAGGGCTTATCACTATCGTGAGTAAGCTCAAATGCGGGGTTCAAGCTCAAGAGCTGACTGTCGTCAGTGAGCTTGAACACGAGCAAGCCTTAAACGCAGATCCCAACACCGAAGAACCCTCTAAACAAACCGCTATCGCGGGATAGAGAAGTAGATCCCTTATCTTAGATTTTCTAGCTCTCAAACACACTTTTGCTGCGTTGAGAGCTTGAGATCCGAGCCAGAATGATCAGAAATGGCAAGGCATTAAGGATACTAAGAAGAGGAGAAACTCTAAAGGTCTTAGCTTTAAGCTCAGACTTTCCTCTAGCTCTCAAAACCGCAACACCTAAAACGATCTAAAGACTACTCACGCATCCTTGGTGAACAAACCGATTCCAATAGAGGAAAGGTTGCTAAACAAGTAAGTGAAATGCAATAAATAGCAAAATGAACAAAATTACAAGATGCCTAACAATTTAGGACTTTTAAGTTTATATAGTGGAGACTCTCTAAAACCCTTCTACTTTCCTTCCCCAAGATTCAAGCGCCAAAACGCCGCATAGGCATGGTCAACTCTCTTCTTGGTCAAGGAAAGCTTGTAAGGTGACAAACGGGTTCCTGATCCTGGTTCACATCCTGATTGCTCTTGGTCTTGACGTCTCCAACACTCCTTCTTCCCAAATGACTCCAAAACTCCATTAAGTACCTGATTCAGACTCAAAATGCAATGTATATGCAATGCAAGTCCTAATGAAGATGCAAATGTATAGACAGAGATATAGGGATATAGATGTATGATAACGAGACTTAAAGGTGGAAATATGCATGTAAAACTATGCTAAGATATGTTAATATATGTGTAACATCGTAAATCAAAAAGGTGCAGTTTTGGTCGAGTGTCGACCGACACCACAGTTTTGTGTCGGTCGACACCAGCTCTGGTTTGCAATTTCGGTTCAATTTGAGTGATTTTGGGCCGGTTTGGTTCCGGTTTGGGTTGGGAACCCTATTCCTTGTGTTAAAAATGACGCAGCCGTCGAGGGAAGAACCCTTTTTGTCGTTTAGTGAGCGAATCTTAGAGAGGAGAAGAGTTAGAGGCGATTTGAGGTGTTTATCGACCAATTGAGGCTTGTTCGTCGTGGTTGTGGAGCCGTGGTCAGTTTCGTGGCTGCTGCGTCGTCGTCGCTTGTTCTTCGTCAGATTCACCTTCTTCAATCCTTTTTTCCCCTCTTTTCAACCTAGAATCAAGGTGAGTGCATGACTGTGGGTCCGTGATTGCTAGATTCAGGATTGTATGTGTTTATGTGGTGATTTCGTGATGATATGATGTTTGATTCAGTGTTTATGGTTGTTTGAGTGATTTCCTGCGAATTTCGAGTTTCAGGTACTGTTCATAGTCCGATCTGGTTTTTCCAGAATGTCGGTAAGCGGTGTCGGTCGACACAGACCGGTTAATCTGGTTAAAATCAATTTAATTGGTTTAATTGAATTTGGCTGGTTTAAATCAATTGGAGATGGTTTAATCAATTTTGGTTGGTTTAATTCGTATTTAATTAATTAATGAGTATTTTAATTAATTAAATGGTTTAAAATAATTATTTTAATTATTTTAAAATATGGAAAATTATTATTTAATTATGAGAATTATTTAATAATTGAGAAATTGAGTTTTAATTATTAAAAATCATTTAATAATTGGAAAATGGAATTTAATAATTATTGGAGTTTATAAATATTATTAAATATCTAGTAATTGCGTAAATGGCTCGTAGGCAGAGTGATTGCCTCACTAAGTATTTATTAAATACTTACGCAACTCCATTCCAATGTGTTGCAGGTAAAAGATTTGTGTGATCGCGGAATCAAGGCTGAAGAGGGGGATGATAGGATGTTTACTGTTTTATTGTTTTGCATTATTTTTGCTAGACTTGTTTAGGTTTATTATTTGCTTTGATTATTTATTTGAATTTATTTGTTGATGATTTTTATTTATTTAATTTATTTAAAGACTTCGCTAGAATTGATTTAATTATTTAATTAAAAAAAAAAAAATGTTGGTTGTTTCATTTTGGTATCAGAGCCTAGACGGTTTTAGGACTGTTAGAATTGCTAGGCTTTAGTATCATCCCCTTCAGCTACAAGAGATTCCGCGGTGAGTTATGTTTGTTTTGAGTTTTGGTTGCGTGTTCTAGTGTGCTCATTTGGTTCCATGAGTGAGATGGACGGAGTAGCTAGAGGTTGTAGTGCGAGAGGGCGCGGTGCTTGAGGCCGTGGTGGCAGAGCTAGAGGCCGTGGAGGTCGGGGCCGAGATTGTGGACTTCGGCGGATTCGGGAGAGAGTGTGGTGCCGAGTGTGGCGACTGCGTCGGTGACCCAGTCGGTATCCGTGGCGAGTGAGGCCAGTGTGGATGCGAGGGTTGGTTTGGGAGCGGAGGCTGCTCCGGGTTGGGGTGGTGCTCTGGCTCAGGGTCTTGATGACTTAGTGGTGGGTTTGCTGACGCAGTTATTGGCTCGTTTTCCGCCAGTGGTTCCACAAGGGGCTCCGGGAGTACCTCCAGTGGCAGAGGTGCAGCAGAGGGCTGCGGGATTTGTTCAGCTGCAGGCTGTGGGTTTGATGGTGCCGTCCTACTTGGATATGTTGGGGCACATGCAGAGGATTGGTATGCCGTACTTTGAGGACGGAGTTAGCCTAGAGGCGGCAGATGAGTGGCGTCAGAGATTGGAGCGGAATTTCCAGTCTATCAGATTTCTGGTTTAGTACCAGGTTGAGTTGGCAGTCCACTATCTGAGTGGAGATGCACATTTGTGGTGGCGGGCCATCGAGGGCATAATGGTTGTTGTTGCTGTGTGTTGTTCATTTATCTGTGATAAAATTGTTGAGGTTCTCAACGCATGTGTGTAATGACCTTGTTAGTGGGCGGTTTTGAGTCCCACGTTTTATTCGACTCTGGAGCATCGAATTGCTTCATTACACCGGAGCGTGCCGACCTTGTTAGTGGGCGGTTTTGAGTCCCACGTTTTATTCGACTCTGGAGCATCGAATTGCTTCATTACACCGGAGCGTGCCGAGAAGAGTGGCATCCGGAGTAGCGCGAGCGAGAGCGCGGGCATGGTCAAGGTGGCGGGAGGTGGATTCTTGTCTACTTTGGGCCGTGCTAGAGGAGTCGAGATCGAGATTGCGGGGCAGTCAATGCCAGCAGACTTAGTCATCAGTCCGGTGGAGCTGTATGACGTTATTCTCGGGATGGACTGGTTGTCACACTATCGAGTTCATCTGGATTGCTGATGATAGGATTTGTGTGTGGATGTGAAAAGATATGAAATGAGATGTGTGGAATGCAATCAGTGGTATATGATGAGGTGGTAAGATGCAAACACAAACACAGTCAACAATTCCCTTTAACCATGATAGTTGATGTAGTACAAGGGTTATCAATCCAAAATGGGAAACTTGTCACTCTTTGAGAATATGAAACAACCAGAAAGTCAAGCAAGCAGTTATAATTTGAAGTAACACTAACAACCTAAATAAATGAAAAGCAGTGCAATAAAAGTAAACAAAGCAGTGAAGTGTCAGCTCGACCAAGAGCTCGAGTCGAGTCAGAGCAAAGTACCAGCTCGATCGAGTTTAGGGACGAGTTGAGACAAACAAAGCTAAAGGTGACGACTTTAACAAGATAAAGAGAGAATTAGGGTTCAAGACAGGGTTTTGCAATCAAAGGAATCTACACTTAATCAATCTAGCTCTTAAAACTCCTTGTATCAAGGCTTCTCTTGATATTGGGCTTCTCAATGCCTAGCCAACCCTTTCCCAAGGTGGAGGCTATCAACCAAGGAATGATCTCAGAAACAGGGGGTTAGCCAGTGAGAATCAAACCTTGGAGGCTATAGGATCATTGCCCAAACTAATCCATCCAACCCCTTAGACCTCTATTGTCTAGAGCAAGAGATATTGGAGCTCTTAGTGGATCTTTTCCAGCGAATGCCATCACTTTCGTGTGGGGAGTCGCCTAAGGACTTACAAGCCAGGGGTAGTGGTCATGTAGCCTTAAGATCTATCCAAAAGAGAGAGAATCTAGATTAAGACCATAAGCTAGAAGGATTAAGCATATGAAACCTCTAATCTATCCCATCTCAAACCCCAATGGGTAACTACTCACTACACATGAATGTAAACACAAGCAAATGCAATAAAAGAGACATCATAAGAAAGAGGAGATGAAATTAAACAACTTTTATTGAAATAAGCAAGTGCAAATACAAAGAGATTATCCAGGATCTAAGATTCAAGAAGCAAGAGCTTCAAGAACACAAAGATGGGATTAGATCTCTAAAAAGTAAAAGACAATAAATTAAAAGAAACTAAAACAAAATAATCTAAAGCTTGGTGGTTTTTTCGTGGCTTAGAGCCTTTAAATACAAAGAGGATTAGGTTTAGGGTCAAAGGAAAGTCAAGGGGGAAGCAACATTTTTCGGGTTTGACTTTGACTCCCAGCTCGATCGAGTTGAAGCTTGGCCGGTCGAGTTGAGGAACTCGACCGGTTGGTCGAGTGGACGGTCGAGCTGGTCTTCAAGATGGCTTCTCCCTTCTTCCTTTGCGTATCCAGTTGAGCTGCTTCCATGTGCCAAGTCCCTCCATGCTCCTCATGTCCCATATGCTCCAGAATGCTCCAAAAGACCTATTTCAAAGGACCAAACATGCATATGTATGCAAATGCAACCTAAAACTAACATGAATGCATAAGAAGAGAAAAGGAACAAGATATGATGCAAATGGAAGCTAAAACTATGCAAAAGATGCAGAAAAGGGACAAGATATGATACAAATGGAAGCTAAAACTATGCAAAAGATGCTAAAAGATGTGCTAAAACTATGTAAAATGCAAGTACATCAACACCCCCAAACTTGAACTTTGCTTGCCCTCAAGCAAACAAATAGTAGATGAAGTCTCATGAATCCTATTGAGAGAGAGGCGAAGAGATATGAGTCAAGCCGCATCTCAATCTTAGGGAGAAATCTCTACTTCTAGACTATATAAATTAAAACATGCAAGCTATATACAAATGCAAAAGAAGAAAAGAAAGAAGAGCAAGGAGACCACCTAAGTGGCTCCGAAACTTTATTGAATAATAGAATGTGGTCTCTGTGTCTCGGTATATCTATTACAAGGGGCTAAAAGCAAGTATATATAGGTAGAGAGCGGGTCTAGGTCGGCAAAGTTGAGGCGCGCCAAGAAGAGGAAAGTTTCCATTTCTCTTCAGTCGCTTGAGCTTGCTCTCCAAGTTCTTGAACGGGCCGAGTTCGGGCCAATGGAACCTCCTTGATTGAGTTAGATCAATGTTAAGACGAGCTAAGGCCTTTGGCGCGGTGGCTCGGGCCTTTAGATACGTCAAAGTCTCCATGGGCTCTACTTAGGCGCTTCGGACATGTCTTGGTAGAAAATAAGTTCCGGCCAACGAGTGATCCAAATGACCTCTTTCCACTTCGCCGCGGGTCATGACTCAAATATCTATCTTTCCATATAAGAATCATGACTTTTGGACGTCGGGAAGGCATGAATATGCGGTCGTACTTCGGATGCTCCGGTTTGGTCTTTAGCGAGAAATATAGATTTGGTGCTCTAGACTTGGGAACTTGGTGATTTGACTCCTTTTGCTCCATTTTGACTCTTCTTTGCTATTTTGACCTGAATGATGCTCAAAACCAGAATATACAAGAAAACTACCTCTTGGGCTTAAAAACCATGTTATTTGTATTGAAAACATAGTGAAAACCTTGGTAAAAACATGAAAGATATGGATATATCAACTCCCCCAGACTTAGCCTTTTGCTTGTCCCAAGCAAACTCTCAAATCATTAGGAAATCCGGGTTGGCTTGATTTTAGTAATCCACATGAAAGTAGCAAAGGCAAATATTTGAATTAAGAACAAGAGTACATACCATGAGTTTTGCGATTTTTCCACCTCTCTTAGACAATCCAATTCACCCTCCTTGACTCCTTTCATTTCTAAAGGTGTGGTCTCAACTAGGGAGTATCGATCAGCCGGCTTTTAGACTCTTACTCATCCCCTTGTTTTGGCACTTGTCTTTTTACTCCATGTTTCTCCTCTCTCTCTTCTCACTTCTTCAAGTTGATTCATCCCTTTTTTAGGGTAGCGAAGTATTTTTTTTTATTCAACTCCTTCTCTTTATTATAGAGGTTTTGCTTTGGACCTTCCATAGACGCGAGTATTGATGGTGTTTGCCACCGAATCCCCGGTTACTTGGACCTTACTTTGGACCTGCTTTTTCTTTAAATTGAAGGGGAGAGAGAGGGAAGCACGAACTCACTAAGACTTTTTCATTTGATGGAGAGGATGAGGAATCATGCCATTTGTATGCCAAGCCCCTAGCTGAGAAGATTAAGTTCATTAAGGGCGGAGTCAAGAGTGGATCCTTCTCAAGTCCTTGGAGGTGTGGGCGTTTTTGGTAGATCGATCAACTCATAGTGTCCCTGTGGTAAGATATATTGCCAAACTGCTTCAATGGTCACTTAAACGTTAGCACAACAATGGTTAGATCCAAGATAAGGTCATAATTCTTTGACAAAATTTTGACTCAATAAAACGACTCAGAAAAGCCAAAAAGAACAAACGTGTTAGTAATCCCCCCAGACTTAACTTGCACCGTCCCGGTGTAAGAAAAATCCAATTAAGAGAGGTGAAAAAAAATGAAATGAAAAGTTAGAGTTTGTAGAAAATTGTACCCAAATGTGTGGCCATTGATGAAGATCGGTTGTGCTGTTGTGGTTGCTCCAGGATGAACTGACTGGTGCAAACATCTTTGTAGGCTGATTGAGGTTGGATGATGTGACAATTCCTCTTGGTTTGGTGTTTTCGCCTTTTGGCCGAGACTGGTCCGTTTTGGTCGACCGGATGGTGATGGTACGGACTACAGCTCGAATTGGTGAAGATTTCCTCGACCTATCTTGAAATTTCGTCGACCAATATTGTATAATATGGCGACTGGTGAAGTATGGGGTCGTTTGAACGAGTGGTTTGAGATTCCTTTGAAAACTTTTCAAAGCGGCTCCGGGAACGTCTTCCTTCGGCCTTCTCCAATTGCGCTCGTTCCAATCTGGATTTTCTTCTTGGATGCCTTGTGGATGCTTGATGAGTTGATTTGAGCCGGTGGCCGCGGTAAATGCCGTGATTTGTTGTCGGCCATTTACTTGCTCGCGATCGGCCAAATGTCACTCTGTCGGCCATCTCTTGAACTAGTAAGGAATTCATCGTACTGAAATGAAATTTCATCGACCAACCTAAAGTTTTATGGCTCCTAGTGCAGTTTGGGGCTGTTCGAACGTGTGGAGTCGGAGATGGTTCGTTGTGCACACCAAAGGCTTCGGGATGTGATTCCTCCGGCCGTCTTGTATTCTGTTCGACCGTCTCCTTCTTTTCTTCCATATTGGTGTTTTCTGGACTCCATTGGACCAGTTTCCACCGGTTTTCTCGACTTCCTTTGATTTTGAGTTAGTCGGCCATGTGATGCATCGCCGTCGGCCGGATTGAGTCTCCTTGTCCATCTCAAAATAGATGCACTTTCTCCTGTCTTATCTTTTGGATTTGCCGACAAAAATGTGATGTTGAGGTCACCTGTGAAGTTTGGTGGACTTTGGTCGTGCAGTTTGTGAGATGGTCGAGTATGGTCTCTTGGTTCGTCGATAGTGGCCGAGAGAGTGGTTGTAAGTGTGATATCTCCTCTTTTACTCGGGCTAATTGAGTTCTGCTTTGACAGAATTGTTTTTCTATCCCTCCTGGATTGAATTTGGTTGGACTTTGCCTAATCTCGCATGTTCGGTGCATAGCTCCTTCTTTGGCCGGTTGTGGCTTTTGTTGTTTCCCTTGTTGGTTTTGATGTTCTCAACCGGTTTTCCTGTCATGTTTAGATCTGAAAAACACTAGTAACTCTTTGTTAAACTCTGTAAATGATTGAGATGTTCAAGTGAGTTGAACTTCCCAATCAAAGACTTGATCTTGTAAACCATATGTACTTAGGGTCTTGATCAGTGATCCTAGTATTGGCCAATGGCTTAATTATATAGAGATAGTGTAGAACGGAAAATGACATTTGAATGGAGATGTTACTTACCTTTGCCTTGTGCAAGATTTGTTCCAATCGCTTTATGTGGCGCCTTTGGACTCTTTGATGCTCCAAACATGTGGGACTTGGGTGGGACTCAAACTAGACTCAATACTCAACATTTTGACCAAAGATGGTGATATACCTCTAATTTACACTTTTTATACTGTTTTAGCATTGTTTTCTAATGGTTTTTGGCAGGTTTTCTATCTAAAAAGGTAGTTTTACTGTGTTTATAGTGTCTAGAGTCTAAACAGGTGAAATGATGCATTTTGGAGCAAAACCATAGGATTTGCACTTCAAGCCGCTCCATGCACAAGCACCAACTTTAAGAGGGCCCAGAAAAAGATCTACTCAATGGATTTCATCAAGACCAGTTCCCTGCGTGCTCTGATTGAGTTAACTTTCCAACGCAACTGGAATGGCCTCATTTGGATGAGTAGAAAAGGAGTTACAACCAAAAGAGTGAAGACTGTCCAGACGGCTCTATCGAGAATCAGCGCCCAACCGCGCAGTCCGGCTGGCCGAGGAACGAACGTTCCGCTCGGCCAAAGTCTCATCCGTCCGTCTGAAGTCTCGGCCAAAGTCCAAAACCGTTCGGCCGATCACGCAGTCACGACCCGGGAAACTAAGCCCGCGGTCGGCCACGCCACGCCGCGCACGACCAACCGCGCGAGCCGGGAAACAAGCCTCGCGGCCGCGCAACCTCTCGCGTACCACGGCCGATGCATCCGTCCGAGCCGGGAAACTACGTCCCGCGTCCGGCCGAGAATTTCATCGGCCAATCTATCCGTCCGACCACGCCGGCCGACCGAATCCGTCCGGCCACGACCGTTCCGACTCGGACCGATGTCCGGCCGATCGTCCCGACCGACCGTCCCAACGCCGCGGTCGACCCGAAGCCCGTTTTGAAGCCCGTTTCATATGTTTTCAAGCCCGGCTTAACCCTAAGCCGCCTCTAAAAGACCTAGCACTATATATATATTTTTAGCCTCTTGTGAAAAGAGAGCCGCCCTTGTATTTCGATTTCCTACTCTAAGTTTTATTGCAATCATGTTTTCTTCATCTCTATGTGTGTTTGCTTTGATCATGTCTGAGTAATCCACTAGTTAGGTTGCTAGGGTTACTATTCAATGAGTTGCTTGCATGATCTTTGATTTCAATGATTAGCTAGGGATTATATTAGAGTCTTTGTCTCGTCTTGTGCACTTAACTAATGCTGATTGCTTTACCGCGCATCTAGTAATCCGATCTTAGGTTGATTTGAGCCTCGACAGTGCTGTATCATTCGCCGGACATATTCTTTGACAAGCTAGGTTTCTTAGACTGCGAAAGTTGATCTATCTATATCTAGTGAACTGTATCAGAACCTATTCATTCTAATGCTTGATTTAATCACCTAGGGACATACCAAAAGTTTAGCGACTAGGTAGATTAGCAAAGGAGCCGGAGCCTCGAAAGTGGAATGGTTTTATATTCGTGATCTGTGTTCTAGATGGTTCTTAATATCCCAATATCCCTAATCAATTCAATCTATCATTGTTTCATTGATCATTGCTTGCTTCTCTGCGATAGCCCCTATGACCTAGCGCTTTTCCTTTATTGTTTACAACCTCGTTATACTTGCTAGTTCGGTTCACCATTACAACCTCAATCATACTTTTGTTTTAGCTTGATCCAAAATCCATAGTTTCAAAGTGTACTCAATAGCCAGTCCTTGTGTTCGATACCCATACTTCCGCGATCTGTGCACTTGCAGAGGTCTAGGAGTTTGGTAAAACCTGACTCCGCATCAAGTTTTTGGCGCCGTTGCCGGGGACTGCAGCAGTACCTTTGGAACTCGACTAGGATCTAGTCTAGAACCTTTTCCTGTTTTGCTTTTCTTTTGCTTTTGAATTTTCAGTTTTTGATTTCCTTTTCTTTGATTTTTGCTTTTGTTTTTGTTTTTCCCTTTTGATTTAACTTGTTTCCAAGACTCTTTTCAGGTGCATGACTAGGAGGTCCAACAAGGACAACCTAGTTGAACATCCAGAGATAGACAAGCTTGAGAAGCAACTTAGGAAGCAAAAAGCCCAAGAGATGGCCGACGAAGCAGCTCGCGCTCACGCCGCTGAAGTGGCGCGCGCTCAAGAAGAAGGAAGAGATCCACCTCCTCCTCCTCCTAATCCACAAGACCTGCTGGAGATGTGAATGTGCAACCTCAAGCTGGAGCACCTACAATCGGAGACTATGACTCTGCCGATGCTTTCTTCATGGATAGAAACCCTATCCATCCACCACTTCCTGCAAGGAATGACTATGAGATCAAGCCTCAGATCATAGCATTGGTTAGACAGAACCAATTCAATGGACTTCCAGCTGAGCATCCTCTTGATCACATAGAAAACTTTGAAGAAATTTGCAGCACTACAAGATCCAATGGAGTCTCTGCTGACTACCTTAAGTGCAAGCTCTTTTCATTCTCTCTTGGCGACAAAGCTTCAAGATGGTTGAAGTCTCTGCCAGCTCACTCCATTACCACTTGGGATGAGTACAAGGCCGCTTTCATCAACCACTTCTACACCAAGCAAAGATCAATTTCTGTAAGGAACAAGATCTCCAACTTTCGCCAAGCCAACAATGAATCTTTCTATGAGGCGCTAGATCGATTCAAGGAGTACATTAGGGACTGCCCTAATCATGGTTTCAATGAGGGAAACCTATGGAACATCTTCTATCGTGGCATAGACCACAAGTACAAGCTTTCATTGGACACTGCAAGCAATGGAAACTTCATGACCAAGACTGTTGATGAAGCTAAGGTTCTTATTGAGAATCTTGCAGCTAGTGATTGTAACAACTGTCCTGATTATGACCGCTCAAGCCGCACCACTACTAGCTCCCCTGATTCTTTTCAAATGACTGAACTCAAGAACATGATGGCTCAAGTTCTTAAGGGACAGCTCAAGCATATCAATGCAATAGAAGGGATGAGTGATGCTAATGAAGACCCATCAAGAGAATGCATGGGAGATTTCTCTAATGAAGCCAATGAAGAAGATGTGAACTACATTGGAAACTATGGGAACAAGGGATACAATCCAAGCTATCGCCCAAACCCCAACATGTCTTATAGAAACCCCAATGTGGAGAATCCTCAAGACCAAGTGTATCCTCCAAGGTATCCACAACAACAAAGACCTCCTTACCAATCTCAAGGAAGTCAATTTCAGCCAAGGCAAGGATATGAGCAGAGATCATCATATCCGCCCAAGGAGCCATATGCTTCTTCACCAAATCAAGCTCCTCCAAACCAACAAGGTGGGAGATTTGAAGGAATCCTCCAACAGATCATGGATGGCCAGAAGAGAAACAAAAGAGATGTATGAGAAGATGGACACTTTGTTCAGCAATCTCAACACCAAGTATGATGCTGTTGCCACTCATGTGAAGAAACTAGAGACTCAAGTCACTCAAACTATGGAAGCTGTTAAGAGACAGGAAGCTGAATCCAAGAAGTCCTTTTGCAACTCAGCCGCCATAGAAGAAAGATTTGAAGACCAAGTTCCAGAATGGATGCTTTCAAAACCTACTGTTGATTGCATGATTTGGCCTGAAGAGAATTACCCAGAGAGAGAGTCCAATCGAGCTAGAAAGAGAAGACTCTTCCCAAAGATTATCCCCAAGACAGATAACTCAGTTGTGCCTTGTATCATCAAAGGTAACATTCTTGAGCAATCTTTGTGTGACACAGGAGCCAATGTGAACATCATGTCTAAGAGGATAGCTGACAAGATAGGCCTCACCAAGATAGAGCCATCATCCATCTCCATCAACTATGCTGATTCATTCTCACAAACCCCTATGGCTTTGTGCCTAATGTGATGGTGCAGATTGGAAATTGCTCTATCCCTACTGATTTCCAGATTGTGGAAATGAGAGAGAGTAGCCATAGACCTCTCATATTTGGAACCCCTTTCCTGTCTACTGTGGGTGCCATATTTGATTTCCCCAATCAAAGAATCTCTTTCAACAAGGTGAACAAGGGTATGTTCTTCCCTATGTGTTCAACAAAGAACTCTTTTGTTGACATGGTCCAAGAGGAGAAAGTACTTTGAAGCCACCCCAAGAAGGAGAAACTGAAGAAACAATCAAGGAAGATCCCATTCCTAAGCCCAAGCAGCTTGCCAAACAAGCAAGGAGTAAGACTAAGGCCCCTACACCAAAACCGCCCAAGGGATCAACCAAGATTGAAGATGAGGCCAAGCCAAGAAGGAAGGTTAGAAAAGCCTAGGTCTGGCCGCAACATGAAGCTTCTATTCCCAAAGGAGCTTATTGATGAGAATCTAGAAGGATTCAAGGAGAAAGTGACAAGAACTCTAAAGCTTTTTCCTAAGGCAGTAGTGCCAAGGGACATTCATGGAGAGATTGTCTATCCAGCTGTGAATCACCCACCAGATACTCATTGCAAGGAGAAAAGACTTGGAGGATCAAAGATGCCTCTTGTCTCCATCTTCTCCTGAGCGCCAAGCCTTACAGTCAAGCTAAAGACTTAAAACAAGCGCTGCATGGGAGGCAACCCATGAGGTACTTTTACTTTTCTTTCTTTAATTTCTTAGTTTTTGTTTTGCTTTTGTGTTTTCTTTGTTTTAAGATAGGATAGAAGGAGAAAAAGGTGTGAAAACACAATCCGCGCCAAACATTGGCCGCGGACGCGCAAAAGAATTTTGGCCGAGCAATTTCCAACCGGGCCGACCGTCCGGTCGAGCCGGGAAGGAACGGCTGCTCGGCCGGATTGACTTCGCGCGACAAAACCGTTCGCGCGGACGCACGAACCGGAAGAAACGGCCGCGCTCGGCCGAAACGTATCGGAACGGACCGACCGTGCCGGTCGATCCGGGAAACAAACGATCGGCCTCGGCCGAAATTCTCGGCCACCGAATTTGGCCGACCAAATCGCTCGACCGCGACAAAATCCATCGGCCATCGGCCCAAACTTTTCTCGGCCAAGGTAAGTCCCCTTTTCATTAAATTCAAACCGGTTTTAACCAATCTAAACCAACTTAAACCGGTTTTCAATCAAAATTCGAATTTGAAAAGGAAAATTGATAGGATTTAGATCTTATTTACTTTACCTTTCCCTTGAAAACAACAAGAACCTCTCTTTCTTCTCCAAAACCCTAAACTCCATTAGAGGAACTCTAAGAGTTTTGATTTCAAAACTTTTACTGTTCATAACTCTAAATTGGAATTTACTTGCTCTTGCAACCTTATTCACTTTTCAACACACAAGGTATGTCTTCTAACTCTAATCCTATGTTTATGCAAGATCGAAAATTTCAATAAGTTTCATGTTTGGTCTAAACTCTTGTCTAAACTTGAAATTACATCCTTATTAGTCTTGTAATGAACTTTGCTAGGTGGAACCTAGGTGGTTTAGAGTTATTTGAAGTTTAATTTCACAATTGAATAGTTTTTCACAAAACTTATTGGGCATTCCAAACCCCTTATTCAAAGGTGAAATTGCTTAGGCATACTTCAATTCATTAGTTTATCTAGTGATTACTTGGATTAGAAACTCAATTTCTCTTGATTTGCTGAAAATTTTGATTTTAAGCACCATAATCTTGGGATGAACAGTAAAATCCGAAAATTAACTTTGAAAAAGTGAAATTTCCATTTTGTCTCTTTGATTCATGATTAAGCCTTGAGTTGTTCCATTATTCCATATCATTATTACAACTCAATTAGCTTATTCTTCTTTTGCATTAATCACAAACTCATATTTCTTCCCAAGAATTTGCTCTTGTAGGTACCCAATGGCAAAGACAAAAGGAAATGAGAGTATGAAGAAGAAGAAGAACCCATTCATGGAACCACCAAAGAAACAAATCAAGCTAGGGAGTAGTAGCTCCAATGCAAGAGCAGCAATACCAACTTCACCACATTCCATTGATGCAATCAAGAACATGTGGAGAGTCCAAGAAGAGAAGATGATTGGGCACTTGTAACCTTTGTTGGAGAACAAATCCAAGACCCAAGAAAGTGCAAGAAGGCAATGGAGAAGGTGAACATCGAACCTGTGTGAAGATGGACACCCAAACCCTTGACCTTCTCAAGATAAGAGATGATGTCACATGGTACATAAGGAAGCTAGGCTTGAGCAAGCTCTTCAAGCTAGAGTAGTGAGTACTCACAACTCACCAAGGAGTTCCTCTCCACAGTAGCTCTTGCCTTTCCCAACCACAATGGAGACCAACCAGCTGGTGATGGACTCCTACTCTTCAAGATAGGCGATGCCAATGGGCGCATCTCCATCTCAGCTCTATGCCAACTCTTTGGACTTCCCAATGAGACAGCACATGACTTCAAGGAGAACTCAAAGAGGAAACAAGCTGCCTTTGCTGATTGGACACACTTTGCCAATGAACCATTCTTGCCTTCAAGATCAAAGGTGTCTAGAATCACTCATCCAGCCATTCGCTATGTGCACCGCCTCATCTCCACCACTTTCCAATGCAAACAAGAAGCCAACAAGGTCACAACTGATGAGTTCTACATCCTCACCACACCATTCATCAAGCATGAGTACAAGGCCAACCTTGGACTTTTACTTGCCAAGACATTCATCAATGTGAGGAAGCTAGCTAAAGACTTGGAAGGCAACAAGAAGCTTTGTGTTCGTTTTGGGAGGCTTATCACGGCCATAGTGCAACATGTGGGGATTGACATTCCCAACTATGAGCCACTACCCAAGCCAACCCCTTTGGATCTCCATGCTCTTCAGCACATCCACTTCCTAAACCGTTGGACTAAAGACCCAACTCGGTTTTGCTATGAGTTTCCAATTGGTCCAGCCAACACTTCCCTTGTCTTGCTGCCACATGAAGACATCCCAAGCCTACGCTCAGGTGTTGTCACTTTCCAGCCCAATGAGGAAGACTTCTATGTTCCATCAAGTGAGAAACCATCATTCCCCATGCTCACCTATCGCACACTTCAGCATGCAGTCAAGACTCAACGCCGCCACCAAGAACGCCATGTTCTCACTACTGGCATGGCCGCGCACCAAGCTCTAGACCGTGTTAACAAGCTGGAGAAGATAGTGGAATGCCAATCTCGCTTCATCTCACGCCTAGTTCGTGTAGTTCGCCACATTGCACCGGAGAGACTCTTTCGCCCTTCTTCCACCGCTAGAGAGCCATATGAGCCTGACCTTGGTGAGTTCTCACTAGACTCAGAGCTTGGTTCAGAAGGCGATGACCCCATAGATGAGGAAGAGAGTTCTTCTCACTGCCACACATAGTCATCTCAAGTGGTACTTAGTGCAATGGACACTTACAAATCTCCATTTTCTATCCCTATCTCATTTTAATGAATTTCTTTTTATTTTTCTTTTACTTTGAATATTACCTCTCACCTTAATGTGATTTGCTTTCACCGGGACGGTGCAAGTTAAGTCTGGGGGGAGTTTTATTGTGTTACTAATGCATTTTTCTTTCTTTTCTTATGTTTTATTCACTTTGTTTCATGTTTTTCAAAAAGTTTTATTGAGTCAAAAACCAGTCCGGAAGTTATGAACTTGCTTTGAGAATTGAGAGTGTTGTGCTAACAATCCATGACCCTAGAGCAGAAACCAGCTAAAGGCACAAGCCTAACAGAAGCTCTTACAGTGGATCGACATGCTAGCTCAGCAAAATTTCTAAGGTAACCAAGCAATCTAGAGTTAACCTCACCCTTAATCAATCTTAATTACTCTTGTCAAGGGGGTTGGCATACATGTCGACAGTTCCTTGCTTGATTTTCAATAAGATTTGTCTAATCTTTAAAGAGTTCTCCTCTCTCTCCCATCCCAAATGGTAAGTAATGTTTATGAGAAAAAGCTCAAAGAGCACAAGGAAAACAAGTAAGCATGAGGAATGCATATGTCTGTACCTTCATGTCTTATGGAATACCTTAGTCAAACAAGGAACAAGCTAAAGACTTATCCTGTGGTTGAAAGAAGGGTCAATAGAAAAAATAAAATGATACCCTAGAAAAGTAGGGAGAAATTGACCTTTCAAAGTTCTGATGTGAGAAAGAGAGAGGAAAAGAACTCATTGCACTTAAAGACAATCTTGGAGAAGATCAAGTGGGTAACAACAAGAGTGAAGACTGGTCCAGACGGCTCTATCGAGAACAGCGCCCAAACCGCGCAGTCCGGCTGGCCGAGGAACGAACGTTTCACGCTCGGCCAGAGTCTCATCCGTCCGTCTGAAGTCTCGGCCAAAGTCCAAAACCGTTCGGCCGAACGCATGTCACGACCCGGAAACTAAGGCCCGCGGTCGGCCACGCCACAACCGCTCACGCCAATGCCGCGCACGACCATGCCGCGCGAGCCGGGCCGGGAAACAAAGCCTCGCGGCCGCGCAACCTGTCTCGCGTACCACGGCCGATGGAGCCGTCCGAGCCGGGAAACTACGTCCCGCGTCCGGCCGAAGAATTCATCGGCCAATCTTCATCCGTCCGACCACAGCGGCCGACCACAATCCGTCCGGCCACGACCGTTCCGATCGTACTAGGAGCGGCCATGACCCGATCATCCGGCCGATCGTCCCGACCGACCGTCCAAACGCCGCGGTCGACCCGAAGCCCGTTTTGAAGCCCGTTTCACATATTTTTATGGCCCGGCTTAACCCTAAGCCGCCTCTAAAGACCTAGCACTATATATATAGCTTTTTAGCCTCTTGTGAAAAGAGAGCCGCCCTTGTATCACGATTTCCTACTCTAAGTTTTATTGCAATCATGTTTTCTTCATCTCTATGTGTGTTTGCTTTGATCATGTCTGAGTAATCCACTAGTTAGGTTGCTAGGGTTACTAATCAATGAGTTGTTTGCATGATCTTTGATTTCGATGATTAGCTAGGGATTATTATAGAGTCTTTGTCTCGTCTTGTGCACTTAACTAATGCTGATTGCTTTACCGCGCATCTAGTAATCCGATCTTAGGTTGATTTGAGCCTCGACAGTGTTGTATCATTCGCCGGACATATTCTTTGGCAAGCTAGGTTTCTTAGACTGCGAAAGTTGATCTACTATAATCTAGTGAACTGTATCAGAACCTATTCATTCTAAAGCTTGATTTAATCACCTAGGGACATACCAAAAGTTTAGCGACTAGGTAGATTAACAAAGGAGCCGGAGCCTCGAAAGTGGAATGGTTTTATATTCGTGATCTGTGTTCTAGACGGTTCTTAATATCCCAACATCCCTAATCAATTCATCTATCATTGTTTCATTGATCATTGCTTGCTTCTCTGCGATTAGCCCCTGTTGACCTAGCGTTCCCCCTTATTGTTTACAACCTCGTTATACTTGCTAGTTCGGTTCACCATTACAACCTCAATCACACTTTTGTTTTAGCTTGATCCAAAATCCATAGTTTCAAAGTGTACTCAATAGCCAGTCCTTGTGTTCGATACCCATACTTCCGCGATCTGTGCACTTGCAGAGATCTAGGAGTTTGGTAAAACCTGACTCCGCATCAGGTGATTAATCTTTTGGGTCGGTACGTGGCGATGCAGCCTGTCCAATGAATTTCTCATATAGACCTCCTTTTTGGTACTTTTTCCTAAAACACTTTTTTTATTTTATTTTTGTAAAATTTATTAAACTCTCAAAAATTTAAGAGTTATAAATAGAACAAATAAGTAGTTATAAAAATAAAAACAAAAATAAAAAGAGGAAGGGATAAGAAAATGTGGGTTGCCTCCCACAAGCGCTTGTTTTAAGTCTTTGTAGCTCGACTCCTTTGTGTTCTTAGTTAGGTAGGATTGGTGGCTCCAAGAACTTCCTGTTGCCTGATGATTCCAAGTGCATCTTGTCCTGTAGAACTTCCTTGATCAAGTAGCCATGCGACTCTCCTCTTACTTGTGAGCACTCTCCTCCACTTGTGTAGCGAAATCGCTTGGATGAGAAACCGGGAGGTGCAGCATCGTAGAAGGTGTCTTGTCAACATTGGCTAGAGAGATTCTTCTATTAGGCCAATCCATGATCGCTCCAGCTGTGGCTAGGAATGATCTTCCAAGCAAAAGCTTTAAGTCCTCCGGATCCTTCATGGTTACTACATAGAAGTTGGCTGGAACTATGCAGCCTCCAAAATCAAGCTGAATGTCTTTAACCTCTCCAAGTGGTTCGGTCAATGATGAATCAGCTAGCTTTAAATCCATTCGAGATTTCACAATTGAATTGATCAATCCCAACTTCTTGGCTATCTCGGCCGGCATAAGGTTCACACTAGAACCGGAATCGCAAAGAGCATCATCAAAGTAGCTTCCATTGATAGAGAAATGTATAAGGAAGTAACCTGGGTCATGAAGCTTGTGTAGAAACCTAGGTTTAGGCATCCCTTTCTTGCTTCCTCGTACATCTTTTCCAATTCAGCTAGACTCCAATCTTGTGTCCAAGCTAGGTCTTGCATGAATGGACTCTTGTTGCAAGCATTATCAAACGGCACACCATAAGGGAATCTCCTCGCCATAAAGTTGAAATCATCTATGATCTCTTCAAGTGATGATCTTGTCTTCCTCTTCTCCTTGGTGGGAGGCGGTTGTGAAGACCTTTGAGTAAGGGTTCTTCCTTTTGGTGCTATCTTCTCTGTTCCAGTGGTTAGCCTTCGTGGCTCTTTCTTGATCAGCTCTACTCTCTTCTTCATCCCAAATCACTCTTGGGTCGGTCTCTCTTATAGTAAAGACGGGCGCGGCATGGTTGTGCTTAGGAACCGGTCGTCTTTGCCTCGGTCAAGACCTTCTCTTCCAAGTTGGCTAAGCGAGTGGTTAAATCCTTGACTTCCTTGGAGACTCCATCTACTTTGTCTTCAAGCCCTCTAGCTCTTCTTTGAATATCTTGGCTCCTCTTGTCTAGAGAGATGTGTAAATCTCGGATTTGTGCCTTCACTTGTTTTTGCCCTTCCACCAATGTAAGCATCGTCGAGTAACATTGCCTCTCCTTTAGGGTTACTTCGGCTACCTCCCTCTTAGCTTGATGAGCTACTGCTGTTATTGAATTGAGACTCTTGGTGGTGCCATCGAGGTTGTTATCAAGACTTGTGATCTTCTCATCTAAGTGATTGTCCATCTCCTTGGTAGAAACTTTGGTAAAGTGTATCGCTCTCCTATTGTCTTCAATGGCCTCGCCTTGCTTCTTCAAATCTTCCTCCATGTCCAAGCATCTTGACTCTACTCTCTCTATTTGGGTAGAGAGTTCTCCAAGTCTTCCATCTAGTTCGTATCGCGTGAACTCTAGCTTTGTTCAATGTCGCGGCTAGTTTTTCTTTGGCTCTCCATGAAACCCTCAAGCACGGCATCGAAATGGCTATCTCTCCGCCTATTGAGAACATGGTCGTGGTGTGAATGCAACACTGGTCTAGGTGGTTGATGATAAACCGGAGGTCGGTTTTGATGATGATGGTAATGATGCTCGTCTCGGCTAGGTCCTTCAAACGTCGGATGAGCGCGGTTGGGAGGGAACGGATGTGGCACGATGCGGCTGGGTCTTGGTAACTCCGGCCGTGGAGATCGTGTGGGATCAGTGTCCGGTTCCCAAAGTGGATGTTGGTGTTGTGATTCATCTCCAAGTACCTATAAACACAAGATTTAAAAGAAAAAGTTAGTATTCGAAAATACCAAGATCTAGACTTAGTTTTAAACAAGACTATGCAAGTGTTTATGATGCAATCCCCGGCAACGGCGCCAAAAACTTGATGCGGCATCTATGGGATGAGTACAAGTAATAATTCCCTAAGACAACTAGTGTTGCAAGTGCACAACATATAATTGTAGTATTTAGGGGTCGAACCACAAGGGATTGGATTTCACACATTACATAATCATAGAGTTTAAATGATCTAAGCTAAATCAAAAGATGCAAGGGTTTGTGTTTGTTGAGAACACGCAAAAGAAATAACAATGCAATTCTATACAAGCAACATTATTGAACTATTGAAAACTCTTTTGAAAACATGAGCCAAGTCGATTGAAAAGTTTGTTAAAATCCGATTCTTTTGAACTCAAAACACTAAGGAAGGATTATTCCACTTTCGTGGTTCCAATCCCCTATGTCTCTTAAACCAATGGGCTCAGCTTTCGTTGGTCATTGTAGAGTGAGACATGCATTACATCCAAGTAATGATTGTTCACAAAACTCTTTAGGTCTACTTTCGTAGCCTAAAACGATTTGCCCATCAAATACTATATCCGGAGATATAACAAGCTTTTGGAGAGTATATCAACCTAAAATCAAGTCACTAGTTAGCTACTCTAGCAACAGCATTAAGCATAAATAAAGATGGAGAACCATAGGGTTTCCCCTTTTAACAATCGATTTTCGATGGCCATTATATCACGTCCTCATTGGAAGGATCCATAATTCAACAATGAGTCTTAGATAGTAGATGAAGTCTCATGAATCCTTAGAGAGAGAGGCGGCGGAATATGACTAAACCGCCTCACCCTTAGGGAGAAATCTCTACTTCTAGACTATATAAATTGAAACATGCAAGCTATATACAAATGCAAAAGAAGAAAAGAAAGAAGAAGGAGACCACCTAAGTGGCTCCGAACTTTATTGAATAAGTGTTTCTTGTTATGCGGCTGGTGATTCTTATTACAAGAGGCTAAAAGCAAGTATATATAGGTAGAGAGCGGGTCTAGGTCGGCAAAGTTGAGCGCGCGCAGAAGAGGAAAGTTTCCATTTCTCTTTAGCCGCTTGAGCTTGCTCTCCAAGTTCTTGAATGGGCCGCGTTCAGGCCAATGGAAGCTTCTGGATTGAGTTATGCTAGTGTCAAGACGAGCCAAGGCCTTGGGCGCGGTATCTCGGGCCTCTTGATCCATCAAAGTCTCCATGGGCTCTACTTAGGCGCTCGTCGGACATGTCTTGGTAGAAAATAAGTTCCGGTCCAACGAGTGATCCAAATGACCTCTTTCCACTTCGCCGCGGGTCATGACTCAAATATCTATCTTTCCATATAAGAATCATGACTTTTGGACGTCGGGAAGGCATGAATATGCGGTCGTACTTCGGATGCTCCGGTTTGGTCTTTAGCGAGAAATGTAGATTTGGTGCTCTAGACTTGGTGATATGAACATGGAGGAGGTTGATAAAGAATTGGGCCAGGAAGCAGCTGGAGAGCTTGAAGCAGAGGAGCAGCTTGTACCAGAGGAAGCACTGACCATACCAACTGGCCCAGTTGCAAGGTCCCAAACTAAGTTGCTCAACCAAGGCATTGGAAGAGTACTTAGCCGTTTGAGTCGGCAAGATCATGAGCTTAAGCATTCCACTATGGTTTGTTTAACAGCCCAACACTTGGGATAAAGAAGCAAGTGGATCTTAGTGTGCTCTTTTTCCCTGCCAAGGTTTTGTCCCTTTGGGTTTTCCTTGGTAGGTTTTTAATGAGGCCTAAGACCCACTTTCATATCTCTTCTTTGTCTCATATTGTTGGGTCCGGCCCAAACCTTTTTAGTTTGAATATCTGGCCACCCAATGCATGAGAAACTCTCTTTATTGTTTTTGTGATTTCCGAGATGGTCATGGAGGCTGTTCCATTGACTCATCTCTTCTTCCTTCTTCTTCCCTTTCCCTTTATATGGTGCTGGACGAAAACCCTAATAATGAATCAATCTTTTTATCAAAAAAACCCTTTTGTTTGTTCATTCAAACCTCTTAGTGTGTAGTATCTAAGATCTTGTAGTTTTCTTGAAGTGAGTCATATCTTTGAGAGATCTATTCCTTGTCCATCTCTTGGTGTGTAATATCCTGGAGATCAACAAGAGCCTTGTCCATCTCTTGGTGTGTAATATCCCTGAGATCAACAAGTTTGGTGTTGAGAGATCCTTCCGCAGATCTCTTGTTATAACCACTCTATCTTTCCCATTCACTTTACCATCTCGCCCAAGTCACTTCCATCACTTCATCAATCCATCTTTCATCAATCCTTCATTCCAACTTGCTTCAAAGTGCCGATCTATAATCAGGGGTCTATCACTTGGGAACTTGATGATTTGGCTCCTTTTGCTCCATTTTGAACTCTTCTTTGCTATTTTGACCTGAATGATGCTCAAAACTAGAATATACAAGAAAACTACCTCTTGGCTCAAAAGCCATGTTATTTGTATTAAAAACATAATGAAAACCTTGGTAAAAACATGAAAGATATGGATATATCAATGACCATCCAACGCCCGAATTGATATGGTCTGTTGTCTAGGACCTTCTGGAGGTCCTCCTCTAGCTTGAAGCACAGCTGGAAGCTGTCATGTGCCAGATCCGAACCCTCAAAGCTACTATTTAGCTCCCATCGGTCCAGGAAGAAGGAGAACATAGCTCTTAGCCTTTGTTCTCTCCGGTTGGTCAGGCGCCCTATGAGTGTGAGCGTGTTCTCTCTCACCAGATCTGAAGTGTCCAGTTCCGGAGCTCTGATTCCCTTCCGTTGGCTGGAGGCAGTCGGGTAAGCAATGCCTTTTCCTCGATCAGCATACAGTATTCTTGTAGCCATCTCGTGAGCTTTGGTGTTTTCTCTGTTTCTTCAGGTGACGCAACGTGCCGTTTGCTAGTGGAGTGAACGGTTGGTCGTGGCTAGTAGCGTTGTTTAGCGGCGTAAACTAGGGTTTTGAGGGGGAGAGCTGCTTACCGGTGGTTGTCAAGGACCCTCTGACTCCAAGTCGGGGGTGGAACTCGGGCGCGGTAAACCAAGGGCGTAGAGATTTTGAAAAAACTTGCTTAATTGGGAAAAGTACGCCGGGTAAAAGAGTGTTGAAAGTGAGAGGTTGCTGGCTATGGACCGTCTACGAACGTGCTTGGGAGAAAAGTCAGCTTAAAAATATTCGTCTTTTCCAAAATTGTCTTATAGGTTTTTAGCTATTTATAGTAAAATATAAGTGGAGCCTCGGTCAACTCCATCCCTATTGACTTTTCCTTTTTTAGATGGTCTTGAGCAGACTCCTCAAGTGCTCTGCTCTCTTGCTCAAGTCAACTAGTCTGCGAATTTCCTAATCAGTTCTAAGCTCTGATCAGCCACTATATATATGAAATATGATTATTTAAGCTAATAATAAATTGAAAATAACGTCAAAGAAATTTATTAAACTGAAATGAAAAATGTTCAAGTAGTTCTAATTAAAAATAAAATCCCGTACGTGTTGTTATTTTTATTCTTGTAATGTATTTTTTCATATTTTAATGATTAATTTTAAATAAATATAATAAATTATGAAAGTTTGAAGAAAAAAAAACTATGGGGCAATTTTTAATATACAGTGTAAATTTAGAAATTAATAAAAAAAAAATCAAAAAGAATATACTTTAAAATATTATTATACACTTTTAATGTAAAACATAATAAAAAGTATGGTTGTTCAATCTAGTAAAATCGAACTGAACCGATCCAGACAGTATATTTTTATGGATAGTAAAATCATATGGTTTGGATTTGAATATACCATATTTTTATGGATATTAACGAATCAACCAAAAAACCCGGAAAAATCCGACTAGTTCTATGTTTCTACGTAGAGGCGAGATTTGATCTCTTTCCTTATTGCAATAAATCTCCCGCAGTGTGGCGGTTTGATGAGATTTTTGAATCCCAGGATACAGCTACGTTAGACTATAATCTCAGCACCCGATTATATAATCTGCGACCTTAGATAACTACGCTATACTCTTGAGACACAAAAAGAGAAGAAGAGAAAGATGTGAGAGAATGAAGGATTTTCTTTTAAGTGGAATAAGAGGTGTGCAAGTGTATGTAAGAATGTATGAAATGAGAGAAGTGAAATCTCTATTTATAGAGATACAAAGCTTAGTGAGTAAGCAATGAAACTTGGTCACAAAGCTATTCAAAAGCTTCCTCACCAAGCTAGCAAGACTTAGTCACTAAGCTTCCAAAAGCTTAGTCACTAAGCAAAACAAGAACTTGCTCACCAAACTATTAAAAGCTTAGCCATTAAGTTGAGCAAGTTGCTTGTTCTCCAAGCTACGGAACTTGCTTGCCAAGTTACGAATCAATATGAATTCGACTCAATCTCAACTCGTTTAGATTTATCGGAACAATATGAATTCGACTCAATCTAAACTCGTTTAGATTTATCAGATTTCATAATTGTCTCTTTCTCTCATTTCACTTTTAATTCACACTTAATTCATGAGTCTAGATCTCATTTCTTTTCACACTTAATTCATTATTTACTCAGCCTAATAGGCTTATAAATTTTGGTTCCAACACATAATGCTTAATCACTTTGCTTTCTCCCAAAACTTTATGAAGAGCTTTTGTTCCTTGCTACTAATTATAGTTAGTGGATTTGGCTCTTCTTTACAAAGTGCCAAATTCGAGTTTAGTACTCTTAATGAACTCAACTTTCTCTTTCCATTATGAGAAGTTAGTTCTCACGAGGATTCGAACATCATAAGCCAAAAGAAATGACAAATTCCTATGAAATGTTTTGCAATTTTTAGAGATATAACAAGTGTTAATTAGGCTTCAAAATTTACACAACACTTAAAGTTCAATTATTGAAATACATATGACAAGAAAGTATAGTGCTCCTGTGGGTAGTCACTATAATCTCATTTTAAGGTCATAGTTTTTTTTTTTTTCAACAAAAAAAATTATTGAGTGATGTTTTGAATTAGTCAAGCTAAGTTATCTGTGGATATACTTAGTTTACAAATACAAACACAAACACTCCTTACTATATTTGATCATATCTTATGTTATTTATCTACCTGTGGGTATAATTATAACATAAATATATCAAATATGCAAATCATTATAAGGTAAGGTCACTGTGGTGATATCCAAACCCAAATATTTGCACTCTATGAGAAACATAAGATCTATACAAATTATGTATAGATATTTTCTCATTAAGAATTATGCTCAAAATAAATTATGCTTAACATAATGCATAATTAATACATAATTCACAAATGTCCAAAATTCTTTAATAAGAGTGAATCTTTGAAAATTTCTTTCATAGATTCCTCTAAATATTCATGTCCAAAAAGAAATCAAACCTAAGAGTTTCTTTTCTTTAATTTCAAGATCATTGAATTTTCATCAATAATCATATATCTATTATATTTAATGGATTAATTAGATGTTTTCAATCATGCTCTGATATCACATGTAAGATTATTTAGAGTTCATAATTTCTATGAACCTTAATCACTTTAACATGACATGCAAAACTTTTATGCATGGACACTTTACTTAAATCCATGATCTTTAAACAACTTAATCAATCACATAATAGAATCAAAAGTGAAGGTTTAGTGATACCTCCATTCCTATTGTAAGAGAAGCCTCCTTGAATTGCTTCTTAGAAGTGAAGCTTTCTTGACTTATTCCTTCTTAACTTGAAATGAAGAAACCCTTTGAACTTTAGGTAGGAGCTTAAGGTTTCTCTCCTCTCCCTATAAACATCTTTTATGTGTTGTGTTCTCTTATGAGTACTTTCATATATGTGTCTTTGAGATGGAGCAAAGAGACCTATTTATAGGTGAGGAGAGGACCTTATTCCTCATTAGTGTTTTTCTTGATTCAATCTCAACCATCCATCAAAGTAGGATTGAATCCATTTAGTGACAAGTGTATGAACAAGTGTCTTGCCATGAATCTTTAATATGACAAATGTCTTGCCATGAATCTTTAATATGACAAGTGTGACACAAACTTGGAGACCAAGACACATAAGGGAGATGTATTCTTAATCCATAAGCAACATGTTTTCCTCATGTTGTATAACATCTCCAACCTTTGTCTCCAAGCAATTTTCCTAAGAGTGACAAGTGGTTTAACACTTGTCCTTTTATGTTCATAAACACTTGTCCTTTATATTCATGAGAAACTAAACTCCTTAATATCAAACTTAATTGGTTACCAAATGTTCCTTAGTGTATAACATCCCAAAAAGAAAATCATTTACTATAAGACCACATAATTGAGAGATGAAATATATTCATTTCAAATATATTTCTTACAGCGTCTACAGAGGAAATCAGCTCCTGCTGCTTATTTCGAATTGGTTTTTCGCATAAAGGATAGCTCTTTATTCTCTTCTTTGTCTGTGTTTTGCTGCATCTATGGTTTATGGTGATTTGTTTTTTTATCTTGTCGGATTAGTTCTTGATTCACTGTGGTTATTATAAACTCTTCAATTTTTTAAAAAATCCTGAAGCAGATTCACTTTGATTCTTTTTTTTAATGCTTGTGGATTAATGTAGGTGTTTGGTTTATAATGCAGCTTCCTAGCATTGCTGTTGAACGTGGAAGCGAAGGAGGGGATTAGTGGTTTAATGATGAGTCCAATGAAGACAACAGAGTCCGCTTGTGTTATCATTCCCCCGAAGATTTTCCGGGTTCTTGAGAAACCGGTAGTTTCTTGGTCACAGTGGTGAGATCCTTAATGTCTCATGGTCTAAGAACAATGTGAGTTTGATTACCTTGGACTCTCCTTTGATTTTTACATTAATGCTTTTGTGCGTTTGTATTCTTAGAACATACAGGTTTTCTAATGCTCTTAGAACATACCAGGATGAAACTTTGCTCTTGGATTGAAACAGTAGCTAAACTAGAACTTAGATTGGTAAATAACATTTTCGCTCATGTTACAGCATCTTATGTAACTTATCTCTTTCCTCCCAATCTGCATAACAAGCTTCGGTTTTGACAAATACTCTGCCATGCTTAGAACGAATTTTGAGAAGAAACTTCTGTCATCCTGAGTCGCAATGTCACCATGTCCAGCATTACTTTGAAGGTAACTCTCAAAACAATTATCAGATTTTTTTGTACGCTTAGTTTTTAAAGATTGTGCTTGACATTTAAGATGAAATGCTTTGATTTGAGATGATGTGTCTCTGTTCAATTATGAATGCCATTTGAATCACCTTCTTAAAGTTTAGATCTTTTACAATTTTACAGTTTCATTATGTCAACTGCAGGTTGGGACAAAGGTTGCTGCTGCTTCTCATAGGAACAATATGATGGTGGCTAATGAGATGGCAATTGATATTTTATATGCTTTCGGATTTGAGTTTTTTTAGTCTAAAATCTTTCGGATTTGAGTTTGTTTATTTATTTTTGTCAGTTTTGATTGTAAGACCTTGTTGCCTCTCAGATTTTCATTAGTATCATGTTTGGTCTTCTTTGGCATTTACTTTTCTCATCATATCAAATCAAACTTACAAATCTGACTGGAAACTTAAATAAAAAATTTGAAAACAGCACAAAGTAGACCTACTACGTAGACCTTAGTTGTAGATCACATTTGTAGATCTCATTATCAGTCTATTTATGTGAAGTAGACTTCATCTTCAGTCTACCTTTATAAATAGACCTTATCTTCAGTCTATCTCTGTGTTGTTCATCTACATCAGTTCAAAATTCAATTTTTTAAAACTCATGTAATAAAAAAAAATAGAAACCATGAACACACTATGAGTTGTCATTAGCTTATGCAATGAAGGCGGGTATGTCTCGGTCTAGCTCATTTTCAGTCTACCTCTATGAAATAAACCTCATGTTCAGTCTACTTATGCGAAGTAAACATGCAAGTAAAACAGAATGCGTATACCAAACGCATAGAACTCCACTTCAGTCTACCAGAAAATTAAGCTAGTGAACTAATTGGAAAGAAAACCAAATAGAACCTTAATTACTCCCAAAGAACATTTGAAACTCAAATAGAAGCAAGTAAACAAGTAAAAATAACAAACTATTCAAGAAAACTTTTAAAATATTTGGTATATTGACCCAAAAAATGACATTAAAAAACACATAATAATAGACCTAATAAGTAAACCTACTTAGTAGACCGCGAATAAGCATATATGGTAGATCAGAAAATTAAGCTAGTTATCTAATTCAAAAGAAAACCGAATATAGCTTTAATTACGCCGAAAGAACATTTCAAACTCACAGAGAAGCAAGTAAACAAATAAAAACAACTAATTGTTCGAGAATTTTTTTGAAATATTTGATATATTGAAAGGAAAACGACATTTTATAAAACACATAATAATAGACCTAAAACGTAGACGTTCAGAGTAGACGTTCACGGTAGACCTCCACTTAGGTCTACTCCACGTGGACGGCCACGTGGAGGGTTAGTTTTGCAAATGATCGAGAAAAATATTTTTTTGGAGGTCTACCTTGTCGGTCTACTACACGTGGAGGGTTAGTTTTACAATTGACCAAACATTGACTTTTACACGAGGTCTACCGTGTACGTCTACCAGACAACGTAGACCTCTCAATCGGTCTACCAAAAAAAGTACACCTTTGAATTAGTCTACGCCCTAGGTCTTCACAATTCGGTTTAGGTTAATTGGGCTGAGAATTGTCAAAACTGCATAAGTGGGCTTCTTGTTCGCGGACATCGGGTCGACCGTGTAAGGGATGTGGTCGGCCGTGATGTAATGGTCTTGGTCGTGAGGTGATGATCTGGGTCGACCGTGGTCCTTTGCCTTCCTGGTCGACCGGTGCGTTCGGCCGGATGCTTTGATCGCATGTCGAGGAATGGGTCGAGCGCGGGTCATTGCTCCCCGGATCGATCGCTGCGCTCGGTTGGCTGCATGGGACATGTGGTAAATCTTGGTCGACCGCGGGGAAATGCTTCCCGGATCAAACGGTGTGGTCTTGCAGGTCGGTCCTGATGAAGGCCGAGCGAACCAAATTCCCTTCCTGTCCGGCCGAGTGCGTTCGGCCGGCTGTGGACCAGTCTTCAGTACAAACGTGATATCTCCTAAAAGGCTTATTCAAATTGTATACATCCAACGGCATTGGAACAATAACTCATCTGGCTATCTTGGTGTTGAGTTTCATTGAATTACATTGAGTTTAAGGGTCCAAGCCGCTGCTGCTCGTCTGATGTACTGATGCAGTCCGATAAAGCTCCTCGGTGTATATATGTCTCAGGGAAATGGAGATATCTCCCAATCTACTCGGTCAAATTGATTTATTCCAGTTGCGTTGCAAAGCTAACTCACGTATTCATCACGTCGAACTGTATTTTATGAAGTCCATTGAGTAGAATGTTTTTAAGGCCCTTCTAAAGTTGATGCTACGTCCTGGAGCGGTCTTGAAGTCCAAATTGTGTTTTGCTCCAAAATGCATCTTTTTACCTGTTTAGACTCTAAGTACTATAAATACATAAAAACTACCTTTTTAGATCAGAAAGCCATTAAAAAACTTATGAAAAGCATAGTAAAACCATATAAAAAGCATGTAAAATAGAGGTATATCACTGATCCTGAAAATCAGTCGAGAAAAAACAAGTCAGAACAGCTCGAGGACTCGACCGCTCTAGTACACGCTCGATCATTGCCAACAAAAATCAAATTAATAGTCAAATCGATCGAGTTGTTTTATGAGCAGTCGATTTTTAGTTCAAAAACCACAGCCGATTTCTAAGAAATCCAAGATATCAAAAGGCAAATCGATTCAACACAAGTCGATTAAGCTCTAAATTTAGTCAATTTAAGCAACACAACTCAAGAACACACAAGAACACAACCCAGAAAATTCAATCAACAATCGTCAAGTTTCATGAATAGGGATTGATCGACCAAAGTAAAACGAGCGAGCTCAAATCAAGGGAGTTGCAAGGCGGCCGAGTTCAACAATTACAGCACAAAAACCCTCAAGAACATCAACCTAAAATTCGCAAAAACCAAGAGAGTTAGGGCCCGAAATTCATACCTTGAGTTGCTTCTCATGACCAACAGATTCGAAAGAGATACAATGCGGTCAACGACGAAACGATCGATTGGAAAAAAGAAGAAGATGAAATCGATTTGTGTAGTGAGGTTTAGAAAATCGAGTATGTGGGTGTGAGTGAGTGGGTGGTTGGTAAAGAAAAACGTGTTTTTTTTTTCGAGAACAAAATACTTACCTGCTCGGGCTCGACTGGGTGATCGAGCGGCACGATCGATCTCGTCTTCTGTTCCTCTCTGCTTCGTGGTCAAACTCCCGTTCCATGACTTGTCAGCCAAAAATATTAGAAAACAAATTAAAAATAAATGGAAACAGAATACATACAGGATAGGCATGGGCCTTCCTCCCAAGTGAGCTTGTTTTAAGTCCCTAAGCTTGACTTCCCTCATTCATCAGGGCTCACAGAGAGGAATCGATGTCCCCGCTGGGATTGCGTAGTCTGCAAGATAAAGCTTAACCCTTTGCCCGTTGACTGTGAAAGGAGCCCCTTCTTTGTTGATCAGAGTGACCGCTCCAAATGGTGAGACGTCTTTGACGGTGAAGGGTCCAGACCACCTCGACTTCAGTTTCCCAGGAAACAGTTTCAGGCGAGAGTTAAACAGCAGAACTCGATCGCCTTCTTTAAAGTACTTTCGAATGATCTTCTTGTCGTGGAATACCTTGGTCCTCTCCTTGTAGATCTTAGAGCTCTCGTAGGCATCCAATCTGATCTCCTCTAGCTCATGCAGATCGATCTCCCTCTTCTCCTGAGCGGTCTTAAGATCAAAGTTCAGCAGCTTGGTCGCCCAGATGGCTCTGTATTCCACTTCAACGGGGAGATGGCATGACTTTCTGTATAGAAACTGAAATGGCGTCCTCCCAATAGGTGTCTTGTAAGCTGTCCTATACGCCCAAAGTGAGTCGTCGAGCTTGACCGCCCAGTCTCTTGTTGAACTGTTTACAACTTTGTGCAAAATCGCCTTGATCTGTTTGTTAGAGACCTCGACTTTTCCAGATGTCTGGGGGTGATAGGGTGTTGCAACCTTATGCTTTACTCCATACTTCTTTAGAAGCGCTGAAAAGATCTTGTTGATGAAGTGGCTCCCCCCATTGCTAATCACAACTCTCGGGATTCCATATCTAGGAAAGATAATGGATTTGAACAGCTTGAGCACTGGTTTGTGATCGTTGGCGGGGCATGCAATCGCTTCAACCCATTTAGATACGTAATCCACCGCCACCAGAATGTTCCGGTTCCGGTGAGATGACGGGTCGAATGGTCCCATGAAATCGATCCCCCAGACGTCGAAGACCTCGATCTCTAAAATTGGGTTCTGTGGCATCTCGTTTCTCCTAGATATATTGCCCATTCTCTGACAAGGATCGCACTTGGAGATGACGCTGTGTGCATCCTTGAATAGATTCTGCCACCAGAGCCCAGATTCGAGAATCTTCTGCGCTGTTTTAAACACAGCATAGTGACCACCGTAGGTAGATATGTGGCAGTGCTCTAGAACTCCGCTGACTTCCTCCTCTGCAATGCATTTCCTGAACAAACCATCGGATCATCTCTTGTACAGATACGGCTCATCCCAGAAATACTGTGAAGCGTCTCTGAGTAGCTTCTTCTTCTTGTAAGCGTCCAGATCCTTTGGAATTTGCTTATGCACCAAATAGTTCACTATGTCGGCGTACCAAGGATATTTCTCGTCGCTCAGTGAATAGACTCGATCGAGCTCAACCTTGGTAGAGTCGACTGCTTCGAGAACTTTGATCGATATCAACTGTTCTTCAGGCATCGAGTCGTCTATCGGCACTAGATCCTCTACTCTCATCCTGCTCAGATGATCCGCAACACCGTTTTCAACTCCTTTCTTGTCTTTGATCTCGAGATCGAACTTCTGTAACAACAACATCCAACGCAACAACCTCGGTTTAGCATCCTTCTTCGCCATCAGATATCTCAAAGCAGCGTGATTTGTATGCATGATCACTTTAGATACAACCAAGTAGCTCCTGAATTTCTCAAACGCGAACACTACAGCAAGGAGCTCTTTTTCTGTTGTTGCATATCAGCTCTGCGCATCATCCAAGGTCCTTCTAGCGTAGTAGATCATATGATGCTTCTTGTCAATTTTCTGTTCCAACACAGCTCCAACAGCATAGTCAGATGCGTCGCACATGATCTCAAACGGATGATCCCAATCAGGAGCTTGAACGACCGGTGCAGAAACGAGGGCTTCCTTGATGAGCTCGAACGCTTCCAAACAGTCAGCGTCGAAAACGAACTCTGTCTCCTTACACAGCAATTTGGTCAAAGGTCGCGCAATTTTTGAGAAGTCTTTGATAAACCTTCTGTAAAATCCAGCGTGATCCAGGAAGCTTCTGATCTCCTTGACCGTCTTAGGCGGCTGCAGTTGCATCATGACCTTGATCTTGGCTTTGTCGACCTCGATCCCGTTCGCAGAAATCTTGTGACCCAACACTATCCCTTCTGTGAGCATGAAGTGACACTTCTCCCAGTTCAGCACCAGATTGGTCTCTTCGCGCCTAGATAGCACCATGCACAAGTTCAGCTAACATAAGGAGAAGGAGGAGCCATAGACTGAGAAATCGTCCATGAAGACTTCCACCATCTCCTCGATCAGATCCGAAAAAATGGAGGTCATACACATCTGAAAAGTAGCAGGTGCATTGCAAAGACCAAAAGGCATCCTCTTATATGCAAATGTTCCATAAGGACAAGTGAAGGTGGATTTTTCTTGATCATTAAGATGAATTGGAATTTGAAAGAACCCAGAATAACCATCAAGAAAACAGTAGTAGGGATGATTAGCTAATCTTTCAAGCATTTGATCAGTGAATGGCAATGGGAAGTGATCTTTCCTAGATGCAGAATTCAATTTCCTGTAATCTATGCACATCCTATGTCCTGTTATAGTTCGAGTTGGTATTAATTCATCCTTCTCGATTTTAATCACAGTGATGCCACCTTTTTTAGGAACACAATGCACTAGTGAAACCCAAGTACTATCAAACATAGGATAGATCACACAAGCGTCAAGCAGTTTAAGAATCTCCTTTTTAACTACTTCTTTCAAGTTGGGATTCAATCTCCTATGTGGTTCGATGCTACAATGTGATTCGTTTTCGAGGTGAATCCTATGTGTGCACAAAGTAGGTGAAAGTCCCTTAATGTCATCAAGCGAATAACCTATAGCTCTCCTAAACTTCCTCAATTCAATCAAGAGTGAATCTAACTCATCAGCACTAAGGGAATCATTGACAATCACAGGATAAGTCGAATGAGAGCCTAGAAATGCGTACCTTAGCCCTTTCAATCGAGCTCTGTGTCGGAGGGGTCGAGCTCTGTTTCTGAGAAGTGCAGATCGATTGGGATGGTTGAGCGCGAACTAGATCTGTCGTTCCTGCAGCCATGATTTCTGCACTCGATCCAACCATATCCTCGAACACATCTGCGCCCTTCACTGCTTTGTGAGAGTCCAGCAACTTCTCATAGCAGCCAGTTTCTTTGTGAAGCTACCCATCTTCACTCTTCTTAGTCAGAGCAGTCTGCAGGTGATCTTCCACAACCAATTCCTCTAACAACTCGTCAGCTAGCTTATCCATCATCTCAATGTAGAAAACCTGCCCGTCGATCGTCGGCTTTCTTATCAAGTCCTTAATATCGAACCTCATACTTAGATCGTCTCCCAAATTCAGATCGATCATGCCCTTCCTCATATCCATGACTGCTCCAGCTGTAGCTAAGAAAGTTCTTCCCAAGATGAGAGGATCCTTCGGCTCTTCGTCCATCTCTAAAACTACAAAGTCTGTTGGAACATCAACGTTACCAATTCGAACAGGTAGATCCTCTAGAATGTCGTGGGAAATCCTAACGCTTATGTCTGCCAGGGCAAGAGAGATCTGGCAAACTTTGTACCTGGTAAACCCCAGCTTCTTCGCAACTGAAAGAGGCATCAAACTGATCGAAACTCCTAAATCGCACAGATTGTTCTTGAAAGATAGAGGACCGATCGAGCAAGGTAGCATGAACGATCTTGGGTCTTCCAACTTCTTTGGGATCGATTTCCTCTGAATTATAGCGCTGCATTTGTGACTTAGAACCACCATTCCCTGTACTTCCTTCGTTCTTTCCAGAATCAAATCCTTGAGAAATTTCTGATATGGTGGGATTAGCATGAAGGCGTCCAGCAACGGCATCTTCACCTCGATTTCGGCCATCTGTTTATCAAACAAGGCCTTATACTGTTTAGTCAACTGCTTCTTGAATCTACCTGGAAAAGGCATCGGCGGTTTATAAGGAGGAGGAACAAAGGCAGTCTCCTTCTCTTTAGAAACAGGTGGTTTTTCAGCTTGCGTAGGTTGAGCGGTCTCGCTTGCAGGAACTCGATCGAGCTCCCCTACTAGTGGGGTGTGTTCGTCTGAAACTTCGTCTTCAACGGAAACCTCATCTGAACCCAACTCCTCCCCTCCTTGAGCATTTTTGACCTCAGTGATTATAGAACGGCCTTGCGGGTCGGGTAGCGCCTTCCCACTTCTCAATGTAATAGCGCTGGTCGAGTGCGTATACTCCTTCGGGTTTTGAACAGATTTGACAGGGAGCTGTCCGGTAAGTTTGGCTGTGGAGGTGAAAGCTCGATTGCTTTCGATGAATTGGACCCTAGAGTTCAATGCTTCGAGCTTGGAGTTGAGATCATTGTAGGTGCCGTCGAGCTTGTGGTGAATCTCTGCAAACTTTTTACTGACGTCCATTACTCCATTAGCTTGGCCTTGCAGAATTTGCTGAAGCATTATCTTCACGTCGATCTCAGGTGCTGCTGGACCAATCGATTGCGGCTGAGGTTGAAATCCTGGTGGTGCTCCAAATGTCTGCTTTTTGGGGAATTCTACTTGGAACTGCTGCCTTGGGACGAACATATTTTTCTGTGGGAAAGGAGCGAAGTTCTTGGCTGGTGCTTGCTACTGTTGAGGGTATACTTGATCCCAGGGGTTGGCCACGTTTGTGCTTCAGTAAGATAGATTGGGGTGTTGTTTGTATGGGACAAACCCCTTTGTGAAACCTCCTTGATTTTGGATGTAGCATAGCTCCTTAGTGGAGGGATTGATCTCCCCTTCTTGAATCAGATAGTCGCCCTCCTCAGTAACGAAGTGAACTGGTTTCTGCTGAACCACTAAAAGCTTATTGAGCTTCTCGTTTAGGGCCTTGATCTCCTTGCGGTGCTTCTCATCGGATTCGATCCAACCCCTCTGAGTATGGTCGTAATCTTTATTATAGGTCCCGCATGATTGTGCCAGATCCTCAACTAGTTCCCAACCTTCCTGAACATCCTTGTTGAGGAAGTTGCCATTGCTCGATGTATCAAGCATCTGTTTGATTCTGGGTGGCACAGCTCTGTAGAGAGTGCTGAGAAGCGACTCCATGCTGAATCCGTGGTGAGGGCACTGATTAGTGTAGTTCTTGAAGCGCTCCCAAGCTTCAGAGAACGTTTCTCCATTCTTTTGAACGATTCCAGAGATTTCGTTCCTAAGCCTTGCAGTTCTGGAGGGAGAGAAGAACTTGGCGAGGAAGGCTTTCTTACAGTCGTTCCAAGAAGTGATGGATCCCTGAGGCAGATTTTTCTCCCATTGATGAGCTTTGTCCCCTAGAGAGATTGGGAACAAACGCAGCTTGAAACCGTCTTTAGTGACTCTATTGATTTTGGTGAGGACACAAAGTCGATCGAACTCATCCAGATGGTCGAGTGGGTTTTCCATAGGGAGTCCATGAAACTTGTTGTTTTGAATCATGGAGATGAGATCGGGCTTGATCTCAAAGTTGTTGTTCGCCACAGCTGGAGGAACGATCCCCTGTCTCTGAACGTGTGTGTTCGGTGCATCACCGGCTCCAATGCATCGTGCTACTCTCTGGACTGGTGCAGCTGCCGGGTTATTTTTCTGCAGATCTTCACCTGGTGGTGCTCGATTCTGCGTATTCAGATTCTGCGGGTTCTGATCGTGTTGATCCATGTCAACTCGATTCAGCTTATTTCCGGTTTTTCTTCTCCTTTGTAGCTTGTTGATGTTCGAGTTGAGCAGGATCAAATTCTTATCCTTACACGATCGAGTAGTGTGCATGCAAGGTCAGAATGGATCTAGTGTACATGAGACAATCAAAAACAAGCAGGAGAAAAGGATAATACGTAATGACAAATATAAATTAAACGAACTTGATCTCAAGTTTCCTGAGATCCTGAATATAACAATCAAACACCCAAATGGCAATGGCACCAAATTGATACTAGGATTTTACTATCAGTGATCCTAAAGCATGTATCTATCGCAGTAGTACTTTAGGTATCAATCCAATCAGGTGTGATGCTAGCAATCAAGATGTGACAGAACTATTTAATTCAAGCCAAATCTATCAGGTGGTTGTGACAGTGAGCTTAAGAGATCGAGTTGTTAAACAACTCGATCGAGCTTAAACAAAAGTGAAACAAATAACAGTTAACCAACTCGATCGAGTCAGCGAGGAATGCAATCGAATCAAAGCAAGAATATAACAGTTGCAATTATCAGAGAAGAATCAAGCTCCTAAGGATGGGGTAATCGATCTGTAACTACTCCTAACGTGATCTCGTCGCTTAACAAACCCAAGCACGGGCTAATCCCTCAACAACGAACTCAATAAACAAGATCAATTCACTTCCATGAAAGAGACCAACAAACCTAGTGATTTCTCAAGACCTAATCATTAGCGAGGAAACACAAGCAAGCATTAAGAACAAGTTTGATAGAGTCAAAGTACTCTCTAGACATCTAATCCCTTAGGCTAGAACAGTAAATCTCTGGATCAGCTGGTTCAGACATCTCATCGAACACCGAGTGAGTATGGAGATGTCTAAGATCCAGATCCAAGTTATCAGAAAGAATCTGGCTTTAAGATCACTAATCCAGAAGGGATCGATTGGAAAACAAAACTTAAGCAACTCAATCATGCTACGATTCGTTACAAATCTATCCCATCCTCAGAAACTTAAAGGTAACTACTATCTAGAACTCATGAGACGGAATTCAAATCAACAGAGATAGATTGCATAATCAAGAGCAACAAAGAGATAGATTCGAGAACGAAAAAATACTTGAGACACAAAAGAAATCTGAATACAATTTCTCCAATGAAAACGATGGATCCTAGGTTGGAGGCGCACCTCTCTGGTTTTGATACTCTCGAAAAAACCTAGTGTTTTAGAAAAATGAAAAATAAAATAAAAAGGGAAAAGTTGGCCGGAACAAGCACTGGGTCGGTTCACTTAATGGGCTGGATCGATTCCGTCAGAATGTGGGCCTCCTCACTTGACTCTGACTCTATCTCTCAGGTTGGGCTCCAGCGCGATCTCTTTCAGCTCGATCACTTTCGCAGTTGACTCCAGCGCGACCTCTGCTACTCCATCATTGCACTCGATCTCCTCCACTCGATCACTCCACTCCACATCTCCAGAAAACACCTAAAACTGACACAAATGTACAAGATGCGACAGTGCTAGTCCTAAATACACTAAATGCGAAATATGAGTGAAGATGAGTGAAAAGCAATGCAAATGAATGGTTATGAATGCAAAAATATATGCAATCGAGTGCTAAAAACATACAAAGTATGAACACATCAAAAACGCCTCAACCCAATACTTTGATGGCATCTTGCTCTGAAACAGCATAGATAGACCAAGTTCTATAACATCCCAGTTTATGATAAATGAGGAGAGGCTTAAGAGAATTGATTTGGCTACCTATGTCAACAAAGTGCACTTACCTTTTCGGTCAAAGGTCTATAAGTAACTCCAGAGTTAAGCGTGCTTGGGTGGAGTAGTTGAAGGATGGGTGACCTTTTCGGGAAGTGATTTCCGAAACCGTGTGAGTGAGGCCAAAACACGGGGAAAGGTCGGGTGTTGATTGCAGGGATAGTAAACAAGTCATTAGAGCCTCTCAAAAATAACGGACCGGCCGTGGACAGGGGTGAGGCCCACGGGCCGAGCGGGGCCTGCGGGTCCAGAGAGAGGGCGTGGGTGACTCACCGGAGGGGCGGTCGGGGCGTTATAATTTGGTATCAGAGCCAAACCCAGACGAGAGTGTGGAGTCAAGTTGAAGTGGCCTTGACTCACACCGTCAGGGGGTGACGATCCAGGTGCGCAACGAGGACGTTGCGCGCATTGAGTGGGGTGAGTTGTAACATCCCGGTTTGTGATAAATGAGGAGAGGCTTAAGAGAATTGATTTGGCTACCTATGTCAACAAAGTGCACTTACCTTTTCGGTCAAAGGTCTATAAGTAACTCCAGAGTTAAGCGTGCTTGGGCTGGAGTAGTTGAAGGATGGGTGACCTTCCGGGAAGTGTTTCCGAAACCGTGTGAGTGAGGCCAAAACACGGGAAAGGTCGGGTGTTGATTGCAGGGATAGTAAACAAGTCATTAGAGCCTCTCAAAAATAACATAGGACAGGGGTGAGGCCCACGGGCCGAGAGGGACCTGCGAGTCCAGAGAGAGGGTGTGGGTATTATAAAGCTGGATGTCCCTTCTTACCACAAATCTTACACACTGGTTTCGACTTTCATAGAACTCAGCTGGGGCTACCTCATAATTCATAACACAAAATGGAAGTAAGTAACAAAGAAACTCTAGTTGCAAAAATTGGAAAAAAAATATAATTATTCTATAGAGAAAAGGAAATAGTAACAAAAAGTTAAAAGAATCGAAAACCGAGTACAATATGTATGACTTTTATAAAGCTTCAAAGTTCACAAACGAAGAAAAAAAAAATGGAATATGTAGATTTATAAATGGAAGTGACCCCGAAAATATGTAAAAACAACAACTATATTTATAAACAGCATCGATATGATTTCTTGCAGGGTATGAAAGAGCTTTCTTTCTCTCTACCATAAGATACAAAACATTTAAGACCGTCAGAATTTCAAAACCATGTTTCTTGGGCTTTTTCGTGTCCCAACTCTTCGTTGCTCTAGTAGTAATCTCCAGCTGTTTTCGCTGCTGCTCTTCCGTGTGCGTCCCAGCGGCTGAAAAGACAAAGGATTCTGTTTTCGATTTGGCGCTGAACTCGGTGGTGAAAGTCTTTTGCGAATCTACCAAGTCCAGCGTTTTACAACCTTGGCAAAAAAGGAAGCCGCAACAAAGCAGTGGCTCTGGTACTTATCTCTCTTTTGTGAATATTTCTTTTGTATATTTTCAAAACAGTCATCTGTAGGAACAACGCTTACGTATTGATGCCTTTGGAAATAGATTAATCATCAAATATTTACGAATTAGAATTTAGATCATGTTCTCATGTTTTCGGTATTTTTGAGAAATGCTACAACCGAAAAACCCTAATTTTTCGGATAAGCTTCTCCTTTTTTCACCGACCCAATGTGTGTGTGTTTTCTTGGTTCCTTAATTAGGTTAGCTATTATGTGCCTTCATCTGTTTTTTTTACTTTGTATAGTTTAATTCATATCTTGACTTGTAATTGATGTAGGGTTTGCAATATCAAGAAATAAGATTCTTACGAACGCTCATGTTGTGGCTGATCACACATACGTGCAAGTAAGAAAGCACGGTTCACCAACAAAGTACAAAGCAAAAGTTGAAGCAGTTGGTCATGATTGTGATTTGGCTATTTTAAAAGTCAATTGCAAGGATTTTTGGGAGGATATGAAGCCCCTAGACCTCGGAGACGTACCTTCTCTCTACGAAACTGTGTTTGTTGTTGGATATCCTCGAGGTAAAATTTAGATTGTCGTTTTATTATTTACAAATATCGTCGGATGATATTTTCGTAAATATTAGGGTATATTATAGTTCATTTATCGCGATTAAAAACTTGAGTTATTAATTTACGTTAAGTGATAAAAATTACTAGTTAATTTACGGTATGGTGCTCACTTGTAGGTGGTGACAACATTTCGATTACGAAAGGTATAGTCTCAAGAGTTGAAGTTACAAAATATTCTCACAGCAAAGCTAAGCTAATGACAATACAAATCGACGCGGCTATCAATTCTGGAAACAGTGGGGGTCCAGTTTTCATGGAAAACAAAGTTGTTGGTGTACCGTTTCAAGGTCTTTCATCTTCAGAGAATACAGGGTAAGTTGATTGAAACTGTACAAATCTTTTCAATATTTTGAGTTATTTTTAAAAAATCTTTGGTGATTTTCATATGCAGCTATATTATCCCAACTCCAGTAGTTAAGCACTTCATATGTCGTGTTAAAGAAAATGGTGGATTGGACGGGTTTTGCTCGTTGGGTATATGGTGTCAGCATATGGAGAACGCTTTGATCCGTAATTACTTCAAGATGACCAGTGAAATGACTGGAATTCTAATAAAAAGAATAAACCCGTTGTCGAGTTCTTACGGTATTCTTAAAAAAGATGATGTTCTTCTCTCAGTCGACGGCGTTCCAATTGGAAATGACGAGACAGGTAACACTTGTACTATATATATATATATATATAGCTTTGCTCAGTCTGGATTCGTTGGTTATATTAGTTGACATGTTTATTTATTTGTTTTACAGTTAGTTTTCGGAAAAAAGAACGAATAAACTTCAATCATTTGGTCTCTATGAAGAAACTGGGTGAAACAATATCACTAAAAGTCTTGAGAGATGGGAAACATCATGAATTCAATATCAATACAAAACCCGTAAGTGAAACAACGTACATTGTCTCTTTGAAATCTTAATTAGCTTTTTTTTTTTTGGAACAACTTATATATAATTAGTTTTGTTACATTATATATAAATATATTGGCTATGTTCACACTTTGTGTTGTTATCTATTAGGTGCAACCACTTATCCCAGCATATGAATTCGATAAGCAAACAAGTTATTACATACACGCGGCTTACGTCTTTTTGCATCTCACTAAGCCATACATTGACGCTTCTGGCATTGAGGACAGTATATTACAATATACGCCCAAATATGCTGATGAACAGATCGTCGTAATTTCTCAGGTCTGTTTTTTTCTTTCTTGTCCAAGAACACATCATTTTATATTGTCCTGTCTCAAACGTCACTCAATCATAAAACCCTTCATATTCCTCTGTTAAGTTTCTTGGACCATTCAACTCAAAACCAATTGGCAATGAGTAGAGTGGTCCAAGTCGGTTAAATAGTCTCACATTCTTAAACTTGCTACAATAACCAATTTTTTTTCTTCTTAAGTTTTTTCATGTTGACTTGTTAGCAAGAATGAGGATATAATTTAGTGATTCTAACAGATATAAGAAAGATTTCAAGCATCATAATTTGTCTCCTTTTTTTTTTTTTTTTAGGTGTTAAAGGATGACATCAGTGTAGGATTCACTATTTTCGAAGATTTACAGGTAACGTCTGTTCTCAAATAACTGAACTTTATATATAGATAATAGTTGTATACTCTTAATGAAGTTTTTCTTTGATATTTCTGGTGGAAACAGGTAAAAAAAGTGAATGGAGTACGAGTGGAGAATCTGAAGCATTTACGTCAGCTCATAGAAGAATGTCCCACAGAGAATTTGAGATTGGACTTAGAGAATGATAATACCATCATCATCACCAGCCACGAATCTGCCAAAAACATCACTCCTAAGATTTTGAAACGTTACGGAATACCAACGGCCATGTCTAAGGACCTAGTCCAATCTAAGCTAGAAAAAAAATGAAGATTAGTTGTTTAGTTTCTTTTTCCTTTCTGCCAAGTCAAATGATAAAAAAAAATGTGATTTTACTAATTATACTTTATTCCTTTGGTGGGTTTTCGATTTGTATTCAAATTATGTCTATGGATTTGCATTCTATCAATTTCTGATCAACAAAGAATTCTTTGTTCGAACAAGACTTGTGATTTAGTGAGTAAGTTATAAATTATGTCACACTGAGTGAGGATAAAAACTAAAGCATCAACCTAGTGGTAACTGGTAAGTATTGGTCCTTCATCTATGTTGTAATCCTATTGAGTGACCTCCAAGGAAACACAACAAAGGAGAACAACATGTAAGTCTATGGACTGGAGTGTACTGTATGGGACAATCTTTGCCCAAAAGTTATAGACTTTGACCTTGCTAAGCTTTTTGAGACGGAAAGCATTGCACGTAAAGTGTTTTCCAGAACCCACAAATAAAATGTGTATAACTAAAGAACGTATGTTCTTAAAATGATAGGAGCAAAGAACCAAACAACCACTAAAGACTCTTGCATCAAATACAAAGCTCAATCTACTTTCCTGAATGGATTTTAAAGGATCTTGAGCTAGAGAACTTTGGATGTTAAACCAGCAACGTAACAAAACCATTGGGACTCAACTTTAATCTAGAGAGTCTATTTCTTCTGTGATAAAAATCAGAATACAAAAAGAACGGCGAAAGAGAATGTATCAAGTGATTTGGTGAGAGCAAGAGAAACAAGTTTTTCAACGCATAGACATAGGACGGTCTCTACTTTTTCCCCTCAAGTGGAGCTTTCTGTCTTCTGTTTCTTGGCCTTCTCAATCAAAGGTTTCAACTGTTTCTTCTCCGCAAGAAGTTTGAGAAAGTTGAACAAAAACGGAATGTAGTTGTGCTTCCTCCTAATGTTCTCTGTTCTCCATTTCATGAACTTCTCTTCTTCCATTACAATCTTATCACTCACAGCTTCGATCCCACTATTCACCTCACCAATCAACAGCTCAAATGCTTCTGCGCCGCTTTTGTCAGACCCAGCCATCTCCTGCAACATCTGTTCCCTCTGCTTTTGAAGCTCCTTGAGTTCCTCTGTGTAGATATCCTTCCTGTTCTTGATGACAGCCAAGAGACTGAACCTGATCTCGCTCTGTGAGTATCTCTCGATCCGTTCTTGGATCACCGGTTGAACCATTTGCAGCCATTCAATACCAGTTTGGTCACCAGGGCATGGACCAAGACTGATAGGTCCTTCCTTGAGACCATCAAGCTCGTACAAGACTCCATCCACAGGTATGTAGCTTATGAAATGGTAAACGTCATCGCCTTTCGTAGCAGTTTTCTGTTCCTCTGGGACAAATGGTTCAGGCCTTGCGAAACTGTTGTGAGCAGCCCTTATAGCGTCGCTGTTATTGATAGCCAATCCCTTGAGATCAGATGGGAAGTTCTTGGTGAATTCTTTCAGCGTCGATAGCTCAGGGCCGATGTCAACGTCTGGAGAGTTCAAGAGGATAGAGAGGATCGCTTGAGTTGCACAAGCATTGTTAATGACCTATACATGAATAGAATGCTTGAGATTAAGATTGAAAAAAAAAAAAAAAAAAGAGCTCTTATGCATTTGTTAGCAATTCGAACCTGGTTTGCGAAGAAAAGGTTAGACACGGGATCTTGGATTGTTGGACGATCATCTTTTACTCCAGCTTGCCATTTGAAAAGAAATATCAAACCGTAGACGGGTCTACAAGGCAGCCACAAAAGCGTAGATGAAACATACAAGTAAATAATCTAACTCAATTACGTTCCATTCCAAAATAACAAGCACCGAAACTCAGGAGGAGGTATATAATTTCGGAAGTCACTACGCACCTGAGGTTATTGAGAGAGTCAATATCCAGAGAATACAATTCTTCAACCTACAGAACAAGAGTCGAAATTAAAAGAGATTGAAATAATCCAGAACAAGTGGTAAAGGCTGACACAGGAAACCGCTGCAATAGCTAATTTCATCTGTTGATGATGCATTTGGAAATCCAAAACGAACGAGCATGGATAAAGGTTATATGACAGAACAGACATGAAACAACTCAGACACTTAATTCAGAAGGTAACTAAAGGCCATGAGCAAGAAAAAAATTCACATACTTCATGACTATACGGCAAGAAGCACATTGCATCACCATTCCTATACTTCTACTTCTAAGATTCTCAAGAGAGAGAGATGACTTGATAGAGCTCGTATACATCATGAATAAATTTCTCAAACCACATGTATAACGCAAGAATATGCATCACTCAATTCCCCAAAATTGACATCTAAAACAGATATACTACTAAGAGTATAATTACCTGCACTCCTTTGACTTGCATTTGTTGAATAAGCTCAGTGAATACACCTGTACATATATACACAAACATAAGCAAAAACACAAAGATTGATATACAGTGCGACGAATATATAACAACACAGAGATCATCAACAAAAGCAGACTAAACACAGTTTACAGTGTACAGAACCATTTAACACTTATTCTTACTCTATATGCTCAAATATCATTAAACCGGATATGAATCAACTCCAATCAGATCTTCAAATGCTAAGATTGAAGTCAAGTAACCTTATGAAAGTTTGAGATACTGTTCTATGTTGAACATAGTAACCAATAGTACCAAACCCACTCACATAGACTCATTCACATACAATCAAGTCTACTTAAGAACTCACAGAGAGTAAGAACATCACTAGGAACATAAATTGTACACCTTTTCATCAAACAAACAAAATTCAAACTAAGATTTAACATCTAAAGCATCGAAATTTAAGTTCTAACTAACAATTCAATGAAGTAAGAATCATTTTGAGCACAAACCCAACTCCGTCATCCACTATATTCTCCGCCGCAAGAGAAATAAAGCAATACGGAGGAGAGTAACATACCGGGATCCGACTCGATCGTGCACCAAGACATGACGAAACTAAACTAGAGGAGAAAAAGGATTCGCCTTTCGAATTTTTGCTCGAATCGAAGGAGATAAAAGGAGATCGCTTTCGTGAAATCCGATTTGGGAATTAGGGTTTAACTTCGTTTTCTCAGTGACTCTTTGCCCGATTTTTATTTTATTCTCTTTTTGTTTTAAATAGTCTCTTATCGTGCTTTTTTTTTTTCTCTCGAGTTAGTGGTTCGTTCGTGTGTGGGTTAATAATCCTAATAAGATTTTAATTTGTTTTTTTTCGTATTAAGTGGAAAACACAAAATGACAAACAAAATAAATTTAAATTTCAAGTTTTTCAATATGAATTTAATTTAATAGTAAAGACTACAAATTACAAAAACAAACTATCTTTATATAGCTGAATGTGCACAATATGATTATAATATGATTATGATACGTAGGATTTTTATAATTCTCAAGATCACAACATATGTTTTTTCTTAATTTCTGAAGTATCTAAGATTGTGACATATATTATGAAATAAGAAAATAAGAAAATAAAAAAATTAATAGATATAACCAACAAGAATCAGAAAACAGGAAACAAAAAATTAAAAAGAAAAATTATTACATACATTAGGAAGAGGAAAGAAAAAAAATATATTCTCACTTCAATAAGAAAAGAAAAACTACGAAGTTGACTTCTAAAAATACTCTCAAAGGCGCTCTTCTCGAGGTTCGGCGTTCAGCCGTGTAGTCAAGTCGCTTTCCTCCATCGTTTCCCACACCTTTACCCAAAGTAGAATTTTTTTTCAAACTCCCTTTTGATTATGAGCTAGCCCCACCGTGGTTCAGCCCCCACCTACGGGTCGGAGGGTCCTTCCTACCGCCGGTAAGTTCCCTTCCCCTACCAAACGACACTTAATCTTCACTTTGGCTTCACTTCTTCTACTGAGACAACATCGGAAACAAAGTTGCATCCCTCTTAGCACCGGCTACTCTTAATACGCTTCTCTGTTTCGGCTACTGCATCTCCCATCTATCTGACTAACGAACCTCCTCACCGGCTATCGTACCGGAAAGTGAACCTTTCAAGCAACCATGGCAAGACGCTTTTCCTACGCAGAGAAAGGGAAGGCTCTGACCTCTCCATGGCTCCGCCACCACGTAAACGTATACGAGCACGAGCACCAGAGCTAGATACCACCGATCTGGTCCATCAGAATTCACTTACACTCATTGGACGGCTCACCAACCCGCAAGAACAAAGAATGTGGACAATGATTCCTTACATCTCTAGCCGCTGGGAACTCCAAGGAAGAGCTGTGGGATCTGACCTTGGTAACCACTGCTTTCAGTTCAGATTTGACTTTGCAGTTCGCGAGATGGATGCTCATCCTCCAAAAGTGGAAGCCAATCATCTCCTCAACGTTTCCATCCTAGATCCCTTTGTGGATTCAACTCAAAGGCCTCCCCCTGCACTACTGGAAGAAAGAACTACTCAGCAACATCGGCAAAGAAATAGGAGACTACAAGGAACAACTACTCACTAACCTAACTGCAAAGATCAAAGTCGAAATCAACGGTCTACAACCCCTCGTCAAAGATGTAATAACAGAGTTTGAAGGAGGCCAAGAAGCTCTAGTTACGTTTGAGTATGAAAACCTAGGCAAGCATTGTTCCTACTGCTACAGTCTAAGCGATGAGGTGGAAACATGCCTGGAAAAACCGTCAACGAGATTGCAAAAAGAGGGTCCTGCTAGATCTACAGAGAGAGATAGACACCTCACCTCTAAAGCTGGTAAGCTAGCAGAGCAGCGCCCTTTCAACTTGCGTCGAGATCGACACGGGAGACCTTTTGGTGTTAGACCTTCTTCAAAGAGGATGGAGAATGTACGACCCACTGAACCCGACCACCCCAGGAATCTCACCGTGGAGCCACTACAAACAAGACGCCAACAACCACCAAATATCTCACCTCCCTACAAGAGAAACCGCCTAGACCCCTCCACCCACCAAAGCCGACATGACCAAGAACCTGCTAGAACTGATCCAGGTCTAGGTCACCCAGAAGCCTCAAGGAGACCCAAACTACTGAACACACCAACACGCCAAATCTGGAGAGAGAAACCACCAAGCTTAGTAGACCAAACTGACGACATCTCCACTACTCTACTACCTATACAGATTACCGGACGAAACCTGGAAATAGAAGCTTTCACACCACCCGAACGCATACGCTCTGAAGCCGACATTATGTCTTCTCTCCAGGAAGTCACAGTGCAGTACACTAATGTTGATGACCCAATAGAGAGAGCAGCCCGAACGCAGCGAGTCCTTGAAGGTGAAGCTCGGGGCCTTATGACAGATAGTGCAAGATCCATTTTCAATGCTCAAACGTCTCAACAACACAACGTTATTCCGAGCTCGGGAGAGAAATTTCTCATCATTCTGCTGGAAGGGGGAGATGAAAGAACAGATAACCAGCTTCCCACACACACTCAGGAGAAACCACGGAGACCAAGGGGACGACCACCTACAAAGAAACCAAACCAGAACATCAATGCTACAGAGGCAGGACCAAGCAAAAGAAAAGGGAAACAGAGTAGAATCTCACCGTTCTTACGAATATCCCCACTGCCGAGGATCATTCAGACCCGTACCCCTCCAGTCTCTCACAATCATGGTACCCGACGCAACAGGGTAACCCTACACCGAGGAGCTACAGGACCAGCAACACCATCTTCAGTTCCACTACCGACCACCATCATCCCAGCGACCCGGAAAGCAATGAGGAAGGTGATGATAGGATTTGTGTGTGGGTGTGAAAGATATGAAATGAGATGTGGTGGAATGCAACAGTGGTAAATGATGAGGTGGTAAGATGCAAACACAAACACAGTCAACAATTCCCTTTAACCATGATAGTTGTTATAGCATAAAGGGTATCAATCCAAAATGGGAGAAGTTGTCACTCTATGAGAATATGAAAACAAGGAAGTCAAGCAAGCAGTAATAGATATGGGGTAACACTAACAACCTAAAAAATGAAATGCAATGCAGAAATAGAAAGAAAAGCAGTAAAGCAACAGCTCGACCAAGGACTCGAGTCGAGTTGGAACAGAGTACCGAGCTCGATCGAGTTTAGGGTCGAGTTGAAGTAAAAAGCAATAAAGGCAGCGACTTTAACAAGCTAACGAGAATTAGGGTTCAAGACAGGGTTTTGCAATAGGGAAGCTACACTTAATCGATCTGCTCTTAAAACTCCTTGTATCAAGGCTTCTCTTGATATTGGGCTTCTCAATGCCTAGCCAACCCTTTCCCAAGGTGGAGGCTATCAACCAAGGAATGATCTCAGAAACAGGGGGTTAGCCAGTGAGAATCAAACCTTGGAGGCCATAGGATCATTGCCCAAACTAATCCATCCAACCCCTTGAAATCCATTTCGAGAGCAAGAGTTATTGGAGCTCTTAGTGGATATTTTCCAGCGATTTCCATCACTTCCATGTGGAGAATCGCCTAATGACATACAAGCCAGGGGTAGTGGTCATGTAGCCTTAAGATTTATCCAAAAGAGAGAGAATCTAGATTAAGACCATAAGCAAGAAGGATTAAGCATATGAAACCCCTAATCTATCCCATCTCAAACCCTAATGGGTAACTACTCACTACACATGAATGTAAACAAAGCAAATGCAATTGAAATAAACATCAAATGAAAGAGGAGATAAAGATAAACAACTTTTATTGAAATAAGCAAGTGCAAATACAAAAGAGATTATCCAGGATCTAGGATTCAAGAAGCAAGAGCTTCAAGAACACAAAGATGGGATTAGAGCTCTAAAAAGTAAAAGACAATAATTAAAAAGAAACTAAAACAAAAAGTAATCTAATGTATGTGGTAGCCATGAGTTGAAATCAAATGCAAGCATTGGTAATTAAAGATCAAATTATGGTTCAAATAGATTAGGGAGATGCATCAAATCACAGCAATGGTTGAATGAGATGTTGATGCAGTGATATGATCAAGATAAACATGGTACTTGCTGCTCAATCAATCTCACCCTAATGCACAAGAGAATCTAGAAGATGGGCACTTAAGAAATCGCAAATGATAGACAAGTTTTCAAGATCAAATCAATAATGCAAATGAAAGATGCAATCCTAAACAATTCTAAGAGATATGAATGCAAAAAGATGAAAATATTTTTGTATTTTTGAAAATTTTATGATTTTTTTGGTTTTTCTATGCAAATAGAAGTATGAAAAACTAAGAACAGAATAAACAAGGTTAAATCATCTCTTGAACCCTCCCCCAAACTTAAATCACACAGTCCCTTGTGTGAAAGAAGCACAAAGAAAGATTCAAGAGGGAAAAACAAAGAAAAATGCATGAAAATGAGATGGTATGTACAAGGGAATAAACGTTTGATACCTTAGTGCTCCCCAAAGAACTGGGAAGCAAGGTCATGAGTTGGAGAGGGCAGGAGACAATAGCATCATAACGGCATCAATCAAGCCAAAATAGGTGTGGTGAGATTGGACTCGATCGAGTCTGTTGCTCGAGTCAGAATAGCTTCCCTTTTGAACTAACTCCTGCAAGCCTTAGACAGAAACAACTACAAAGAACTTAAATGAAAGTATTATATACAAGATAGACATGGGAATTCCTCCCAAGTGAGCTTGTTTTAGGTCGCATAGCTTGACCTTTTACCTTTTAGGCATGAATGAGAGCGGTCCCGCCATCAAATGTGACAGTAAGGACTGAAGATAGGAGCTCCTTGAGCTTGGTTTGATCTTTTTGCAGCTCAGGACTGACCAAGGCATTGATACTGGAAAACGGTTTAGACTTTCTCTTGCACTTGATCTTGTACTCAATCTTCCCATTTGTGAACTTGGATGGCAACAGAGTCAGGGTAAGCTGGGATGGAGCGCTTGAGAGAGTCTGAGGCGTGATCATCTTTTTTTTATGTCCAGGAGACGCCTTCAAAGCCATACCCTCCCCATCTTTTTGAGCACTTCCTAGCTGCTCACTAAACAAAACTGCAAGACCCATCTCATCCAGAACACAAGGTTCACAAATAACTGGCTCTGTGCTGCTCTCAGTCATAATCTCCATCTTTTCAACCTCAGCAAACTCATCACCCTTGATGCTCAGTGACTTAGTGGCAATGGTTCCACAATATTTAGAGCTTGATGCCTTGAGAGGGTAAGAGACTTTGCTGTTGACATTGTGCAGGATCACTTTCTTTGTATGGAAATCAATGGAGGCACCAACAGTGGTGAGGAAAGGTGTCCCTAAGATCAATGGCACATCCTTCTCGTCAACCATATCCAGAACTGTTAGATCAATTGGGATTGTGCACTCTCCAATTCTCAAAGGGAAATCCATGACAATACCAAGTGGGGCTTTAGAAGAAGCATCCCCAAACATGATAGAAGACTTAGGTCGCTGGATCAGACTCTGTATACCCAATTTCTGTATTAGAACAAGAGAGATCAGATTGATACTTGCTCCAGAATCAACAAGTGCATCCTCAAGTTGTAGGTGACCAAGTGTACAAGGCAGAGTGAAGCTTCCCTGACCATTCAGCTTGGGTAGTGAGGTTGGTGTGGATAAGAGATCACCCTGGGAAGAAGAGGGCTCCAAAAGCTGAGCTACTTCGTCCTTGTTATCAAGTATGTCCTTAATCATCTTCTTTTGGACATGAGCAGCTTGAAAACTTCGTCCTTGTTATCAACATTGTCTTCATTATTAAGCAGCATACAGATCTCCTCAATATCCTTCTCATTAGCAGCTTGTTGATCAAATCCTTCCTCTTGAGTGAAGATCGCTCTACAATGCTCCTTTGGATTCTGAACAGCCTTTCCAGGAAATTGACCTTGCTTAGCAGCAGAAGAAGAAGCATGGTGTTCCAAAGAGTGAACTCTAGTGTTCAAGGATTCAATCTTAGAGTTCATCTCAGCCAACTTCTTGCTTATCTCCATAGCACCATCTGCTTGACCTTGTAAGAGCTGCTTCAACATGGCTTTTATTTCTTGTTCCTGACTTGGTGAAGCCTGAGGCGCTTGAGGTGCATACCCAGTTGGTACACTCTGCTGTTGTCCTTGATAATTTCCCTGATGGCCCTGGAAATTCCCTTTCTGACCATATCCTTGCTGTGGAGGCTGACTCGCTGGAGCTTGTTGCTGCGGAGGGTAGACTTGATCTTGAGGATTGGCAACATCAGTGTTACTGTAGGACATGGTAGGGTGTGACTTGTAGCCATAGTAACCGTTTTGATAACCTCCTTGTCCATTCTTAATGTAGCACACTTCAGCAAACTGATTCTCCTCCTCTTCTTGGCCTTGAACCATCTCTTCTTTAGAAACAAAGTTGGCCTTCTTCATTGTGGATTGAACTAAGATAAGCGTATCCAACTTCTCATTGAGTGCCTTGACATCGTTTCTCAGCTTACTATCAGACTCGATCGAGTTGGAGGTCGAGCTCCTGTTTGTGCGATCATACTCCTCTCCATAGCTCCCACTTGAGTTAGCAATGTTCTCCACAAGCTGCCAGCCATCATCTACATCTTGATTGAGGAAGTTTCCATTACTGGCTGTGTCCAACATCTCTTTGTATCTTGGCAAAACTCCTCTGTAAAGTGTGGAAAGCAAAGACTCATTGCTGAAGCCATGATGAGGGCATTGACTGGTGTAACCCTTGAATCTCTCCCAAGCTTCAGCAAATGTCTCATTGTTCCTTTGAGTGAAACCAGATATCTCGCTTCTCAGCTTAGCAGTGCGACCAGTAGAGAAGAACTTGGCAAGAATCTTGTGAGTCCGGTAAATGAGTAGCAAGCCAATATGCCGATTTGACAGAAAACATTCCATCCTTGTTATAATGCCAACCAAGCAAATCATTTGCAGCATGAGTACATAGCCGAATTGATAATACTGATCGCGGGATCAGGTCTTCCCTTTTCCTATCCCTGATTCTGCAAGTGCACAGATCAAAAGTAGTAAACGGGTATCGAACACAAGGAGCAGATAAGTACACTTCGAGTATTGCAAGTCTAAATAGCTAGAAAACAAGTATGATTTAGGGTTTTGATTGTGTAACAAGTAAATCAAACAGCAGATTAAACGGTTTATGAAAATCAATAGAGGGAAACGCTAGGCAATGAGAAACTCGCAGAGATTCAAGGTTAACAAGATATTAGAAGGTTCTAGGGTTTGCGCTATCTAGAACTCAGGTCACGATTGTATGATCTTTCCACTGTCGAGGCTCCGACCCCTTTGTTAATCTACCTAGTCGCTAAACTTTTGGTATGTCCCTAGGTGATTAAATCAAGCAATAGTTCGTTCAAGACCCAATTGTTCACAAGCATAGATCAACTTTCGCAGTCTATGAAGTTTTGCTCACCAAATACTTAGTTCAGGTTATATAGCAAGCTTTTGGAGAGTATATGAAACCTAAGATCTGATGCTAGATCAGAAAAGCAAGCAGCAATGAATTCAAGCAGAGGCGAAGATGCTATATAAACCCTAGCTTCTAACAACCTATCAAACCATGAACTCTTTGATAGATCTCACAACCTAACTAGTGAATTACTCAGACATGATCAAAGCAAACACACAAGAGATGAAGAAAACATGATTGCAATAAAACAAAGTAGGAAATCGAAATACAAGGGCGGCTCTCTTTCACAAGAGGCTAAAAATCCATATATATAGTGCTAGGTCTTTCTAGAGGCGGCTTAGGGTTAAGCCGGGCTTGAAAATATGAAATTTGGGCTTCAAAAAGGGCTTCGGGTCGACCGCGGCGTTGGGACGGTCGTGCGGGACGATCGGCCGGACAGTCGGGTCGTGGGCGAGTCGGAACGGTCGTGGCCGGATGGATTCACGGTCGGCCGGCGTGGTCGGCGGATGAGATTTGGCCGATGGTTTCTCGGCCGGACGTGGGACGTTCTTTCCCGGCTCGGACGGATGCATCGGCCGTGGTACGCGAACGGGTTGCGCGGCCGCGAGGCTTGTTTCCCGGCTCGCGCGCTTTGGTCGTGCGCGGCGTGGCGTGAGCGTTTGAAGCTTGGCCGACCGCGGGACAATGTTTCCCGGGTCGCGTTGCGTGATCGGCCGGTCGGTTTGGAACTTTGGCCGAGACTTCAGTCGGACGGATGTGATTTGGCCGAGCGCGGAACATAGTTTCTCGGCCAGCCGGACTGCGCGGTTGGGCGCTGTTTCTCGATAGAGCCGTCTGGACAGTCTCCACTCTTTTGGTTATAACTCCTTTTCTACTCATCCAAATGAGGCCATTCCAGTTGCGTTGGAAAGTTAACTCAATCAGAGCACGCAGGGAACTGGTCTTGATGAAATCCATTGAGTAGATCTTTTTCTGGGCCCTCTTAAAGTTGGTGCTTGTGCATGGAGCTGCTTGAAGTGCAAATCCTATGGTTTTGCTCCAAAATGCATCATTTCACCTGTTTAGACTCTAGACACTATAAACACAGTAAAACTACCTTTTTAGATAGAAAACCTGCCAAAAACCATTAGAAAACAATGCTAAAACAGTATAAAAAGTGGGTAAATTAGAGGTATATCAACTCCCCCAGACTTAGATCTTTGCTTGTCCTCAAGCAAAAAGAATCTAAATCCGTGAAAGAGGTTTGAAAACGTGGAAGCTCCCTTGCTCTTTTGAATATCCTGTGAAAGGTTCCTTTCCTGTATTCCACTATGAACATAGACAACATAAGGTTAGCTTCACATACACCCTGCAAGTTTAGCGAACAATACCAACCCAACTAGTCTCATCCAGCAATCCAAACTCTCTATTGCTAACCTCTTGCATAAATTTAAAGCGTGAATTCTTTATCAAGGGGACATCGATCAATTGAACTTGTTCTTACCCACTTGATCCTCTCCAAGATTGCCTCTTTAAGTGCAATGAGTTCTTTTCCTCTCTCTTTCTCACATCAGAACTTTGAAAGGTCAATTTCTCCCTACTTTTCTAGGGTATCATTTTATTTTTTCTATTGACCCTTCTTTCAACCACAGGATAAGTCTTTAGCTTGTTCCTTGTTTGACTAAGGTATTCCATAAGACATGAAGGTACAGACATATGCATTCCTCATGCTTACTTGTTTTCCTTGTGCTCTTTGAGCTTTTTCTCATAAACATTACTTACCATTTGGGATGGGAGAGAGAGGAGAACTCTTTAAAGATTAGACAAATCTCATTGAAAATCAAGCAAGGAACTGTCGACATGTATGCCAACCCCCTTGACAAGAGTAATTAAGATTGATTAAGGGTGAGGTTAACTCTAGATTGCTTGGTTACCTTAGAAATTTTGCTGAGCTAGCATGTCGATCCACTGTAAGAGCTTCTGTTAGGCTTGTGCCTTTAGCTGGTTTCTGCTCTAGGGTCATGGATTGTTAGCATAACACTCTCAATTCTCAAAGCAAGTTCATAACTTCCGGACTGGTTTTTGACTCAATAAAACTTTTTGAAAAACATGAAACAAAGTGAATAAAACATAAGAAAAGAAAGAAAAATGCATTAGTAACACAATAAAACTCCCCCCAGACTTAACTTGCACCGTCCCGGTGAAAGCAAATCACATTAAGGTGAGAGGTAATATTCAAAACAAAAGAAAATTAAAGAAAGAAAATGAAAAGAAATGACCTTCAATGGGTTGCCTCCCATTCAGCGCTTTGTTTAAAGTCTTTAGCTTGACTGTATGGCACTTCTTAAGGATCTGGTGGATCGCCAAGAGCTAGTGTGGTCTCCTGTGGTATGGTGGTGGAGGCTAGGTAAGGTTTTAACCTTTGTCCATTGACTGTAAAGTCTCCTCCCATTGGATCCCATAGTACCACTGCTCCATAGGGGCGAACTTCTTTAATCCTGAATGGTCCTGACCATCTTGAGCGAAGCTTTCCTGGAAAGAGTTTCAACCTTGAGTTGAATAGTAGAACTTGGTCGTTTGGCGCGAAGTTCTTTGGGATGATCTTGCGGTCATGGAAAGCTTTGGTTCTCTCCTTATAGATCTTTGAATTCTCATAAGCTAGATGCCTAATCTCATCAAGCTCATTCAGCTGAATCAATCTTCTTTCTCCTGCTGTCTTTAGGTTGAAGTTCAACTCCTTAATAGCCCAAGCTGCTTTGTACTCAAGCTCCACTGGTAAATGACATGCTTTACCATAAACAAGATGAAAGGGGGTGGTACCAAGTGGTGTTTTGAAGGCAGTGCGGTATGCCCATAGAGCATCATCTAGTTTGGCACTCCAATCCTTTCTTGTCTTGCCTGTTGTCTTCTGAAGTATGCTCTTGAGTTCTCTGTTTGAGATCTCAACTTGTCCACTAGTTTGAGGGTGGTAAGGAGAGGCAACTTTGTGAGTGACTCCATGCTTCTTCAAAAGGTTGGCAAAGATTCTGTTGATGAAATGTGAACCTCCATCACTTATGACTATCCTAGGCACTCCAAACCTTGGAAAAATGATGGATTTAAACATCTTGATGACCACTTGTGCGTCATTAGTAGGGCTGGCAATGGCTTCCACCCATTTGGAGACATAATCAACTGCCACTAGAATGTATTGGTCACCAAAAGAGGTTGGAAAAGGTCCCATAAAGTCAATGCCCCAAACATCAAAAACTTCAACTTCTAGTATAAAGTTCTGTGGCATCTCATTCCTCTTGCTTATATTTCCCATTCTTTGGCAAGCATCACATCTTGATATGAATGCATGAGCATCCTTAAACATTGTTGGCCACCAAAATCCAGCTTGTAGGACTTTGGATACTGTCTTGTAAGTGGCAAAGTGCCCTGCATAGCTAGAGCTATGACAAGCAAACAATATTCCTTCTACCTCTTCAGTCGAGACTTCAGTCGGACGGATGTGACTTTGGCCGAGCGCGAAACAATAGTTTCTCGGCCAGCCGGACTGCGCGGTTTGGGCGCTGTTTTCTCGATAGAGCCGTCTGGACAGTCTCCACTCTTTTGGCTATAACTCCTTTTCTACTCATCCAAATGAAGCCATTCCAGTTGCGTTGGAAAGTTAACTCAATCAGGGCACGCAAGGAACTGCTCTTGATGAAATCCATTGAGTAGATCTTTTTCTGGGCCCTCTTAAAGTTGGTGCTTGTGCATGGAGATGCTTGAAGTGCAAATCCTATGGTTTTGCTCCAAAATGCATCATTTCACCTGTTTAGACTCTAGACACTATAAACACAGTAAAACTACCTTTTTAGATAGAAAACCTGCCAAAAACCATTAGAAAACAATGCTAAAACAGTATAAAAAGTGGGTAAATTAGAGGTATATCAAATACCAATGGTATATCCTCATCTGAGACCAACTCTCTCACTATATCTTCATTCCAGCCATTTCCAGAATTATTCAACCAATTCTCAAGTAAGCAGTTTTGTACCTCTGGATTTTTTGGCTTCGGAGCTCTTGGTGGATGTGTTGGTAGCCAAGGATCTTCCCAGGCACTAATTGCTTTCCCATCTCCAATCACGAATCTCAATCCCTTTCGCAGTAAGTCCCTTCCTTGAAGAATTGACTTCCATGCAAATGAACTTTTCCTCTTGACCTTTGCCGTCAGAATATTTCCGTCATTATAGTATCTACCTCTCATCACACGAGCCATAAGACATTCTGAATTCTGCAACAATCTCCATGCTTGTTTTCCCCAAGAGTGCCAAGTTAAAGCTTTCAATATCTCTAAAGCCAATTCCACCTTCTTTTTTCGGGAAGCATAGCGGCTTCCACTTAAACCAATGCATTCCTTTTCTCTCTTCATTCGTATTCCACCAGAACTTAGCCAACACACTATTTATTTCTTCACACATTCCTGTTGGTAACTTGAAAACATTCATCGAATACACCGGTAATGCAATGGCGACCGACTTAAGTAGAACCTCTTTACCCCCAGTAGACAAAAAGCTTTTGTGCCAACCCTGAGTTCGCTCTTTAACTTTGTCGACAATATACTGAAACATCTCTGTTTTTTTTCTCCCAAATTGCTCCGGGACACCTAAGTATTTGCCTCCTCCCCCTTCATTATGGATTTCCAGTATCCTTCTCATTTGAGTCTTCACATTTGGTTGGACTTTACTTCCAAAAGCTATCGCTGATTTATTCAAATTTATTAATCTGGTTTAATTGAATTAATTGATTTAATTGGTCTATCTTGGTTTAAATTGATTTGATTCTGGTTAATTGGTGTAATTGAATTAAAATGTTTTAATTCAATTTGTTTGATTTATTTTCGGATTTAATTTATTTATTTATTTATTTATTATTATTTTTTATTATTATTATTTTTTTTTGTCAATAGCCTCTATCTCTAAAACAGCTCGGAAATCCAAACTGGTGAAACAGAGTTTACATAGTACACATCAGTAAGTAGAGCTCGAGCACTCCGTGCTAGCTTGTCTGCCTGCGTGTTTTTCGTCCTTGGTATCTGCATGATGGAGAAAGAATTGAATCTCCTCTTACATCTGTCAACCTCTTCAAGTAGTAATGAGAAAGCCGGCCACTCCTCTGGTCTAGACACCATCTTCACCACATCGGAACAGTCCGTCTGAAACACCGTTGTTAATTTTCTAATCCTTAGCATACATTGCATAGCCCAAATGAGAGCTTCCAGCTCTGCCTGAAGAGGTGATATCCCCCGCCTCAGATTACACCCTCCCATAAAATTTTCAAGAGTATTCGTGTTAAAATAATACCATCCTAGACCAGCTCTACACTCTGATTCCTTCCAGGCCCCGTCCACCTGACATATGTCGCCTAACGCAGATATTTCCACGTGGGTTTCTGTGTGGGGATATGCCATCTCCAGCCGTTCCTGGGCCTTTGTCCATGCTATAGACTCCGCTTCTGCTTTAACGATTATCTCATTGGGGTCCCAATCCACATTAGACATAACCTTGTCATTACGGGCTTTCCAAATATACCAAATCAACCAAGGGAACATCCTCATCCTATCATCATTTGGCAAGTGCCAAAACAATTGCGTCATGTTTGTAAACAGGCCTCCAGTGGGAAAATGGGCTGGTGCTGTTGGAATCGGAGATAATGCCCAAACTTGTAGTGCCGGCGGACACTCAAATAAAGTGTGATTTACAGTTTCTGGTGCCATCCCACACCGCATACACCGTGGATCTATTTGCATACCCCGACTTCGTAATCTTTCACCGACTCCTATACATCTCGTCAGAGCTTGCCAAAGAAAATGTTGCAATTTTTGAGTACATTGTGTTTTCCACACCTGTGTCTGAAGTTGCCGTGTATCAGGTCCAAAAAAAATGGGAATAGCATCCTCTAAAGCTTGTTATGCGACTGTGTATCCCGATTTAACCGTATATCGACCCGACTTCGTGAAAAACCATCCCAGAGAGTCTGGTCGGGCGGCATGTGAAGATGGGATCCCCATAATCAGCGTGACATCCGTACTGTCAAATAACTGGTTTAATAGTGGAAGGTTCCACGTTGCTGTGCTGGAATTTATCAGTTCACTCACCCGGAGATGAGGGTAAAAGTTAATCCCAGATCCGTTGGCTGGCCTCGGGCGAGAAGCTGGAATCCATGGATCATCCCAAACTAACACAGATGTTCCTGAACCAACTCTTCTAATAAGCCCTTTTTGTACCAGAGGTTGAGCCGAGACTATACTTTGCCATCCGTAAGAGGCAGAGTAAGATCTAATAGGGTCCAAAGGCATAGAATTCCGGTCATACCTTCCTTTGAACACTCTTGCAAACAGCGAGTCTAGGTAGTCTATTAGCCGCCAGAGTTGTTTTGCAAGTAAAGCCGTGTTAAAATCCTCAATAACACGGAATCCCAAGCCCCCATCATTTTTGTGCCGGGATAGTTTTTTCCATGCCAGCCAATGCATTCCCCGAGTTTGCCCATTATTACTCCACCAGAAATTTGAAACCGCACTAGAGAGCTTATTTGTAACCCTTTTTGGCAGACGAAAGCATGACATGACATGCGTAGGCATCGCCGAGATCACTGACATAATGAGAACCTCTTTTCCTCCTTTTGACAGCCACTTTGAATTCCAGTCGTTAATCCGTTGTTGTTGTCAATCTATTAAAAAAATGAAAATCTTTGTCTTTGCGCCCCCGATGCTTTCTGGAATCCCTAGATAGTTCCCCACCCCGCCTACGGTTGTAATTCCCAGGATCTGATGTATTTCAGCCCGCACCCCTACCTCCACCGTATATTCAAATTGTACCGAAGATTTTCCAAAATTTATCTGTTGGCCCGAGGTGTTTTCATAGTCCTTTAGAATTTGAAGTAAAACCCGACTCTCATCAACATTTTCTTTGCAGAAGAAAAGACTATCATCCGCAAAAAGAAGATGGGACTCGGCTGGACTCGCCCTAGCCACTTTTAGTCCAGTGATCCTGTTCAACTCCTCCGCCTTTTTGATGTTTGCTATCAAAACATCCATACAGAGAATAAAAATATATGGGGATAACGGGTCTCCTTGTCGTAGGCCTCTATGGGGAACTATTGTTCCTTTAGGTTGTCCATTAAGTAACACCCTGTACTTAACTGATGTAATACACTTCATCACCAATGTGATCCACTATTCCGCAAAACCCATTTTTCTCATTAACGCCTCTATAAAATTCCATTCTACCCGATCATAGGCCTTACTCATATCCGTTTTAACCGCCATATATTTTCCTTTGCACGATTTATTTGTTCGGAGACCATGGAACATTTCCTGAGCTATGAGGATATTGTCTGAGATTAGCCTGCCCGGTACAAATGCAGACTGAGTCTCGGAGATTAACCTAGGCAAGAGTACTTTAAGCCTCTGACAGAGAACTTTAGAAATAATCTTGTATCCCACATTACGAAGACTGATTGCTCGTAACTCCGTCATTCTGCTCAGTCTTCCCGTCTTGGGATTAAGACAGATGTGGGTCATATTCAATCTTTCATCAAGAGTACCCGCTGTTAGAAAATTGTTAACCAACTCAAGGATCTCATTTTTAATAATATGCCATGAACGTTGGAAGAATAACGCTGTCATGCCATCTGGTCCCGGCGCTTTCTATGGGTGCATCATAAATAAAGCTTCGCGCACCTCTGGATCAGTCGCAGGGCGAGTCAAAACTGCATTTTCTTGTGCTGTAACCCGGTGTGACATATGTTCAAGCACACCTGTAAAGTCGACCGGTATAATTAACGTAAATAGTTTGTCAAAATAATTTACTGCAACCTTCTCCACCTCTTTTTCTCCAGCTACCCATACATTTGCATCATTATGAAGACCAACAATCCTATTAACTGCCCGCCGTTGAGACATGAAAGAACTTAGTATTTAAATCCCCGTCTTTTAGCCACATATTCCTACTTTTCTGCTTGATATACCTCTATTTACATGCTTTTTATACTGTTTTAGTATTGTTTTCTAATGGTTTTTGGCAGGTTTTCTATCTAAAAAGGTAGTTTTACTGTGTTTATAGTGTCTAGAGTCTAAACAGGTGAAATGATGCATTTTGGAGCAAAACCATAGGATTTGCACTTCAAGCCGCTCCATGCACAAGCACCAACTTTAAGAGGGCCCAGAAAAAGATCTACTCAATGGATTTCATCAAGACCAGTTCCCTGCGTGCTCTGATTGAGTTAACTTTCCAACGCAACTGGAATGGCCTCATTTGGATGAGAGAAACTGGTCCAGACGGCTCTATCGAGAAAGCGCCCAACCGCGCAGTCCGGCCGAGGAACGAATGTTCCGCTCGGCCAAAGTCTCCGTCCGTCCAAGTCTCGGCCAAGTCACGCATCACGACCCGGGAAACATGTCCCGCGGTCGGCCAAGCCACAACCACGCCGCGCACGACCATGCCGCGCGAGCCGGGAAACAAAGCCTCGCGGCCGCGCAACCTCTCGCGTACCACGGCCGATGCGCCGTCCGACCGGGAAACCGTCCCGCGTCCGGCCGAAAACATCGGCCAAATCTTCATCCGTCCGACCAGCGGCCGACCACGAATCCGTCCGGCCACGACCGTTCCGACTCTCGGCCACGACCCGATCCGGCCGATCGTCCCGACCGACCGTCCAACGCCGCGGTCGACCCGAAGCCCGTTTTGAAGCCCGTTTCATGTTTTCAAGCCCGGCTTAACCCTAAGCCGCCTCTGAAAGACCTAGCACTATATATATATTTTTAGCCTCTTGTGAAAGAGAGCCGCCCTTGTATTTCGATTTCCTACTCTAAGTTTTATTGCAATCATGTTTTCTTCATCTCTATGTGTGTTTGCTTTGATCATGTCTGAGTAATCCACTAGTTAGGTTGCTAGGGTTACTATTCAATGAGTTGCTTGCATGATCTTTGATTTCAATGATTAGCTAGGGATTATATTAGAGTCTTTGTCTCGTCTTGTGCACTTAACTAATGCTGATTGCTTTACCGCGCATCTAGTAATCCGATCTTAGGTTGATTTGAGCCTCGACAGTGTTGTATCATTCGCCGGACATATTCTTTGACAAGCTAGGTTTCTTAGACTGCGAAAGTTGATCTACTATATCTAGTGAACTGTATCAGAACCTATTCATTCTAAAGCTTGATTTAATCACCTAGGGACATACCAAAAGTTTAGCGACTAGGTAGATTAACAAAGGAGCCGGAGCCTCGAAAGTGGAATGGTTTTATATTCGTGATCTGTGTTCTAGACGGTTCTTAATATCCCAACATCCCTAATCAATTCATCTATCATTGTTTCATTGATCATTGCTTGCTTCTCTGCGATAGCCCCTATGACCTAGCGCTTTTCCTTATTGATTTACAACCTCGTTATACTTGCTAGTTCGGTTCACCATTACAACCTCAATCATACTTTTGTTTTAGCTTGATCCAAAATCCATAGTTTCAAAGTGTACTCAATAGCCAGTCCTTGTGTTCGATACCCATACTTCCGCGATCTGTGCACTTGCAGAGGTCTAGGAGTTTGGTAAAACCTGACTCAACATCACTGCTTCCAGTATTCCTCCTCGTCCCTATATGCTTCCTTCAATTTATTGGTTATGTCGATGAGTTCTTCTTGAGTACTATTATCATCCTCTTGTATCTCCTCCAGCGCATGCTGTAATTCTGCTATTTTTTGCCTTCCATATGGTTGATTGTTTTTTCTCCAAACCGATATTTCATGTCGGCAATTATAAATTCTGTCCACCAAACCTGGTACCACACCGCCCCGAGTGTTGTTCTAGCCCCGATCAATAGACTCGAGTAAACCCTCCAGACCAATCGATCGTTTATCAAACCGATATTGTTTTCGCCTCTTGGTTATCTTGGAATCCAGAGTAGCCAAGATTGGCCTATGGTCAGAGCCAATCATTGGGAGATACTCAATATGTGAAACCGGAAATAGGTCGTGCCATTCTTCCGTAGCTAACGCTCTGTCCAGCCGGCAGCCGGCACCGCACTATTTTCCCTCGCCTCCGTCCCCTCCATGATAGTGTATTCCCACGGCTTGGGAAGTTCACAAAACCACAGTCGCTTATCATCAAGTTAAAAGGAATGAAAGTGGATGATTGACGTAGGGGTCCACCTTGTTTCTCATGATTTCCTGTGATCTCATTGAAGTCCCCTATTAAAAACCATGGGTCTGTCCTTGTTGTTCCAATCCTTGTAATCCGTTCCCAAACAAGATCACGCAGCTTAACCACTGGGTCCCCATAGACAAAGGACATGAAAATCACCTTGCCTTCATATCTACCCTCAACATCAATGATCCTTTTATTAGAAAACTCGATATTGATATCATAATCGTTATTATAAAACAATGCCAAACCCCCACTCGTGTTAACTGGTC